GTCGAAAGCGTACTTTGTAGTTGGGTCTCCTTGGTGGGGCGGGATCTGACCAAGACAACGACATGCTTTAGAAGAAAGAGCTTATACACAACAAATCGAAGCTTGTATGTCTTGGCACCAACGACGGCAAGTAGGTATCATGCAATCGTGCTCAAAAGAACAAGTTGACCTATCTCGGCAAGTTCCTCCAAGTCTGATGTGGAAAGAAGAAAGCAAGAAGCAAGTAGGAAGAAAGCCGACGCTGTTTCGTATCAACAAACAGGAAAGTCCGCCGCTTCAAATGGGGATATGTACTCCATGTCGCAGCACTATGATGCGGGGTGTGGGAGACACACATGCACGTCGTCTGCTTTGATGACCGTTTCGCTACATCCGGTTCATCGGCGCTATTTGCTCTTCTCATCGTTCTTCCCGAGATTATTCAGCGCAATAGCGGTATGATGGGCGTGAGTGACAGCGAGGCTTGTAGGTGCTTGTGCTACAGCATGTCTATGTTCGAGGCATTTGGTAAGCGGGATTTATTTACGTACGCTATTCGTAGTGGAATTTGAGATGCGCATAGGAACATGTGGTTATGCTAACACAGGGTTGTATACGAGGTGGCTGAACCGTGGGTTAGTGGAAAGCACGAAATGTATGCCCGTTCGAGGTAGGTGAGGCAGCAGATAGGATGAATTGGCTATGGGAAGATATTGTGGCTGGCTGGTAGACCGGCTCAGCCTTGGCTAGCCACTGTGTTGATTGGATATGGTACTAGGATCGTGGGTAAAGACATGCATTATCCTCTCATCCCATCTTCCTCAACAACACACACACCATCGCACTGCTATCCGCTCTAACACCACCAACCACTACCGCTGATTTGCTCAACTAACCAAGCTTTTCTCACACGGGTAGGGCTGCATGCACCTCGAGCCTCCTCCTCCTTCTAGAAACAATCATCCACGCACCACAAGACAATGTAGAGTAAGCAACATCGCTATCCAGCTATTGGTTCATGGGATCGTGTGACTGCATATCCTGTTCATCAGCCCGTCATGTATACCCTTTTCAGCTCGACTGCGCTACTGTCGCGCTGCCACGTGACGTCGTCTCTCGCACGGATAACGGTCTCGGTAGTTTTCGACGGCCATTCTGCTTTTGTCAGCATAGGTATTTTCGGGGAGTCACAAGTCAGAAATAGACGGGTGTTTGTAGGCGTGCGGAGGTGTGACTAAGGTAGTTTGTACTACGTTGCGCTCTCCTTCTATAGGTGACTTTGGGCATGTTGGAGTTGATTACGCAGCAGTCATCACCGAGAGTCAGCCGGGTTTATTGCGCATAAAAGAGGAGGGTGGAATGGATAGCGATCAGTCATCTCATATTGCCAGTCATGCGCCTGTTGGTATGCAGCATACTGCGCCTATACAGCAGCATCTTCTTTTACTTCCAGACAAAGAACGCCTACGGGATGATACTCGCCGCACGTGACTGGACTGAGCAGAACCTTGGAAGGAGCTTCGGTAGGATCCAGGCTGCATATCGACTCGCCGTTCCAGACTGTTCACGATGGTGGAGACCTGGAGAGCTTTTCCGATAGAATGACGTAGGTAAACAAGCGTCTTCCGTTCCCGCAAAGCCACGTCTCGCGCTTTTTCTCGCTAGCTACTCACCGTTTTTTATGGACCCTCTTGTCGATGACACTAACTAAGGCCGCTCGCTAGCTATCATGACTGCCGGTAGTGGAAGTCCGAGTGGCTGGTCATCGACTCGATAGGCTGTTCTTAGCGAGAGCAAAAGAAAGTACAGGCAGAAGTGGTGGAGTTGTTGTACTCGCAGTACTAAATTGGGCGCAAAGGATTCGCTGATCGACATAATAGCCTTGACAACAATAACGCAGCTTTGACATGGGCGTCAGGTTTGGCGAGCAGTCAATGTTAGGGCTCGGCTGTGTTGCAGTGAAGTTGCATATTGGGTTTCAAGAGCCGTCATTGACTCCATGCAGCACTATTGAGGGTGGTGTAACCGCAGCAACGTGCATGCATCTGTCGACGCAGCTGCAACACCTCAGGTGCTGTGGTGCGCAGTATTCAGAGAAACAATGGGCACAAGTGCATGGACCACAGGCATTGGAATGCAAGAATGCCATTCAACAGCAAGGCCTGTAAGGCTCTATTAGCCTCGGCACTGCTTTCCCGTCACCTGATAATATTCATCCGCTGTGTGAGGTTGGTCTCCGCGGCACTATGTCGGATCATCAAAGTTTAATCGAGCAAAAAACATCATAACACCGAAAGAAAAAAGAGCTACAACCTCGTCCCGCTATCGCGACCACAAAGGGAGTACCCACTTCATTCGGAGTTGAAACGCAACACCTGCCACACGTCTGCCAACCACAAGTAAGGAGGACATGTGAAATGCACCACTGACGTCACAGTGCAGCGGTCGCCAACGTCGCGCTGCACCATATACCTCGAACCCCAATTCGCCCGCTCACCCCAGGCAGCCGATCCCCAGCACAACGCTCGATCGATACCAACTTTGAGACCCTAACCGTGCGCTCGGGGTCTGGACTCCTCGGACGGTGGGTTTTTATCCTGCGCTCTTAGCCACGGTACATCACGGACGTTTTTGTTATAGAGGCTATTGGGAATAAGGAAATAGATGTGCGTTTGGTATGGTAATATGGATCCGTGATTGCCGTGAAAGGAGGCAGTAGCCGCTTTGGAAGCTTGACCATGTGGTTACGGATTCAGAATGATCATGAGCACTGGGCGGGTGGACGAGGGGAGTTCTAGACACTATTGTGGGGCTGGGAAGAGTCTTGTCTTACGTATCGCTGCATTCGTGATGTATGCCGTGGAAGGTGTTTGCGCATCAGTGGAAACACCGAAGTAGTCACGAGATGATGCAAGGTGAAATGCAAGTGAGGTAATATGTGCTTCTTTGTTGTGATGGTTGGAGTTGGTTGAGTCCTCCGAGGGAAACTATGCCTAGCGCCATGCGTCGTAGGTGCATCCTCCTGTCTACTGCCCTGCCAAACGCCTGCAGTGGTCCTTGGTAGAATAATGAAATGAAAGAAGGAAAAAAACTGGTATATCATACAACAGAAAAGAGAGATAACGCTCCATGTAAATGCTTAACCCGTGTGCTCCAATACTATCCCTAATCGCAAAGCCGAAGTCGAAGAGTGTTTCCGGCACACTGTGTCGCTAAGTCGCTGATGCGGGAATGATTTCGTTTAATGTCATGATGGTGTGCGTTCAGACGATGAACGCCAAGTGCTCGTCGGCTATTGCGCTCTTTGCGATGATGAGGATGAGTTGAGCTGGGAGAGCGATGCGAAGGAGTTGGTCATTGCCGAGTAGGCAGCCGATGGCAGGCCGTTGGTTGATGATGTGGATGAAGCGCTGTTGCTGCGGACTTGTAGGTTGAGTGTGTGGCAGCTATCGCATCGTCCGTTCATAGCGTTGCAGCGACCCCTGCATCCTCGCTCGTAGTTGGCGCAAGAGAACATTGTGGCTTTGAGCGTCGGAGATGTGCCGATTGTTTGTGGTGATGGTGTTAAGTAGTGTGTGGTGATGTCTTTGAGTAGTGTGTAGTGGTGTGCGAGTGACTTTGTAGCGTGCTGGACTTAGGCAAGTCTTGAAGCCGCGGGTGGACTTCGTAATATATGCGCCGAAGGGTGATGAATGCCCGATGATGTAGCCAGCAAATTCAAGATATGCAGGGCAATAATTGCGTATTTGGGCGTTAGAGTAGCCGTAATCGATGGTGTCCGTTGGCGTGTCTTGGTAGCGTGCGGATGGGTCCAATAATAGTGTGGAGTGCCAAATGGAGTTAATGTGTAAATGCCCAAGTTCTGCAGTTGCACGGTGGGTGGCTTGCTTATAGCTGTGAAGAGCAGATTAAGAATTGCGGGTGCGTTTCATAAACTTGGAAAAGATAGGTGGAAGATCAGGTGTGACGATGGCAGCTGCAACTCTTATGACAGTTGACGCGTCCAGAAGATGTGTGTGTGTCATGGCAGATTATACAGTGGAGAGGCCCAAGGCCAGAATGTCCGTGGCCAGTGCGTTCTTACTCAATGTCAAGGGTCTCCTCTTACGCATGCTCGAGACCCTTTCCTGGTTGTTCATCACGCCGGCCTAGCGTCCAAACCTTGTTTTTGGCTTCCCGTCAATTCCGGCATTTGGCTGTAGCCTGCATACCTCCTCCTACGCACTCGGTGACGCTCAGCCACCATGGCTACTATTCCCAGCGGCCGCCAGCAAGTTGGCTGCATCACGCAGACTACGTACGAGCGTGCGACTCAGCACCCAAACGGCCGTGTTGTCTTTGCAAGGACAGGGACGGCAAACCTCGTTTCAAACAAATTCTGGAAGGCGGCTTAAAGTGGGCGGCATCTCGGACATCAGGCGAAGAATTGCACGGCCACTTCATCCGTGCACTCGTCAGCACCCAAGAAAGCCACTCGCGAAAGCCCACACATGTCGTTAGCTTGACACAATTCAGCCCTCTACGATTACGTGGTGCTGCAGTTGTACCCTACGTGAGGCAGTAATCATGGCGCATGTGTGCCATGTGGTCCCTCCGCTGCTGCCTCAGAACATGATAAGCCGGTCAGTCAGACACGGCTCCGGAAACATGTGCGTGCGGTGCGGGTTTACGGGCTTAAGCTTGCGACACCGATAAGATAGCGTACCTGGTATCAGAAGACGGCTGGAGTGGAGTACGGAGTCCGCGTTCGAGACTTTTTGCTTTTATGATGATCTGCGCCCAAACGCATGCAAGTTGAAATCGCCTCACGGTCAAAGATTTCTCCATCACGACATCTGGCCTGATTGTGAAGGATGCAAATTGCTGTAATCGCGAAATCGGTGGAAGCTTCGACTCTAAACGAGAATGCGAGTCGTTCGCAGTAGCTCGTCCGAAACGCCTGATCTGCAACGGTTTATTAAAGCGTCCGGTCCATCCGCACCCACCAAACGTAGTCGGGACTCAACAACTTTGCCTACGGATTAACTCTGTACCCCGAATTTCGCCCTTTCAGCCTTGTGGATGCCAGTGGGCTGGATGATCATCTTGCAGATCCATCGCTTATCGTATTCAAGAGCCCAGAAGCCGACTGTGCTCAACGACATTATGAAACATGTGAATAGTGTGGGTGACTCACAGCACATGTGCTGGTGCATTGCTGTACGCAGAGCCACGTACTTTGTTCACCGGAAAACACCTAAAGGTGCTGCAATGCCATGGTTCAGGGTTACATCTTATCACGTTCTTGTCCCATGAATTTACGTTACAACAGTGTCATCAGCTAGTTACGCTTTCAGAAGTACTTGTTTCGCTGTAACGAAGAGTTGATCTGCAAGTAGCGTGTGGTCGCATGGTAAGTACGTGGAAAAGAAAGGGTTGCCAGATCCACTTGCATATCGATAGCTGGTACTTCTGATGGAAACTAACAACTTCCCACGTGGCGTTTTTGATTGGAGTACCTGTGGTTAAAGAATAGCCTCGTTGTTTCAAGCGAGACTGTCGTACCTTGCTTTTCGCAAACCGACATCTTTAAAGGCAGAAGGGGTTCCAGGAAACAAACGACTCCATTTGTGTTCTCCACTGCCCGCTACGATCTAGGTATCGAACGAAATGACCACACCTAATGCCACAGTCCGAGCCCTCGCCCCTCCCCCTTTCTGAAGTTACTTCTGAAGCTACCATGGGAGCTCAGAAAAAACATCTATTATCGGGCGATGCGTCCAGGAGAACTCATTTCCCAGTGTCAGCCTCTAAACCTTAGCGCAGCAGATTTTCGACATAGTGGCAACCCATTCTGCTTGGAGTGGCTCGAAGAGTTCTGTCGCACAGATGAAGCCACCCGTATCGACGTTTCCTCTATTCTACTACAGACAGCCAGGCTGTATATTTTCAGTCCTGTGGAAGTGGAGCGGTTCAGCTTGTTTCTAGAAAGCTTTCCTGTAGCTGACAACCAAGGCTTTGCTGCAGTTCGTGATCTCAAGTTCCAGCTCTTCGGTTGCCACCGACCCAGTGCTGGGAACGGTAACGCATATATTGAATTCACGAAGCGCTGCACAGAACTGAGACAGGTCCAGCTAAAGTTCGAAGTTGAACATATGACCGTAGACTCGTGAACATGGGCCGAAAACCTGAAACAGCCGCCAACAACACTATGGTCTTTTGACTAGACGCGCATCAGGAGACTGGAGGACATCATTTCGATGTATCGGTTGACAGAACTTCTGAAGCTAGAGAAGTTGAACAGACTAACAGTTGAAGCCTGGCCTAGGATTAGAGTGAGTGATCGACAGGCTATGCAGGACGTTCTGGTCGATTGCACCCCGTTGATCGAGAGTTTGGTGCAGTGGCTTGAGAGAGGCTTCGCAGCCCAGGACAGAGACGTTACCGTTAGTTACGTGGAAGCGAGCAGTCCAGGTTTGAGATGGAGTAGGCGCATGTGAAGAGTGTAGCTATTGAAGCTCTTGGCCCAAGTTGGACAGGCCAAATTAAAATATGCCATCGATGAGCACGCCGTGATTCAATCTATACCGTACACAGTCTCTCAAGTTTTCTGAAAGCTAATTCCGCTATTCCTGCTCTTTCTGGGTTTCGTTGCATATCAGACGTGTCGCAGAGCGAAAGCGTAGTATGACGTGGAAGATGAAGATGGCTGGTCTCCAGACTAGTTGACACGACCAATGACTAAGCGGCGCCGCTGGCTCGTTTGCCGTCTAATCCCAGCCAGCCCTTACCAGCCTCATTTATCCTACCACGACCGAGCGCATTCGCAACACCATCGTCGCTCAACCATTTTTGACCATTATCGCCATTGCTGCATCCGCGCGCATTCTGGGGACCCACTTTTGACATTGCCGGCGCGCTCTCCCCGCCACGCGCATCGACTTGTTCGCGACGCGTCGACGTAAACAACAGCGCGACTCCTCCATCACCCCACCCACCAACCGATTGACTCAACCACGACCATGTTTCTTCCAGAGGATCTCCTCTTCAAGCAGGGTGCCCTTGCGCACGTCTGGCTTGCCTCGAACCAGCAGAAGAAGCTTACCAAGGCCCAAGTGCTGCAGCACAAGATCCCAGAGAGTTGCGAGGTCATCATCCGGCCAGAGGTGGCTGCTGGCGGTCCACTTGCGTTGCGGTTGAACGCGCAGCTGCTTCTTGGTGAAGTGCGCATCTACAGCAAGAAGGCGACCTACCTCCAGGATGACTGTCAGGAAGCCTTGTGGAAGATCAAGATGGTAAGTTCCAGCTTTGCTTGCGTGGCATGGCCACTTCTGACCTGCATACAGGCCTTCCGTCCTGGAAACATCGACATGCCCTCTCAGACTCATGTCGCCAACCCCACCAACCTGATACTGCCAGACCAAATCACCGACCTGGATTTGTTGGCTCCCATGCCCGACCCGTCATTCCTTCTATCGCAGCCGCTTGGTGGCAACCTCGATCTTGGCAACACCACAGTCCCCGATTGGGACAACAGCCAGTTCCTGTCCGGCAGCATTGAACAGGCGCGCATGGAGCCAATGGAGCTCCCGGACGACGATCTGAACCTGGACATTGGGGAGGACGATGGCTTGGAGCCAACAGTAGCCTACGACGAGGGCACCAGCATTGAAGTCGGCCGTAACGCACCTTTGGAACGACGCCGCTCTGAGGAGTTTACCGGGCTGGGCAAGGATCTGATTGTGGACGACGATGATCTTGGTATAGATATTGGCGAAGACCCTCCAACTGAACTCGCCCGCGGCCCGGAATTCAATCTGGACGACGACTTGGACATCACCATGGGTGGTATGGATACACCACTTCCAGCAGGCACCTCCATTGCCGGCGACTTCCCTGTGCGACAGCGCGACGAATCGCCCCTATCCGAATTGGGAGAAGAGGAGGCTACACGCCTTGAGCAAGAGGTCGCTGAGCAGAATACTACCATATTCGAGCCCGAGCAAGAAGAAGAAGAGTCTATCCATCAAGCCCGTGCCAAGCGCAGGAGAGTGATTGGAGCCGATGCTGAAACCATGATCTCAAGTCATCAGCTGAGGGAGCAGCAGAACAACCGCGAGAAGATCCTCAAGCCTGCTTCGTTCCTGCCTCGCGACCCTCTTCTGATGGCCTTGCTTAACATGCAGAAGTCTGGAGGGTTTGTCTCAAGCATTCTGGGTGATGGCCGAAGTCAAGGCTGGGCTCCAGAGCTTCGAGGCATTCTCTCTCTAGAAGTCATTTCACGTCCAGCTCAGAAGCGCAAGCGTGACGGTGCGAACATCGAGAGTAGTGCCACGGAGGATGAGGCTGCAGCCGAAGGAGAGAAGACCCCTCAACTCCAGCTAGAGTTTGAGCAAGATGAGCCAACTTTGGGCGGCGGGGACATTGGTATCGGCGGAGACAACGACCCCACGCTTGGAGGATCCGATGACATTGTTCAACTTCCCGATGACCCCGGCTTCCAGCAGATTGGTGACGAGGAGGATGTCTTCTCACCTGTTCCAGACAACTTTGACGACACAACCGCACCGCTAGTCCACCCCGATGAAGCTGGACCAGTATCATTAGGCACCAAACACGCCGTCCATTTCTTGCGGGAACAGTTCGGACCGGAAGCTGAAGAGAGCGAGTCGGAACGACAGAAGAACAGCATCGTTTTCCAGGACGTCTTCCCAGAGGCCCGCACATCACGAACAGACGCGACCAAGATGTTCTTTGAGATGTTGGTATTGGCAACCAAGGACGCCATCAAGGTTGAGCAGCCAGCCAACGAGCTTGGTGGCCCACTACGTATTCGCGCCAAGCGTGGTCTTTGGGGACAGTGGGCAGAGACCGGTGCTAGTGGGGAGCTGGCATCCCAGGCTCAAGCCACGCCTACAGGGGATCCCGATGCGCCTGCTGAGGCCATCTTCCAAGGACCACCTGAGGTTTCCGTGTCCGCGTAAAAGTTCAACAATCTGTTCGCTTGGCAGAATTTCTTTGGGACTAGGTACTGTCTGGCGGTGTTGGCTGGATACCCTTCTTTTGGCATGACTTGGATTGTAGGCGGCTGCTTTGGACGGTGTTTGGCGTTGATATGGGAAATGGTGTTTTTGGGAAGTTGATCCCTTGTATCATGGTATCAGGATAGTCACATTAGCTTTGGAAGACGGAATGCACTCAGTATTATCATTACAGACTCTGAAATCTTGCTTGGCCACAACTGTTACAAGTAGAGCCTAATGTCGACACAGCATGTACTTTTGTAATGATGCATCGATCCAATAAGGCTCTCGCCCTACGGTGGATGCCGGCCCGCGGGATCTCGGCAACTGCGCGGCTTCGCGGGCTTGATTTTGCACTCCCGTCAGAATACCCGTCAACATCCACATCGTGCTGGCCGTTATGAGTGCGGACGAAACAAACGGACACGTGACGGCGACGGGTCGTAGACGCAGAAGAGCTGCTGAGGCGTGCACCTTTTGCCGTCGGAGGAAGGTTTGTTGGTGCTTGGGTACGATCAGGAGCTGGATACTGATGCTAGCAGATCAAATGTAGTGCTGAGAAGCCAACATGCGCAAGCTGTAAAACTCATGGGACGATATGTCAGTACGAACCTGCAAGTATAGATGCCGTTCAGCATGCCGCTAGTCGTCCACGCAAGACACCTCGAACAGAGAGAGCACCAGAGCCAGCCCAAGAAACTGCACCTAGAGATGTGTCGCGCATTGTCGTCGCTTCTAATGGCTCTTCAAGTTATCACGGACGCACCAGCACTTTGTTCGACGAAGCCTCGCATGACCGTGTTGCTACTGAAGCACGTCCGCACATGCCAGATGAATGGATTGAGAGAGGTCTTGTGGCTGAAGCCGCACGACAGAGACAATTAGAGACTGTTAATTTCCGACATGGAAAGCTCGAATTCGATGGTGTCGAGCCTGAACTTGGCATGCATTTGCTTTCATTACACTGGAACCGACAACATCACTCATTTCTCACAACGTATCGTCCTGCCTTCATGCGTGACATGGCTTGCGGTGGCCCATATTTCTCGAAGCTGCTTCTCAACGCAATCTACTTCGGCGCCTCCAAGTTCAGTCCACGCCGCGAAGTTCGCCGCGTGGCTGACGATGTCCGCACTGCCGGTTGGCAGTTTCGTCAGAGAGTACGAGAGCTTCTAGGAGGTGCTTTGGATAAGAGTGAGATCACTACTATTCAAGCTTTACTTGTCATGACCAATTCTCTTTTCGCCCTCGGCGACGAACGCAGTGCTGCCTGGCTCTATGCTGGATTAGCATTTCGCATGATCGTCGACCTCGGTATTCACGTTGACACACCTGCCTTTGCAGGTTCTCGTAGACTGTCTGATGAGGATCGCGAAATTAGGCGTCGTGTCTTTTGGGCTGCATTTGGTGAGCCCAGTTATCCAACAACATTCAAATCCGCTAACGAAACTACCTCCAGTCGTCGACAAGATCCAAAGCTTGTACCAAGGTAATAACTCCTATGCATGAACTGCGCGTAAAGCAAACATTGACTTTATACATCAAAACCTTAGGTCGCCCAGTCAGCATGAAGGAGTCAGACACACTGGTACCCATGAAATTCCAAGATACATATGAGGAACTTGAACACTGGACTCCTTTTTCCTACTCTACGCAAGCAGATTCTGCCTATCTAGGCTCTCCTGCATACAGTATCTCGACATTTCGACAGCTCTGCCAGCTCTCGGTTATCCTCAGCGACATACTTAGCACTGTATACACCGAAAGAAGCTTCGACGTAGGCTCCACGGAGCTATCCTCCAAACTGGAAGTCATTCAACAAAAGTTGGTAACGTGGCGTAGGCTTCTGCCTGAGCATCTCGTTGTGGATGTAGAAAACGTTGCGCTAACGCCTCCCCCACATGTTCTCAGCTTGCAGTAAGTTCTCGAATAATCGAGGATATCGCGGGAATACTGAAACTTTGCTAGTGCCCTTTACGGTGTCCTTACGATCCTTCTGCATCGGCCTTTTGTCGCCGACGGCCATCTCTATAGTACTTCACGTGCCATTGCCGTCAACTCGTTCATGGCGTGTGCCAGCGCTGCGGATGACATTGTACAACTTCTCCGAGCGTACGATAAAGCTTTCGGTGTGCACAGAGCTCCGTACTTGATCTCGTATGCGACGTACGTGGCTGCGACCATACATGCCCGTATCGCGGCGAGGCGTGATCCAGGCTCTCAAGCTCACAGCAACCTCGAGACCTGCTTAGCTGTCTTCCGCAAGAACCAAGAGACGAACTGGGCTGTGCGGCGCGCCAGCGCTATTATACAGAACTTGATGGCGAGGTTGGGAGTTGCTACGCCTGACCAGGATGATGCAGGCATTGATAGGGATATTCATGGCGACAACCATAGAAGCAGTGTGACAGATTCAGCGTCGAGCAGGCCCATGGATCGTGAGCGGAGTCTGCAGAGTATGGAAATTGATGGTATCATCCAGAGTTTTGTTCGGGAACGAGAGCAGGAGACATCGCATGTGGTGCGAACAGAACCAACAGGCCCTGCTAATCCTTCATACGCACCCGTACCTGGGCAGTCGCATTCGGCCTTTTCGACTATTGAGACGTCAGATAGGCCTCACGAGAATCCCGGGACCTGGATGTATCAAGACCAACAACAACTCTTCAATGAGCAACCGGTAACTGTAGATGACCTCCTCTTTGGTTTCAATGGATCAGACCTCGATAACTTCCCGCTCTTAGACTGGGAGTAGAGAACGGGTAGGCTAGCCGTGCGGGAACGATTCGGCCGACCGTACAGCACCCGCGAGCCGCGGCTGATCTTCGGCGATTTACTCCCGCGGGATCCAACGCGATCTACCCGTATCTTGAATCCACTATCCGAATGCTCTTGGATCTGAAGACATATATAGGGAGCTGTGCCGCCGAATGGTATGAAAAACCTCTAGCTAGTAACCAAGCAACAGTTCCATTGTCTTCAATCGCAGCAACAATCCTCTATAGATGCTTCGCGCACTTGTCAAACCAACCGCTTTTCAAAAGGCACACGCTTCGACTGTCTCACACATCTCGCCGATCCGGATACCTGAATTCCCAATGGCACACGAAAGGGCCCCAAAAAAGGTATGTAATATCTCTGTACAAACTGCATGTGTGACAGATACTAATTCGTACATCAATCCTTAGATCCGACACAGCCTACCAGCCGTGTTGATGCGTGCTGGTACTTCGAAAGGTCTCTTCATCCACCGTCACGACCTACCGGCTTCCCAATCAGCGTGGGCACGACCATTACTTGCGGCCATGGGCTCCCAAGGCTCAGACGCTCGACAGATTGACGGTGTTGGAGGAGCGACTTCGACGACTTCCAAGGTTGCCGTGGTTTCGCCATCGGCACGAATGGGCGTCGATGTTGATTATACTTTTGTGCAAGTAGCAGTGGGCCAAGAGACGGTCGATTTCAGTGGAAACTGTGGAAATATGTGCGCTGGCGTTGGACCATTTGCACTTCAGGAAGGATTAGTGCGTGCAAGACCTGGGGAGAAGACTGTAAGTTGACACATTCTGGTCGAGTTTGAAGTTTACAAGGTGCTGACTCTTTATCTAGCTGGATGTCCGGATATTCAACACCAACACATCGCGGCTCATCGTCGATACTGTGCAAGTAGATGAGGACGGCTCGTTTAGTGAAGACGGAGACTACGCAATATCGGGTGTCAAGGGGACCGGAAGCGAAATAAAAGTTGCTTTTGTCGACCCTGCTGGGAGCATGGCGGGGGCTCTCTTTCCTACTGGGAGACGACGCGATACTATCCATGTAAAGGAGCAAGACGGCAATCGCTTCTCAGTCAAGGCCACCTTGATAGACGCGGCGAATCCTTTTGTCCTTGTCGACGAAAGGACGTTACCACCATACCTAAAGACAGCCAGCAAAGATACTGCTGGCTACCTCAGGCACATGGAGTCGATAAGATGTGCCGGCGCCGTCATGATGGGTCTCGCTCCTGATATAGACGCCGCCGCAAAGGTCCGCGGAACACCGAAGCTCGCCATCGTGTCTTCTCCTCGGTCAGATCATCACTCAAGGAGACATGGGCCAGATATCCACGTGCAGGCTTTCAGCATGGGCAAACCTCATCCAAGCTTGCAACTCACAGGCGCGGCGTGCCTAGCGTCGGCAGTGTGCATTGAGGGCACTGTCGCACATGGTGTTGCAGGCGAGGGCAAGGGACAGTCGTCGTGGCGAACACATTCACCTGAACGGGCAGCGAGTCCCTGCTCAGACTCTGATGAAAGCTCTTCGGGTTTACTACCGAGCCCGAGGACTGTGCGGCTCTCGCATTCTAGCGGGTCGATTGCGGTTGATGTTTTGGCTACGAGCTCGGAATCATCCGCTTTCGTTGATCGATGTATTGTTTCACGGACTGCTCGGCGGCTGTTTGAGGGCAAAGTGTATTATTACTCGTAGTGTGTAAGAGAGATGTAGTAGCTGTACGATACAAGAAGAGAATGAAGAAGTGCTACTTCAGCCACACATGAGATGTGAGGGAGGCTGAAGTATGACATCACATGCAGAAAGGCCGAAGCGCGCCATCACTTGACTCTGCAGCGGACATGTACCTGCCAAGGCCGTAGTAATATGTGTGTGAGGATCGTAGAAGCGTGCAGCATGTTCGCGATGTAGCGCTCGGAGTGCAACGTGGGGCGGCGATTAGACATTTAGAGGCAGCGGGGAGTGTTTCAGCAATAAGAAAAACGTGTTCAGAAGGTGTTTGCGTTGTAGTGTCAAACGTGACGAGACCCTGGATGGCTATGGCGGTGCTACGACACCCCTGCTCGCGAGTACCGCTGCTTTGGCGTTTTGGCCCATCATCGACATCCAGCAACTGCATGTCCAGAGACAGCACGTAACCGTCTTGCGATCCCCTTGGCCGTGCCCGTTTGCGAACCCAACACGTCTTTTATTGTTCCCAGCACCAATGCGATAATCCAAGTCGACAGCCATCTTTTTTTAACGCTAGCTTTGGACGGATAGGCCACGTTGGACGGCGGCGCAACAGTCGACTCCTGGCCATGCCAACATGTCAAAAGCACCCACGCCCTCATTGCCCCTCTACAATGCCGCCGGCCTGCCCTCCAAGTCTTCGCGGCCCTCTTCGCCCATGCTGCAGCCGCCAGAAGCCCTCAAGCGGAGCACCACGCCCTCAGTACGCCATGCGCTTCCACCGCCACGTCTGCTATGTAGCCCTGGCGACGCCCGCTGACCATGTGTGAACAGTCAATAACATCGGCCCACTCCCTCCTCTCGGCCCAGGACACGGCCCACAAGCTCTCTACCTCGCTGACACATGGTCTCTCCGCCTCGGACGCTTCGGCGCGCATTCACATCCATGGCACCAACGAACTCCCCCACGAGGAGCCCGAACCGCTCTGGCTCCGCTTCCTCAAGCAGTTCAAAGAGACGCTCATCCTGCTGCTGCTGGGCTCGGCTGGCGTGTCCCTCGTACTCGGCAATCTGGAAGACGCCGTGAGCATTGCCGTGGCCGTGACCATTGTGGTGACAGTGGGCTTCGTACAAGAATACCGATCCGAGAAGTCGATTGAGGCGCTGAATCAGCTGGTTCCGCATTCGGCACACATCATTCGCGCTGGCGTGGAGCCATCACGCGGCCGTCGCGTGCCAAATGGTACGGCAAATGAGAGCATAGAGTTGGACAACTTGAAAGACACCACGGCATCGCTGGCAGCGGCAGAGCGCAAGTCTACTACCATATCCGCGACACTGTTGGTGCCGGGCGACCTGGTCTTGTTCCACACTGGAGACCGCATACCAGCTGATATCCGCATCACGCACGCAGCCGACCTCAGTATTGACGAGTCCAACCTCACTGGAGAGAACGAGCCTGTCGCCAAGTCACCAGACACCATCACGCCCCCGCCGGCCGTACAACGACCATCTTCGCCTTTCTACGCCTCCGAAGCCGCTGGAACGGTCGGTGCTGATATACGGCTGAACGATCAGAAGAACATTGCATTCATGGGTACATTGGTCAGATCGGGCTATGGACAGGGAATTGTCGTCGGTACAGGAGGCAACACCGAGTTTGGCGCCATTTCTGCTTCCCTGCAGGAAATCGAGAGCCCGCGGACGCCTCTGCAACTTTCCATGGACCGTCTAGGCAAGGATCTAAGCTACATGTCCTTCGGAGTCATTGCCTTCATTGGGCTGGTGGGACTGTGGCGTGGTTGGAAATTCCTACAGGTCTTTCAGATTGCTGTGTCACTTGCTGTCGCGGCCATCCCCGAAGGACTTCCGATCATTGTTACTGTCACGCTTGCGTTGGGTGTGCTGAGGATGTCTAAGCGCGACGCCATTGTTCGACGGTTACCTAGTGTTGAGACCTTGGCTTCGGTCAATGTCGTATGTACTGACAAGACAGGTAAGTTGGAACAATTCTACCAAGATCCAACATTTACTCACTACCACCAGGCACGTTGACCACGAATCACATGACTGTGACGAAGATATGGCATTTTGACGAAGCATCACCAGTCGATGTCAAGAAGAAGCACGATTCTACGGACCTCGATTCACCTACGCGCAACATACTTCGGATCGGCAACATTGTCAATAATGCTCGCTTGTTGAGTGACCAGGCAGCCTCAGCATCAACTGCTGCGGTACTATCCTCAACTCTTGGAGGCGATGACAATACTACAGCGAAGAGCCGATGGGTTGGCCAGCCTACCGATGTCGCTCTTCTTGACCTCATGGATGCTTTTGGAGAAGACGATATCCGGGAAATGCTCGGCGATCGCAAGTTCGAGACACCATTCAGTTCGGAAAGGAAGTGGATGGGTGTCGTCGTTGGCGGTAGTTCTGGCAATCTCACCCCTGGGTCTGACTATGCATACATCAAAGGTGCACTCGAGAGAGTTCTGGACCGTTGTGACATGTACGTAACGGCACAAGGAAAAGAGGTGGCACTCGACCAAGCACGCAAGCAAGAAGCGATGAAGGCCGCTGACCAAATGGCTCAAGAGGGTTTACGTGTGCTCGGCTTCGCTAGTGGTGCGTCGAGAGGAAAGAAGAGGAATGCCAGTGGCACCGCTTCACCAGCACCATCTACGAACTCGGCCCTTGGCGACGATGAGCAGTACCGTGGTCTCGTGTTCGCTGGATTGGTTGGCATGAACGATCCGCCACGAAAGGGCGTTGAGAGAGCTATCCGAAGACTCATCGCCGGCAAAGTCAAGGTCATCATGATCACCGGCGATGCAGAGACCACAGCAGTCGCTATCGGCAAGAGTCTGGGTATGCCCATTATGCCGAATTCAGCACTCGGGCGCTCGGTTATTCGTGGCGACGAATTGGATCAGATGAGCGAGGAAGAACTTGCACAAGCCATTGCGACAACCTCGATCTTTGCGCGAACTAGTCCTGAGCACAAGATGAAGATTGTCCGAGCGCTGCAATCACGAGGTGACGTTGTGGCAATGACTGGTGACGGTGTCAATGACGCGCCCGCGCTCAAGAAAGCAGACATCGGAATCTCCATGGGTAGATTGGGTACCGATGTTGCGAAAGAGGCCGCAGATATGATTCTGACAGATGACAACTTTGCGACCATTCTGAACGCGATCGAAGAGGGTAAAGGCATCTTCTACAACATCCAAAACTTCCTTACCTTCCAACTCAGCACCAGCGCGGCGGCACTGAGCTTAGTACTCCTGAGCACATTCCTTGGCTTCGAGAATCCGCTAAATGCCATGCAGATTCTCTGGATCAGTGAGTTCCACCTGTACCCATCCCTTTAACATTTACTGACTATCAACCTAAGACATCCTCATGGACGGCCCACCCGCGCAATCTCTCGGTGTAGAACCTGTCGACCCAGCCGTCATGGCCCTGCCCCCACGCCCACGCCAGGCACGCGTCCTGACCCGCCCGCTCATTCAGCGCGTCCTCCAATCCGCCACCATCATCATGCTTGGCACACTCACAACCTATTACCTCGAGATGTCCTCCGACAACATTGTCACTGCGCGCGACACAACTATGACTTTTACCTGCTTTGTTCTCTTCGACATGTTCAACGCACTAACTTGCCGCTCCTCCAGCAAGTCCGTCCTCGCAGGCGAGATTGGCGTATTCGACAACAAGATGTTCAACTATGCCGTGTCGGGCAGCTTGATTGGCCAGTTAGCAGTCATCTACTTTCCGCCGCTGCAAAGCGTTTTCCAAACTGAGGCGCTTGGCTTGGGCGATCTCGCGCATCTTGTCGCAGTGGCAAGTTGTGTATTCTGGGCAGATGAAGGGAGAAAGTGGTACGTCAGGTGGAAAGGGAGGAGAGGGTATGGTGGGGGATATAGTACCGTTGTTTGAGTATAGAAGGTTTGGTAGAATGTGGTGGTGTAGAAGCGTCATATCGCGCAATGGATATTGCTGTTACTAACGATGTGCTTTGTGGACAACCATGTTGAAGTGAAATACGCGGATCTTGAACTGATGAAAGCATAACGAGATCGAAGCATGTTTATCTTCATGGATCGTGAGAGGAATGAGAGGAGAGTAGGTTAAGAAAGATCGGACGTTTCGGAGTCTGCGGACCTTCCTCGCTTCCGCACCCACCCCTATCCAGGTATGCACCGCCCACAACGCACTATTATTCGTAGAGACGCCAAAGAACGAAGAGCAGCGAATGACAAGCGTTCGGTACGAAATCGACGTTTCAGTCGTCGAGTATGCGTTTGCGAAGTTCACTGCCACCGCAAAGGGACCTGTGCGGCTCGATCTTACCGCAGGTGGCTCAGCCGGCGCCCATGCTTTACGGCCGTTTTGAACTATTACTCGCGTGCTTGCCAAGATCTCAGCCTTCCTCAGCCCTATATGCGTCTGAGCTGTCGGTATTTTGTCGTTCTTCTCATTTGCTAGGAAACCTCACGAAACTTTCTGATACCCTCGTTTTGCTTCACCATAGGATACCCTAGATTTCTTCTTCGCCCTTGACTTTTCCCAACAGCCCAACTCAACCACTTCGATTTACTTTGACTAGGTCATCATGGAGATAAACCCGGTGGTTAGTATCGCACGCTGAGCAACAATGGTTACCTAACTAAGACTAGTGCGATACATGCAAGATGCGAAAGGTTTGCCTTACTATCCTGCTTTCATGGAGTGCCATCTCGTTGACCTATATTGAAGGTCAAATGCGATCGTAATGATCCCTGTGGCAATTGTGTAGATGGCAACATACAATGCAAACGTACAGCTTCAGCCCGCGGCACAACCAAACGACGAAGAGGTGCTGAAGTCATGCCGGCACAGAAGCGAAGTCGACATCACGAGCTCCAAACATCACCCGCATCCTCTCACTCTCCCAGTATACCTCCATCGCCATCAATACTGGAAGCTCAGGACTTTATTCGCCGGGAGATCAAGACCGGAAATCACATGCCCGCGGATAGGCTAGCTGTTTTGAAAGAGGCTATGTCCTTTGTGAACCATCTCTCTCAAATCAACAAGCCATGGGGCCGCACTAACTCACCTACTACGCGAGTTCTTGATGTACTGGAAGACATATCGTACCCTAACATCGAGGTTCTCTATTGGATGGTCCGTGGTAGGTCTCGTAGTAGCACTCACGAATTCTCACAGCTGACGGTTAATGTTAGACTTGAAAGGACGCAACCTTGGACCCCATGTGATGGATTACTTTAAGCACGTTTCTCCAAAATCTCTCAAGAACATGGGACACGCATTGATTTACAAGACCGTGGATCCTGAGACCCTGCTACTCTATTCAATCTGCGTAAACTCCGCTGCCTTCAAGTTTATCAATACTGTGCTAGGGGAGGACAGTATGGGAGAAGTTGGAGCGGGTATGCTTGAAAGTGCTTCAAAGTATCTCAAGAGTATTAAGCTGGCCATGACGCGTATTCACCTGCTGTCTGCTCCTTCGCTTGTTCTCCTACAGTCACTTCTGTGCAGTGTAAGAGACTCTCGCCGGCTACAGCAAAATCAGCTAAAAGACTACAGGCGTTCATCGCGCAAGGCGCTGGAGAGTTGACACATTGTTGGACGTTCATCACAGCTGCTTGTAGAATGTGCGAAGATCTATGCCTTGAAGCCCAGGTGAAAGCCTGCGGAACCGAGACAGATGATGACATGGAGATCTACTACTGTTATACATGGTGTCATATCCTTGACAAGAACTACTCCATGATGCAGGGAAAGAGCCGCTTTCTGCTTGAGTATGATGGCTTGGATGCGGCATTGTCGTCGCCCTTCAACAAAGACATGTCATCTCTGCTATCTACTTACTTGTACTTCGTCCCTATCCAGGCGATATACATGTCGGAACTTCATCCAGATCGGATTTCGAACAAAAAGTCGCTTCTATCAAGAGTCGAAATTGTGGTCAAGGATTTGCTTGAGAGATTGGAGCAGGTATACAGCAGAATAACGAGTGTGAGTCAATGCGGCTTCGGATTTTGGAAGATGAGACTGATGTGTCTAGTTGCATGCTGCGTCGGAGTCGTGGGGTGGCCTACACGTTGCGAGTGAGCTGAGTACCGTTCAATTCTCATATCATTCGCTCCGGACTTCTATTCTACGCTCAAGACAGATCTGTCAGCCCGCAAAACCGCATATTGACATCGATTGTCTTCACTCCGCGCGTATGGCTATGACTACTCTCAAGGTCATTCAGAAAGAGTCTATGACCATCACTGATGTTCGAGCACACATATCGTATATGCATTGGTGAGCATCTACCACTATTTCCTGGATCTCGACTAACTGACGAAGGACCGTACTCTACCACCCATTGACGCCTTTCTTCGTCCTGTTCTGTAACATTGTAGCCTCGTCCAACGAGTCAGATTTTGAGTTGCTTACCACCGTTACGTCTCAGCTCGACGGACTTGCGGATCTGAGCCCTCCGATTGCCAAATTACAGACACTCTTCAAGTCATTCCTTGGGCTTTGCGAAGGTCTTGTCACCGGAACCAAGGATACGTCACCATACGTAGCGCAATGCATGCACCCCCAGCAAACCACCGGACAGGACCGAGCAGTTACGTCTGCACCGCAGCCTCCTGTCCAGTTAGCTGGGGGACAACTGCAGTTGCCTATGAACACGAATGGGACCAACGCGGAATACACAAATATGGTTCAGCCCGCTGACGATGTGGCGATGGAGTTTCCGATCGATAATGGTTTAGGCTTACTTGACCCAAGCTGGGAATTGTTCGATACCCAACCTACCATGGGATGGCTGGATGCCGACTTCTCGTTCTTTGATGGCAATCAATGATTGAATGACAGACACGGACGTTGTATATTTCACCTCGCTGGTTCGATCAAAGTGTCTACGCATGGTACAGCTCCACTCTAATGATTCATCGATTGACGATTATGGACAAGGAGCAAAAATTCCAGCATGTACCCATTGGGAGCTTCTATGGCCAGATTATCTCTTGCCAAGGTACCACAGCGACTCCTGACATCTGTATCCTAGCCATGCGCAACGCCAGAACGACACAGCTCAGAATCGGCAACTTCATACGTACTGGCCTGATCCCAGCCTATCATCTCGCTATAAAATGCATTATCGTATCGAGGGGCTGGTGACGGCAACGAGAATCTTGGCGTGCCGACTAAAAATAGCCGGATCCGGACACTAGTATCTTACACTCGCTGCTGGGCGAACACCGGGAGACAAAGTGTTTTCACTGTAGATAAAACTGGAGGAGGGTTTCAGAGGCATCATGTTGTCAATTTTGCGCACTCTGCATTCGCACACAGAAAACCGCTTACAAGTTCTGTTTGGTGATATCAGATACTTCTATTATCATTTCTATACAACACTGCCGGTGCTAGTGTCGTCTGTTTCGAGCCCTTCTTTCACACCGACATGGATACTTCGATTCAACTAGATCACCCAAAGGCCATCTTCAGCAATGGCGACCTAATCACTGGCAATATCGTCATTTACTGCCATACAAGCATCACCAGAGTTTCAAGAATCACAGCGACATTAGTTGGTGAGAGTGTACTATCTTATACCGACACAAGCGGCTTTTTGATGGACCGAGAGCAACAAGACAAGCACCGCGTAAGTGACCATGGCATGGGTTTTGCTTCTCGGTTGAGATGGCTGTCAGACTAATGTATCTAGTTCGCACACGATTTCAAGATTATATTTCCTTCCCGCCATGATCAGAGGGTTTTAGGTGCCGAAAAATCAGTGAGACTGGGCTTCGGATATCACAGCTTTCGGTTTGCATTACGGGTAAGTTGCTTAGTGATTACACGCATAAGTTATACTCAAGCACTCGTTACTAAGCGTATATGTAGATACCTGATGCAGTGGAGTGCAGCTCATGCCCTCCAAACTCCCCGGTTGTATCGCCGGAATGCAATGAGAAATATGCAGTCCAGTCGCCATCCTCTTCGCACGATATGCTCCCACCATCAATGCACGATATTGTTGATGGTGCAGCGATCTCATATCGTATCGATTTAGCAGTAACCAGCATACGCAGCATTTTCAAATCGACGATAAAACCGGTAAGCTAGATCATTATCTTGAAGAAGCGCTGCCTCTGACTTGCGTGTGCTGTTGCTGACAATGTATAGAACTTGAACATCACAGTATGGCCTATGGAAACACATAACCAGTATCTCGGCTCCTTGTCCAAGGAAAATAGCACATTTCCATGCGTAAAAACAGTGCAAGCAACTATCATGGGTCCATACGCTCAACTTCCAGCACTAGTCGTCTCTCCGACTGAATACATGCATCACCTCTCCGCGGCCATCCCTCCAGCTCAGATATCAATGTCAGCTCATTTCCTACCGGATTACTCAATCCTCCGCAACCGCCACATGATGATACGACTCAGCATTTCGAAACTCAATGAATTTGCATACAGCCTCTACCTGCAGTCTTTTCAGATGCTGTTGGTTGGGTATACGGATATCAAAGCCAAGGGTCCGTCTCTTACGAATACGCAGATTTCCTGCTGGACGATTCAAAGCATGAGCAACCTCGGTTTGCCTGTACTCCGTTATTCTGAAAGCGTCGGTACCGAAAAATACATTGATAGGAGTCTATGGGAAGGCGAAGCACTGCCAGATACCATTGTCCCAAGTTTCGACTCGTGTGGGTTGGCGAGAAGATATGAATTGGATATCTCTATGGGGCTTCAATGTCGGGATACAAAGGTATGTTCGACATGTGATCAGGAGGATTGTTGGGGAGTGATGATTAGCCAAGTGTGTACTAATTATGTCTAGGATCAGGCTGGTCGGATACTATTGGTTCAATTGAGGACACCGGTACACGTGTCTTCTGGGATACGTCCCGGTAGGAAGCTTGAGAGTGGGGACGATAAGAAGCTGTTTCTGAACGGAGAGCTAGTACCGATTAGTATGCGTTCACAAGACGATATGGGTACGCAAGATGAGAATCGGCACGGTGCTACCCAAAGGGTGGGTGCTGCGAATGAAGACTACGGCACGCCAATGGGTCCGCCGCCTACGTACGAAGAAGCTACCACAAGGTCTTGGTGATTGAGGATGTCGTGCTTGCGTCAAACGCAGCTTGCCCCGTTAGTAAATGGAGTTCTTGCATTCGTGAAATTACACCTGGGAGATTCTGATGCCACACTTCTCGATAGGCTCAGCCCAATATGTCTGACTGAATTTACCATATGAGTTTCTGTATCTCTTGTTTCTTTCCTCTACTAGATCGCTTCCCCAGAAGGCAATATTTCCAGAATCAGATATTTCCTTTGAAACGTAGTATTTATCTTCGACATTTAATAAAAAGTTGAGCTGTCGGACATGACGGCAATCTCCTGCTTGGTTTCGCGCATATGTTGAACTCTCACTATTGCATAGAAGAAATTGAACGATGATTTGAAGTTTGGATGGTCATAGACGTTATCATCAACAGGGTCTGGAAACATGTAAAAGATTGGACTCTCATAGATCTGCTTGGCTGATGGTTCTATGCTGCTAAATTGAAGGAGTATCGACAATGCAGCTTGTGCACACGCAGTCGTTCCCTCAAAACATGTTCCAAGTGTCTGACCGTCATCAACTCTTCCACGGCAAACTGTCGTGTCATTTTTGAAGATACTGGGCGCTCCGGCGTTTGTTCGCACTCAGAGTGGCTTCGCGACGACCTAAACACAGTACTTTTCTTGTGTAACCGAAGATGGCCTATCTTGAGCCATGTCGCTCGCGTCCACGGTCTCTAGCTCTTCTTCAGATTGTTACCCGCATACAGCCATCTCATATCAGTTCCACGTCCCCTGTCCCACAGCCCACACACCAAGCCCTTACTGCGCTCCATCTGACAACCCAAACATCACCTCTCTTCATCTCAAACCTGCGATCTGTCCCCTCGACGAAAATCTCCCCAACATCACGCAATGCCCTCACAAACACCGCTTTGTCTTCATCAGGCTTATCGATCATGCTGATGCCACCTGTTGTGTCATCGAGTCGTTGTAGCGATACTGGGAATTGTGAGAGAAACGAGGATGTGTAGTGAGAGGAGAGGAGCGCTTGATGGGACGTAAGGTATTGGTACTCGGATGGAGAGAGAAGCGGGTAGGGCATCTCGAGGGAAGTCGTGTGCAGCGATTGGATGTGTAGAGGGTGTGAATCGATCTACGAATGTGTGTCAGTATGCCGCTGTAAGGATTCGTAGAGTAAGTTTTGTCCCTACCTTTTTTATTCTCGCCCTCAGGAAACTGCGAACCAAGAACTTGAACCGCTCGAGTTCTGTTTGTATGATGATGAGTTTGAAGTTTGTCTTGGGGTCCATGTTGCCCGTTTGGTCTTCGACCAGTTCAATCTGGCTGCGTCATTAGCTATCTTGTGTTGCGCTCGCCGAAGCTCTCTATGCGCTCACCTGTCTCTGAATTCGCTCGAGCACCCTTCCCATAAGTTCTTCGGGCCATGGCAAGATCTCTGGTGCGACTCTCTCTGCAACCCAACACCTCGTCAATTCCTGCAAATCGAGCGCCTCCCTCGGCGTCGACCCTACTGCGACCTCTGCGAGAAGATCATCGATATCCATGGTGTGTCTCTCACTCCCATAAGAAGCTCTACTGTGTTGCTGAGTTACGGCAACGCGTCGGCCAGTATGCGGCGCAACAATTTTGTTCGTTTCCCCTTGGACCCAGATGCGACGGAAGCGTGTTCGGAAGGCTAGAGGCGAAGGCGGGGATAAAATCGATCGGAGGTGACGCAATCGGCAAGCACCCGAGAGCCGGTAGAAAGTAAAAAGCGAGATCTGGAGTATGTATCAGGCTCGATGCATGCGTGTGTTGGCTTGCAGCGAGCGTGCATGCAGATGCACATGTTCGGTGGGGCAGGGATGCGAGATGCGGGGGGCTCTAGCGCAGACGCGTCGGACGCGTTCAACACAACACGGAGAGAGCCGCGTCGTGATCCAGACGTTGTTTACACCGAAAGAAGCAAGCAAGTCACAAGGTGCATAGGCATGAGCTAATGCAGTGCAGCTATCAACTGCCGTCGCTACCGCACTATTTCAATATGAGCTATAGCTAGTTTCTGCCCAGGTAGCTCAACATATAAACTGTGCATGGGGTTAATGCATCGCGACTTCTTCATCAGGAGAGTGGTACTGGCAGGTTGGTTCGGTGAAGAATTCTTTGTTATTTGTCGCTCAATCCATCGCAGTACTGCTGGAACCGATCCTTCGACCCTCAGCATTGCCTACAGCCAAGTACCTCCTCACAATTGCAATTGTAAATACACCAGCGAGAGCAGTAGCAGGTGAAGCATACATGACGCAAGAAATGACAGAGTCCAGTATGAGTGCGGCCGAGTATGATATCGAATGAATTGTATTAAGGAAACTGGCAGAAGATGCCGCGTAGGTGATTAATGCTTTAAAGGCACGTAGACCTGTTTTGTGTACTTGGTTTCGTGATGATTCTTAGATTCTTGTTCTGAAGAACATGTGCAGGCGATAATTCAGCGCTGCTGAGCCAGGAGAGATCCGTGTGAGGATGGGTACTAGGAACAAAGGAAATGAATGAGCTCGCGAGGCAGCCTTCTTTGGACTGCTCAGCGCTCGCCGTAGACAAGATGGGTATCCAGCAATCCCTATCAAGAAATGGTAACTTTTTGCCCGGGCCCACGGCACCGCGACAAGGGGTATAGAAACGAAAACGGGGACAGGACACCCCAAAGATCAGATGCAGACTGGAGCCGCTGTGCAAAAATCCCGAGTGATGCAGAACAAAGGGAATCGCTCAAACGCCCCGGAAATGGAAAAGGACCAAACGCCAATGCTGTGGGGATCCAATGCCATGCAGCAATCATCGATAACGCCGTGAATCAATCCGCCATGAGTTAGTTTAGTTTCGTTATAGTGTTGGTTGGTTGTTGTGCAGGCCTAATAAGATGCCATGCGACGGGAAGCGGCGTTGACACGTCCGATTTCAAGAGAGTCATTGCCGAGGGTGAAGAGGTTGTTTCCAGATCTTGTACGGCCCATGGCTGTAGGGCTGTCTTCCATCTGGCAGTGCTGCCCAAAGGTGAAAGTGGTAGCACGGTTGAGTTTAGCACGCGACTTGAACTTGAGTTTGTTAAGGCCGCGTTCACAGGATTGCTCATGCTCTTTGGCATCCATGCGAAGGTAGTTCTGGGGATAGCAGCGAGTTGCGTGTGCATGATAGAAGGAGCTGTAACCGCCGTCAAGGATGTAAACTTCAGGGAACGAAAGGTGAGGATATTGATGCGCATTCTCCTTGCGATCTTGCGAGCGAACAAACTTGGCCCTGTTGCTGTTAGTGATGACCATAGGCGGGGGTATTGGAAGGACTTACATGAGAGGAGCACGATGCGCTGAGTACTCGCAGTGCAGTATCAGAAGAGTGTTGTCACTTGACGGAGCCTGGAAGAGACGCTCGGCAAGCTTCTCCTTGTCACAGAAGTTCAATGCACCTTCAATGTGGCCACCATTGTATTCGTACTCGAAGCGGCAGTCAATAACCACCTTGTTGTCATACAAGTGATCATAAGCACCGTCAAGGACCTCCACCAATGTCTCGTGGGTAATACGGGGGAGGCTCTCTGGCTCGCTGGTAGTGAAGTGTGGAAGCTTCAGTGGGTTGGCATCATCGACATCCATCACAGACTGAAGCCCACTGGGCTGGTAGTCATCCTGTTCCTGCTTGGCATTCATCACTTCACCGGGACTTTCGAACATGCTTAACGATCTGCGGAACTTGCTGGGACGACGAGAAGGGGGGCCGACAGGCTTCCTGACAGCGGCGAGAGGGGAACCATTGGCACGAGCGGCAGTAGAGTTGAGAGAAAAGGGCTTGGGTTTCGATGCGAAGAGAGAGCCATTGGAGGTGGGACGACGTTCTTGAGGTGGGGAGGCAGTAAAGCACTCATCCAAGCTCAATGAAGACGAGTTCCTGGCGAAGTCACCGCAACCAAATTGGAAAGCCGGCAGCGAGGTGCTCGATGGCTTTTCTTGGTCCTTGAACGACACACTGTTAGTAGAGTAGTTCTTGTGGCGCGAAAGAGAGGGCCTGAGCAGAGCGGACTTTCGGCGTCTATATTGTATTAGTATGGACTGAGTGAAGGAGCGGCTCGTGTACTGACTCAGCGGCTGACACGGGTCGTGGTACCTCGAGTGAGGGTGTAGAGTATGTGGGTGGGGTAGGTAGGTCGTCACATGGAGTGAGCATGTCGCTGTCGGATCCTGGGGTCACCTCTGGGGAGGGCGAGGGTAGGGGCAGGCAGCGGTCGTTGATGAAGCTGAAAGGTGCCTTGTGGGGAAGAGGGGAGATGTCCATGGAGTCTGGTGCGAAGCCGGGCGAGGACGATGGGATTGGCGGAGTCGTAACGCCTTCCCAACGAGCCAGTGGGGTCGTGATTTCTGTTTGAACCTGTCAGCATGATGCCTCCCGTTTGGAGTGAATGCACAGCCACTTACCCCGTGTGTCGAGTTGCTGAAAGAGATTCGACGTGAAGAGCGACCGGCGAGGCGTCTGGAGCTGGGGGCTACAACAAAGCATGTCAGTACCGCAATGGGAAGGTATAGAGGGACAAAGAGGGATTGTACCTCTGGTCCATGTGCAGGTTGCTCGACATGTCGGCGGCCAGGCTGGTCGTGGGCGACGAGCCTCGCATGGGCTGCAGGGTGAAGTAGTCTCCCCCACTCTTCTTCATGCTGAGGTCGCGGAAGTTGAAGCTCTTGGGACCCAGGCTGTGTGCTCCTCCAAATAACGGCTTCGATTGTGGCAGGTCACGACGGTATCCCCAGGGGCCGGGGATGGGCGGCGGGTGCATGGCCGCGAGAGGTGAAGACATCTCCATGATGGGCTGGTGTTGGTGATGGTGGTGGCTGTCGTAGTCGTAGTACCGGGCAACGAGCGTTTGCACGTCTTCACTGAACGGATGTCGAAAAGGCGATACTGGCGATAAGCATGCAAGACGGGAAAACTAATTCCAATCTGAAGATGCTGGGTGAGATAGCTGGTGAGATAGCTCGATGGGGTCGTGGCCGTGGTAGAGATGCTAGAGGCGGGCTCCGGACATGAGGCTGAGAGCGGCTCTGTGTTGGGCGTAGTGGATGGTGAACGAGGTAGCGACTGCCTATACGATACTCTCTTCCTAATATCAATCCAAGCAAAGCAACCGTCGTCCAAAATCCTCAGCCAACTTAAAGAGGGGATTGGGCCTTCTTGGGTGCGAGAAGGGTAGAGAAGAGGAAGGCGGGTCCAGGTCACGCAGCTGGATTTGAGGATGCCGTGGTTGCTGGGGTAGCCCGCTGCTGGGTTCAGGTTAGGGCCGACGACCAGGGCGTAGGCTTTAGAGCTAGGCGCTTGCACACACCGGAGGCCTCAATGTTCAGCACGGGACAAAGAATACTGGGGACTGGAGTTTGCTTGCGCCGGCTATGCACTCAGCCCAGAGCTATGCTGTTGATCCGCAGCCTCTAATGCCGCCGCAGGTACACCGGCCGCTGATTTGATCTCGATCCTACGTAGTCCATCGCGTAGCTGCAGCAATACGCAGCCTGCAGCTAATCACGCGAAGCCGACGTAAACAAGCGTTCGCAGCTGTTCCATGTATTGCAACATCGCCCGACTGTCACCGTCTTGCAGCACTGACAGCCAGATCCATAATATAACCATCCAACGTGACATGCTTCACCGAAACCTTGACCTGAAATGAATCTCGATGAGGCTCAGTTCCAGCCAGTTCCAGCTGCACCTCAGCATCGCGTTGCCAGAGAAGCAATTCCCTAGCTCGGCACGGATCAGACGCAAGCGGAATGGGTGCTCCCTGTCAGCCCAGCACGATACGTGAAACCATACGTTCGCTCTGCGCCTAAACTCGCGCCGCCGAGAGAATTTCTCCCCTCGGAGTGGTTCTGCGTGGAGTGCTCTAGCCGTGCTGCGTAACGTACAAACCGTCTCCAAGGGAAACCGACAGAGCTGCCCACTCGCTACCGAAGAACCACCAGCCTAGCATATCTATGCATACTACCGCACACTGCATACCTCTTTCGGCACCAACTACCCCAACTCCAGCCTCGTTCAAGACGCGTGAGATGTCTTGGACGGCACGCTCGGTCTTCATCTGCGTAGACTTTCGTCATAGTATGGCCCAGCAGCAAGCTTGGCTGCTCTGCCAGGGACTCTGCCAGGGAACCGCCTCGCTGTAACACGGCTTATGACGCGCCCCATTGGCTGCCTCTCCTTTGCCCGACTCATTGGGCGAGCGGGAGATTTTCAGTCTGAATTCGGTGCAGCGAGACCGACGTCGCAGGCCTCGCAGGCGCCGCTGGCTTGACGACGTGAGCTCACCCCGGCCCGTTCGCCCTCTGATCCCCTTAGACCCAACTGGGTACATAAAACAGGAAAGGCTCCGTCCTACACGCTACCGCTCTAGTTCCGTGCTCGCGATCGAACTCTCCCCTCTGCGATCGCGATGGCGACATACATCGAACGTCATAGGCAATAAGGCTGAGATGAACTGCCAACTTTGCTATTCTTATCGACCGGTTTGCTCCAACTTCTGCAAACCAGTTCAGACAACTGTCAACCTGTCGACCAAGCACCCTCGCTAATACTCGCAACAACAACACCATCGTCAGCCATGGCCTCTCGGAGTGACCGGGGGCCGCTGTCATAGTTGTTGTGGTGCCATTAAGAGGCGAGCTGAGTCGTTGTTCGAGAACGGCGGCTCTCCCACCACCACTTTGCACAAAGCCTTCATAACCGGCACGCGATCGGCTGGACCCCACCACCAACGGGCTGACCCCTCCTTTAGTGGACCGCCAGACACTCGACAAGGCCAGTGTGTGGCGCTTGTTGCACGCGCCTCGAAAAACCATCGTCTCGTCTCCAGGTGCGACGCGTCAAGCTTATAGTACACAAACAACCGTCTTCGCGCCATCACCTGACCTAAATAGGTGAAGGCGAGTCTCACCACAGGGTCTGCGTCATATACCCCAGACCTCGGGGCCCGCTTGACCATGCCGCCAGAGGAGGCCTCGCGTTTCGAGACCCTGAAAATCTGCACTGTGGTGGCAGCTTAGCCGCAAACTCTTTGTCATGGTGTCTTTGAGACTTCATCGTGTCAGCACCTGGCCGGACGCATCCGACTTATGTGCAGTACCAAATACATCATGGTGGACACTTTGTGTGAAGAAAAACTCTGTTCATGATTCTCAAGACTATCGCGGGACATGTTTCGGGCCCGAGGGTCACTCACCATGAAAACCCAGAAGCTGCTGAAGCTCCTTGAAGCGTTCACGAGTATCAGCCATTATCGGAAATCATCCCTTGCGTCCCGTTCTCGGTCAGCACGTTGCACATCAGACCCTCTTTCGTCGGACAAAGGATTCACTTATAGTAATATACCTCGAGGGTGCAAGGCTCCAACAGGAAGCACGGGTTTCACCTCGATGCAAGCGGCGCCTTCGCTTGCGGCCTTGCGTGTTCCTATCTCTCGGAGCTTGCGTTTTCTGAGACAACGCGGGACGCTGTGACACGCGCTTTCAGCCTGTGACTGCGGGGACATCCGGTGAGCATCCGCAGCATCGTCACATTCCAGATTTAAATTTCGCCAGTACAAAGAACGGTAAAATTCTGCAGCGCTGTTTCGCCTTCCCGCGGGGTAGACCCTTCAGATTTCTAAACACACCATTGCGCATCATCTTCCATTGTCAATCTTCACGATTCATCTTGCCGGATGACGGTTTAGCTTTGCCCGGCGCCTCTCGCATATTTGCAACATTGTTGCCATGGAGATGCATGGGGTCAGACGCGCCTCATGTGTACCCAGCCGGCTCCTCTTTGCACAACCCATTCGTATTATCCAAAGTTTTGAAAGAGTCAGTGAATTATGTGCATACCGTGAGCAAACTTTGCAAAATGTGCAAAAGGGGGTGGAGTTTGGGCAGAGGCACCGACCACGCAATCTGCGATATCGATAGGGAAAACTTCACCGCCTGCTCCTTTTCTTATTGAACACGTAGAATCTTAGTTGCACAGAGCAACGTGAAGTATTTAATCGCCGTCGCGCCCTCTCGAATTGTTCTTGTGTCAGCCCGACGGTATCGCTTCACGCTCTTGCATACCAAGTATCGATTGCCTACCTTGTCCACAGCACATTGGTATCTATCGATATTTTGAACAAAGGGTCAAGAATGCTCGCTGGGACACAATCAGTCATGTTACGGGGTGATGGGTGCGTCCAGTGGTATTAAACTTGGTATAAGAGAAGGGATGCAAGAGCTGGTTTATGGCGATATCGGATTCTCTACCGCTCTCATTCATGGAATGGCATCAAAAACTTTTGCAAGATAGTCGGGATGTGCATGAACGATGTGTTCATCCAAAGCATGTTGCGCACTCATCATAAAGGATTGGAGTCACGTTGAAGAGTGAACTCTTCAGCGCCTACTACATTAGAGACTGGGATATACATCGCTGCCTCGCTCCTGTCAGCCTCTGAACCACAAGAACCTAGTCTTCTCCGTTATCGTGGTTACTCAAAATATGTCTCATGCCCAGGCCGTTTCGTGCTCGATCCTCTTGCTCTACTACGCTGAACGGCAATCCTTTCCCAATACCACATAACACGAAAGCCGCCCACTTCCACCTGAATGGATTGATCGCAATCGTAAAAACGAACCAATAGATCAGTTCTGAATATGTGAAGAAGTCGAAAGCCCCACCAGGAGCTTTGCTCTTGATGAACCGCGTCATGTCGATCCAGCGCTTCATCCACCAGGTGCGCGGTCGAGCCAGAGGGTCAACGAGGTACATAAGCAGGAAGCGTGTGTAGATGCCGATATGGTAGTTTCCAACTGTGCCAATAGCGTTGACATATGTGCAGTTGTTTGCACAGATTGAAGGGTGTTCAGGTGGGAAGACTTGGAGGTACCAGTTTGGTGGCTCGTACGGCTCGTTGAAGACTTCATCTGGTAAGAAACCTAGGCTTGGACGCTTATATCCCGTTGCCATGATAACAATATCCGCTTCAATTAGTTTCTCAGAGCCAGGGCCGTTCTTAGGAACTCCTTGAGCACGCTTGTTAAACTTGATGCCATTGCCGGATTCGTCATAGCCCATGATGTCGCCGCGAAGCCATGATGCTTTGCCTGAACGGACAAGGTCTAGCACTTGGTCATTTACCATTGGTGTTTCAGTGAACAGACCCTTTCCGCTGTTGGGCGCAGGGGAGATATCGTAGAGGTCACGGTAGAAGAAAAGTCGTAGGATGTACTCAGGAATCCAACTGAAGATGGTCTCGCTGCCGAAGATGTTCAGAGCAAGAAGGCTATCGATGAACGGGTTTCGTGGGATGATCCATTTCTCTGACCGGGCGAGGACGTTGGTGTGCTCTGCTTCTGAGCTAGCTACGAATTCCAAAGCTTCAACTGCGGAGGCACCGCCGCCTATAATAGCAACCTTCTTGCCTTTAGCGTTCTTGCCGTCGAGCTGCGAGCTATGCCAAATTTCACCCTTAAAATTCTCTTGGCCAGGTAGCGTGGGCATCTTAGGATCACCACAAGTACCAATTGCAGCTATTACACCATCGAACCGTCCGTGAGAGGGATCATTGATGATCCATCGCCCATGAGGATCTTTGTACACCTTTTCAACACGTGTGTTAAACTCAGTCTTACTTTCAAGACCATATCGTTTCCAGAGTTCCGTGATCTGTGAAACGATTTGCTGGCGATCCGGATATCCTTGGCTCCAGTGCACGGAAGGGTGGAACCTGTACATGAGCGAGTGAATTTGCAGACCAGATGTATTGTTCACCCGACTCCAAATTCCACCGAGATTCTTCTTGGACCCGGCTTCGAAGATGCGGCAGTCGAAGCCATGGCCAACAATATGTGATGCAGCAGATACTCCGGTTAGACCTGCGCCAATGACAGCGATTTTTGGGCGCACGAGGTTTGGGTGTGGTGGTGGCGGTGTTGGCGACAGAACCCAATCAAGCACATATTGTATGACTTGGTAAATGAAGAGGACAGGGTGGGTGAGGAAATATTTGATGTAACTCCAGAAGTAACCCATCCTGGCAGATGGCTTTCTGGCTTTTCGGGAGGATAGAGATGCAAAGGTGAAAGCAGGGTGACAGTCACAGAACTTAAAACTACATGAGCTTGACTTGTTTTGGTGGCGTTTATCCTCTTGCGGATCCTTACGGAAACGTGCAGCTTCGGACGTTGTGTTTCGCATATTACCACTTGTGATGTCACGGTGGAACCGCTGCATTGGTCTGACATGTGAAAGCCTACGAGACTGCTGGGTTGCGTTCGGCCGCGCAAGCTGAGACAGCGTTCGCCATTGCTTTTCAAAGGTCTCCCACCCAACGGTTCCTCCATATTCGAGTTGCCCATGTGAATTTGGTTCAAGACACCATCCTAGTGGCCAACGTCGACCAAAGTGTGGGAACGAATAAAGGATGTTTCTCACAGATCGGCGACAAGGATATAGCGGGTGGTGAGTCTGGGAGCTAGGACCTGACGCTAAGCCTAAAGCGCTCTGCTGCTGCTCTTTGAATCCACCGCTTAGCTCGACTCTTCACTTAACCACCAACGGTGGCTCCTGTAGCCATGTCTTTCTTCCGGAGCCAACCCGATGTAGAGACACGCTTGTGTACGGCGGTCAACGTCGCTATTCAAGCCGGGGATCCATATCAACTGCAGTCGATTGTGCTTCTGGAGCCAGGTGAAGGCAATGCTTTTCCACCCGATCATCAAGAACTCATTAAATCCTTGCAGCAGAATTACCCTGCTGGCAATGGAGATTCTGAGAAACGTCTTGAAGATCTTGTCAGACGAGTTGTGACTGAGACAGCAGAGTCAGAGGATGAGGAGGGTAGACCAGTACAGTCTTGGGGTTCGTTGGTTACTTTTCTCGTCGGATGGATGACCTTTCTCCGAGACGTAGACGCAGAGAATTTGGTTTTGGTGTTTGAGCTCATGACAGATCTTCAACCGTAGGTCAATAAGTGTATGCCTCAAAACTACTCGATGCTGACGTATCCCTAGGCGAGCAAACAGCGCCTTACAGCATCCTACTAAAGGCATCCTGATGCTTCCCACCATCATGTACTATGCAAAGGTGTTTGCAAGAGTGGCGATTGGACTAGAGAAGCGGCCCGACCTGACAATGCATCTCATCACTACCGACGTCGACGAGGATGGGCAAAGTGAATCATTGCCCGAAAGGGCGGCCAACATTGTACGACAGGCCTTCATTATATGCCTCAATGACCGTAACACGGTGCCAGGCGGCATCAAAGACGGCAAGCCTGATGGAAAGAAGGTTGGAATCTACAAAATGGCAAATATATGTTTGAAGACTTTGTTTCAGGCCGATAAGCTTGGAAGCTGCGAAACCATCTTCAACAACATATCCAACTCATCACCACCACTACACATTTATCCAGCTGCGGAACGCATCACCTATCTTTACTACCTCGGGCGATACCAATTCAGCAACACCAACTTCTACGGAGCTCAGCTCGTTCTGGAACTAGCTTACAGAGGCTGCCACAGGCAATGTCCGAGTCAACGTCGCTTGATTGCCGTCTGCCTTGTCGCTGCCAACATCATCCTTGGGCGTTTCCCAAATGAACATATCTACAATGACCCTGCATGCGTGGGCTTCCGCGAAGTATTCGAACCGCTCACTCGTGCAATTCGCAAGGGAGACCTCGAAACTTTCCGCCGAATAACGAACCTGGACCTCTCACATCCAAGTGCAGAGTTCATGATCAAGTACCGGATTTTCTACCCTATTGGCAACTATTGTGAGGTTCTCGTATGGTGGTCACTTCTCCGTAAGACTTTCATCCTCACCGGAAGCATAGGCGAAGCATCAAAATCAGCAGCTTTGCTCGACCTCAACGCAGCGGTTCTTATCTTCCGCTTCCTCGAGGCGCGTTCGCTCATCAAGAACGCCGCCATGGCCGCGCAAGACCGCGGCCCAGGTCGCCGGAACTTCGGTCATATCTTCCAAGACCACGCATCAACCAATAAGTCAACATACATCGACCCTGATTTCGTTGGCATGGAAGGGGTGCAGCCATACACCCATGAGTTTGATCTATTGGAGATGGAGTGCATCTGCGGCAGCCTTATTACTCAAGGCTATTTGAACGCATACATTGCTCAGGCGAAGCAAAAGCTCGCTATTCAAGGTGTAAAGACGGGTAACCTGAGTGCAGGATTTATCAATCCGTGGGAGGTCAACAAAGACAGAAACAAGGATGAGGTGCTTGGGTGGAAGAAAGAAGCTGGAGGTGATGGAGGGCAGGTTGTAAGGTTGTCGTTCGCGGCACCGGCTGGATCGTAGGAGACGTTGCGAATGATACCCTGGTACTTATGTTGGATATGGATATGTCCTGATAAGGATCTACATTTGCGTGTGTTGTTAATCCAACGCATATCAAACATTCAGAAAAAACTCTGTCAATGCCGACCTGCCTCTGTTGATCGTAGTAAGCCATCCAATCTCGCACTGGCCTTGGTCGTTTCTTCACCCTTGCACTTCATCTCGTGTCCAGCTAGAAGGTAAACGTCGCACCAGAACTTTTCACATTTGCTACACTGTAATTCTCCTCAAGGGTCGCGTTTGTGCAAGCCAGCGTGCGTTGCATACGCGCAAGAATCCATAGGTGCTTCCATGCGAACCAGCCACGGACATGTCCGAATGGTATACAGGTCCGAGCGCTCACATTTCTTTGCGTGTTGTGTCACACTATGGTAGGTTGAGAGTAGCTTGTCGCATTCTTCGGGCAAGGTATCCTGCAGATGCCAGTGTACAAGTCAGTGAGGCCCTAAATGCATTCTGTGAATTCACAACCTACCTTGGCGTGCCATCGTGTAGTGTAGAAAGAGACTGGAATCCTGAGCAGATGGGACGCGTTACCCACGCAACCTACATTTCGCTGCGCGTATTAAGACCTATCGGGAACAAAACTTACCGCGCTCTCTTAAGCTCAAAATCAATTTCTGCTCATTTCCTGCCAAGTTGCCTAACCCCCCACGACTGATGTATATGCTATCGAAAGGAAACACTGGATGCTGAGAAAATATAACATCTAAGGACTGAAATCAACATATGGAAAAGGAACCTACGCAGAGCATGAGCATTGCTGAACATTAAGTAGCAGAAGAATACAATCAGGTACCCAAGGAAATAGACTAAAGACGAGAATGCGTCTAGTCAAGAGTGCATCTTTGGATTATGTAATTCTAGTGGATATCGAGTAACATGAGATGCCGCTCGTGAAGGTCGCATGTTTTTTTTTGAGCCGCTTAGTACTATGATGAACTTTCTTATGTTCCGCCTCACACGTGCGCTCATTGTCCGACGTTAGTGAAGCGCAAGTACTTCTTGACCTCCCTGACATCGCCAAACTTCTTCCTCGCATCCTCAGTGGAGACACTGGGCGGTACGATGACGTCCTGGCCCTTCTGCCAATCGATAGGTGTCGCAATACCCTTCTTATCTCCTGTCTGCAAGCTGTCGATGACCCTAAGGACCTCTGCAGTGTTCCTGCCCGTGCTCGCGGGGTACGACATTGTGAGGCGAATCTTCTTTGCCGGATCGATAATGAAGACCGAACGGATTGTAAAGGCGATGCCACCGTTCTTCTGAAGCGCGTCGAGGTCGTCTTGCGAGATCATATCGTAGAGAAAAGCGACGTGGCGATCTGCGTCAGCGATGATTGGGAATTGTACCGTGGTGTTGGACGTCTCATTGATGTCGTCGATCCACTGGTCGTGCGAGCTTAGGTCATTGGCGCTCTGCAGTATACGTCAGTAGGCTGATGTTAAGCCACCAGAGGTACGATGAGACGTACCAAACCAATCATCTGGACGCCTCGCGCATCAAATTCATCCTTGAGCTTTGCGAAAGCTCCAAGCTCAGTTGTGCAAACGGGAGTGAAGTCGGCAGGGTGCGAGAATAGGATGGTCCACTTGTTGTCCAAGAATTTATGGAAGTCCTGTTTGAGGTCAGTATATCTTCCACAAACAATTTGTTGGAGATATCTACCATGTCGCCATGAGTAGTCTTCGCCTGAAAGTTGGGTGCTACGCATGGTCAGTATGATTCACCTCTTGACTTGGAATTCTCTCCAAGAACCACATACCAATGGATCCCAGTCTCAGTCGTGGTTGCTCAGCTGGGAGCGCGAATCCACGACGGAATAGCGGGGCAGCAGGGCGCTGTACCCTTAGTGCAGGGCGCGCTGAAGAGCGAAGAGCTCGGGAAGCTGCACGAGGGAAAAAAGAAGCCATTGTGAAGTTTGTGAGAGCAATCAGGTGCCTGAGGTGTGTTCTAGAGCTTTGGTGCGGTGTCTATGGCGGCGATGTAGATTAGTAAATCGGGGACTTTTTGATATGGCGTCATGTCAAATGAAATGGTCCGACGGTCCGAAATCGGCTCCCTTTGCCTCTCCGTACTGTAATGAATTCATCGCTGCAGAATGTTCGGCGCGCTGAACATCGTCAGCGTATGACAGTGCCCAAATTGATGTTACGCGTACAACAGCAACAACTCTGCCACACGTGTGCCACGCGACATGTTCAACATGACGTCAGCGCGCGTATTAGCATCCGCTAAGCTACCGATCATGTCTTACGCACTTCCATCTACTTTCCCATCTTTGATGGTTATCTCTAATTCGTCCTCTGAATCCAGCATGATTGGAACAGTCCAACTCTTCCATAGACGCACTGGGACCTTCTCGCCTTCTCCCTCCTCTTTCCTCAGCACGTCGCGCCACCATCGGCAACCCTTTGGATGCATTCGAATCTTGTATCGTCCGTCCTCAAGGCCCTTCATCTTTGAGCTAATATCGACTACGTTAACGACTGGGGCTTCAGCCTTCAAGATTGACAACTCATCAATCGTCGGTCGCAGGTCGGCTTTTGAATCCCTCAAGTGGCAGATGCTAGTATCGTGATGTCCGCGCACTATTTCACCAGTTGCAGCATTGACGACAAAGAGGCTTGACACGGGCGATTGTCGTTGCTTTGACTGGTCGATGATCCTTGGGCGGTTGTCGAGTGTGTCAGGTTCTGGCGCCGAAGGACCCCATGGGACGAGAAAGTTCTGGTGCCCCCGTGGTTGTACGGTCACAGTCTCAGAGCCAGTATTGACAACAGTGACTTCCAAGGACGTACTCTTGACTAGATGCATCCTCACCTCTAGTTGGGGTGGAAACGTCAGGTTATCAACAACCTTAAAAGCTGCATGGCCGTGAGAGTAACTGTTTACCAGTTTCGCTTCCACACCGTCTCCGTCGCTGTCGGAGAACTTCTCTGGGTCACTGTACACCCATTTTTTAACACCAAGGTCGCGGCTTGCGAGTTTTATCCTGTATCCTTTTTGCGGCTTCAGGACTAATGCTAACACCCCCTGGGGATCGATAGCACATAGGTATACCGTGAGATCATCTCTCCAGTTCTTTTTCCGGTGGATCGGAGACGGAACTGAGATGCAACCTGAGTTGCTCTCATCCACCTCGCCCATCGAGCTTATATCCACTTCAACCCACTTCGTAGATTCCCCAGGGCGTTCTTCGTACAGTGTAAGTAACCCATGCGTCAGGGCGTAAGGCACATCGAAGACTGAACCAGCCGTTTCAACGAGTATTGGTCGAGGGTCTGTATCGGACTTTTGTAACCGACAAAGACCAAAGACCACACTGAATGGTAGCTTTCCTGATGTATCGAAGGCGTTGTAACGACTGTTGAGCTCTACGTGAATCAGAACTTTGGTCATTTTGGTTTGTATTGACAAAAGCAGAAGAGCCTGTTGATGCCAAAGGAAGTGAAGGGAAGAGCGTTCTTGACTATGGCCTTCGCCTGAAATGACGTCAGGCAAGCACTACGTGTAAGCCGTGGTGTGCCTTAAGGTGTCAACGTGAGTCAGATATTTCGAACGGGCGACATAAGGGGATCCAATCCCAGCTATCCATGAACAATACCCAATAGTCTAAAAAGCGCTTTTCGGATTGCTCGACGTGTTCACTGTTGCGCGAGTTCCTCTTCTCGACGAGGAATGACAGGTCAAAATCGGTATTGACTGGAATGTGTACAAGTACGGTCAATAAGCCACAGCTTGTAAGGTGTGACTCTTATTCGACCTTAGATACCTGAAACACACGTCGCCTCAAGCAAGTCACACTGTAGTGGTGGTCATATATAGCTAGCTATAGAATGTCAAGGGTGGTGAGAATGAACGCAAAGAGCTAGACCAGTTATTTTTGATGGTTCCCCTTATGAAGCGCAATACGTCAACAGATGTGATCAGATCCGACAGGGCGCCATATTGAAGTCATTCAATGCTAAATACGAAGCTGTGCTTACTGGCTTACTAATGGTTGACAGCATTTTCGACCATAATGGATACCTCACGTTCTCAGGATTTTGAGAGTCTTCCACTATTGACTGCTCGCATGAAGCGGGCCGGATGGTTGAATCCTGCAGACAAGGATAAGGAAGTCTTGCGCCAGCAGTAGTCTTATGCAACACAAATCCTTGCAACTCCTAGCGGTAGTGTCGATCATTTGAGACTATATCATGGATCCGCTATTTTGGCAACCGAGTGCTTGGAAGGTAGCGCGGTGGCGCCGTTGAGTACTTTCACTTCGGAGTGTTCGTCAATTCATTAATTGCGGGTATGGTGACGTTGTCTGCACCGAATTGGTAGATACGATTCATAGTTGCAAGGCCGAAGACGTAGTGATTAGTATGCTAGTATTGGACGCGTATCAGCATGCTTCAACTACCCGGAGACCATGCCATTATGCTTGTCTAGATTGGGTGGGCCCAACAACCTTGTCCATCTCTGTAGTGTGTGATTCATTCCACGATCTGCGTAGCTGGATTGATTCCGCCACATTTTGTTAGCTGTAATTGTTTGTAACTGCAGCTGCCTTGTGTCGACCGTTTTGTAATTCCGAATTATAGAGATATACCCGCTGAGACGCTTATCAATAACCGTTCTTGGAAGTGAACTGCCGATATCATGTAGTTCAACAAGCATCCTGTGTCCGACTCTTTTGTATAATTGTTCAAAAACACCCATGACAAGCACGTCTTGTCTACGCCAATCTTACACAAGGTATAAAAGTACAGTAACGCCGTCCATACGCCTGCGATGGAGGAGGTTGTTCAACCCTTTATTGGTTCTCCTGCTTAGCTTGTTGTTGTTGCTGCTGCTGTTGCTGCTGCATAGCGTTCTGCCCCCAATTCTGCTGCAGGCCTGCGCTATTCGGTGGTTGTGAGGTATTCGAGTTGATGCGCTGTGGTCCTGGTGATTGCTTCATCTGGGGAGTTTGGCCTTTCCATCCCGGAAACAGCTCCTGGAGCTTGGTATACAGCTTTGCGAGCTCGGCGGGGGCGGCGGGAATCGACATTATGGCAGGCCCAGGCTGTAGTTGTTGACCAGGCTTGGGCACCTTCTCGGCGTTCTGCGCAAGGTATGCGAGGTTTGCCTGCAGGCGGCGCATGTAGCTGGGCTTGTTAGCTGAGACGGCGCGTGGGAGGCGGCGCACTCACTCTACGTACTCCTTGGATGGCTGGGGCTTATCGCCTTCGGGCTTCCCTTCTGGCGTGGGCCCTACTTGGCCGGCCTTGCCCTGCACCTGGAGCTCGCAGACCTCCTTTATGAGGATGCTGTTGATGTCGAGGAGGGTCGCGACTCGGTCGGCACTGCGCGCCTGGTTGACTGGCGACACAGGCGACGGGGGCACCTGCTTGACTGGCGTGTGGACCTGTGGCGGCTCGGCCTTGACGGGCAGCTGGAGATTCATGGGCTGCTGCTGGCCGTTGGTCTGCATGCTACTGGGCGACTGCTGGGGTTGGGGCGTCGCAAAGGGCGCCTGTCCGGTGGTGCTCGCGGGGGAGGCCGTCTGGCGGTTCTGGGCAAACTGGTGGTGGGCGGGCGAGGGCATCGTCTGCGCATAGGGCGCGTTGGAGTAGGGGCTCGGCGACGACAGCTGGTGTTGCTGCTGCTGCTGCTGCTGCTGCTGCTGTTGCTGTTGTTGCTGTTGTTGCTGTTGCTGCATGGCGGCTGTTCCATGGTGTCATGTCAGCCAGGAACGCGCCCATTTGCGGCCATGGGGCAGATCAAGAACACGCGCACGTCACTGGCTTACCTCGCTGCTGGAGATATGGGGCTCCTGGCTGGATTCCGTTGCTGCCCATGGCGCCACTCATGCCCGGGAAAGATGCGGTCTGCCCATATTGTCCATGTGGGTTGCCCTGTTGCTGAAGCCGCGCCTGTGCATCAAATTGGGCGTGTTGCGGAGAATTGGCGAACTGGCCGCCATACGCATTAGGGTTATTGAAATCCATTGTCGGCACTCATTGGCCACGTCGCACAACTCGGATTAGATTGATCGGTGGGTTGATGGGAGAAAACGTGCAGTTCGTGATAAGCTTGGGTTTCGGCTCTAGAAGCTTTGCAACCCCAGCTCAGGCCAGCCGAGCGAGTCATCGTTGGCCTTCTTCTCCCTTCACTCCAGCGCGACTGCGTCTTTCACGAGCGCAAGCAACACTTGCAAGAGGAACATGGAAACGGCCCAAATTCTGCAGGACTGTTTACTGCATCGGCGTGCAAGCATGTCCTAATGCAGCGCCTTAAGCAACCTCACACCTTCCGCATCCTTGTCACATGGGCCCACAAAAATGCTTGACATATCCCCCCGCCATGGGACGAGACGCTTCCAGATCTGTCACCAGGTACGGCGGCCTGCCATTAATACCGGGCCTGGGGCTCTTATCCGGCATCTAAATAAACGGCCACTTGCATGTGCCATGTCCCTGACTCCTGGGAAAGACGGGGCCGCCATGGGGCGATTTGGAAGCAGCACACATCTCTGCCTTGTACCTCACATTTGCTATCCCTCTCCCTTGTGCACTCCTGCCTCATCTGAAATCGCCACGTTGTATTCGTGATGAGCTTGGCAATCGAGTGTAGCTACATCATAGGTTCTCATCCTGCGATTCTAAGCGAGCCCTTAGCTCATCACGCGGTGTGTGGATGGCCTCGTTAACCGGGTCCCAGTCCTCAACACTCCTTCCAGTGTGTGTGATATATCCATGTGGCTGCATGACGTCGGAACATGGCGCCGAAGAGGAAAGTCTCGGTGTAGAGAGCGCAAAACGTGATCACTCCTCGGGATCTACAGTACATATTTCGGACCGAAGTAATATGTATAGATACCACTCCACACTGAACATGTGTAAACCCCTTTGTTATTCTTCAAAGACCTCTTCCTTTGTGGGCGTCTCTTTGCGGCGCAGTGCTACAAAGTACGCCTCTCTTGATTCCTGGAGCCAGTCAGTAAAGAACGTCAGTCGCGCAACAAGACGTACCGCGCGTGACGACTCGGGTTTCTCTCGGTATACTTTGGCAAAGAGACGCTTAAGCTTCGTCTCAAACGCCTTTTCCTCTGACCCCTTGTAGTACTTGCAGAGAAAGTGACCGCCAGTCTTCAGTGTATCGAATGCGAATGTCATGGCAGCCATGCACAAGTCCTACAAACATTAGTCAGGCCGAGGCTGGTCGCAGAGACACCTACCATACTACCAGCGTGGTCTCTAAACGCGTTTCCACTCGTGTTCATCAACCTAGAATATGGGTCACTAAGGCTCTTCTTGTAGAAGCCGGCCGTTTGGTCCCAGGGTTCTGACATGTCGCTGAGCACAACGTCCACTGCTCTGCCTTGCCGCGCATCCCTCTCCTTCAACGAGAGCCTTGACAGATCCTCTTGGTCTGCGTCACTACCCTCTGCTAGCCGCCCGATCGGCTCGAGTTCTGCACCGTCTAGATGAGCTTGTCGCTCAATATCAATGTACCCACGTTCCATGTCGTCCAGCTCTTCTTCGGTAACCCCCTCATCCGCCTTTGCAGAAACTTGCCTCCTAAGTCGGCCCAATTCTGGATCTCGGACATAGGCTCGAACCTCGTCCTGGATCACAGGTGAGAGAAAATCGCCTTGTATAGTGGAGACACCTCTTGGTGGTTGTGCAGGTATCAAATCTATACCTATGACGCGACCATCTGGGGCAGTACGATTTGCAGCGACCTGAAGAAATTAAGATGGGATCGCTTGAGCAGATGTGTCCGTCAAACCTGAGACCATGACCCTGGTGCAAATCCCTGGCTTATATGAGCTATATCATCTCAAAAATGTATACAAACTTACAAGATCAACAATGGTTTGTCCGGGTTTGAATAGCTTGTGCTTGCCGTTGAGCTATTGCATGTCAGCGACTGTGCATCTGTCGTAAAGGGAGCCATTACCTCGAGCAACTTGAATGCAGCGCGGCTCTTTAAACCCTGGACTTTAGCTTCTTTGGAGAAGAAGTCCCTGCCTTGACGTGACTTCCATTTGGTCGAAGATGAAGACGAACGACGAGATGAGGGCACATTTCTTGGTTGACGAAAGTCACGGGTCGCACATGTTGAGGCAAAGCAGGCTGATGCTACTGGACGACATGTCGATTCCAGTAGCAAGCTATCGGTGAGCTGCCGGAATAGGCGACGTGATAGCATAGAGGAGGCGCAAAGGTTGAGCCTTCGCCTTCGCCTTTGCCCTCGCAGGTCTTATACATCCTTATCGATAACGGACATGAACAACAGCTCGACAGGTCAGTTGTAGTATTAGCTCTGCAGAAAGCCTCCGGCAGAAGAGAACGCAGCTCCGACGTCGATTTGTTGCAAGCGACACCATCATCATCTTTACTAGAGGACGCCTGCTGTGTTTGCAATGGCGAGCACTCATCGGGGCTGCAAATGAGGTCATCTCCGGATTATTATCGTCTTTGACCTCGGAACCTCGCATCGTCTACAACCTCCACGGCCGATATGTGTACCCCGCTGTCCTCTAGAGTCTAGTGAGGACGCTATCTTAACTGGGTGTGGGGTCGTGTGCTCAGGAAAGTGTATACTCTGGATGCCTTCGTGATATGTGGTGACAGAGCGGTAGCATTCCGGAAGCGAGACGGTTCCGCATGTGACGACAACCATCTCAGACGAACAGAGCGTACCAAGGTCATGAGCAGCATAACTACAGGACAACGACCTGCTGCGTCTCTAACAACAGCTGATATAAAAGGGGTGACTGCGCGCAGCTGACTGTCATGCCTAGTAAGGGGTGACTGAGGCGCAACGCCAGTTTCCCTCGACCTGCCCTTGTGTTCCCCTGACGTGTTGCTATGATGCGCGTCGAATCATTGTGACTTGGGGTCAGCCCTGTGATTCTAGTGGACTCGTAGTCAGCCCCATCAAGGGGCTGACCCCGGAAACAGACGACGACAGGTGTCAACCGGGGCCAAGTATCGAGTCGCGAAAGACCGGGCTGACAGCGAGTACCGTGGTTGTTATAAGCATGTCTGATGGCATTCGTTGGTTGGTGGCGCTAGCCTAAAATCTGCTCCTTCCTCCCGCGGTATCCTCAAATCTCCACTACCAAACCATCCAAACACGACAACACTAACGAGCCACAATACCCATGACACGCGCGCGAAGACACCTCTACGCACTCATCTGAAAACTGCCTTGCATGGAAGATCGAACCCACCGTGAATCGACAAGTCCTGCTCACCTCATACGGCCGGAAATCTGTCTTCACCTCAGCAACACCAACTTCCGATGACCTCGACATTCCGTCGCGCGATCTTTTCTTTGCTTCGATAGAACCTGTCCCTGTCCGGACAATATACACTTCACTTTCTAGGGCAGCACCGCCACGTTTCCAGTAACGTCGACTTAAGCCATGTCGAAACCATCAGAGAAGCCGCAATCGCAAGCACCTGCAATCATGAGCGACGAACCGGGCAAGGGCATAAAAGTAAGTACAGGACAAATGTCTAGTCACAGAATGTCAATTGACCGCTCATCGCAGCCCCTCGGCACGCCAGACATCACCAGCCTGCAGCGCATTCGCCAGGTCTTCGCGCAGCCAGTCCTGGCTTCTTTTGTTGCTGGCGGCGTAGCGGGCGCTGTATCACGAACTGTCGTATCCCCGCTCGAACGCCTTAAGATCTTGTTTCAGGTCCAGAGTGTTGGTCGCGAAGAATACAAAATGTCGGTCCCCAAGGCACTGGCTAAGATGTGGAGGGAAGAGGGCTGGAGAGGCTTCATGGCCGGAAACGGCACCAACTGTATACGCATTGTGCCATACTCTGCTGTGCAATTCAGCGCATACAACGTCTATAAGCGAGTAAGTCATTACTCTTTCCTACAGCGTCTTTTTTTTATAGGTTTCTCGCGAGCGGTTTGCTTCATGAACTCTGCGTCAGGAGGAATCAGAAAGGAGAGGGGTGACGGTAAGTTGGGAAGGACCTGAAAGCCGGAGAGACGGAGAGCGCTTTAGGGGTGCACGAGGACATCAAGGAATTTCAATGAGAATGATGGTAACGGGATTTTCCCCAATTTCTCATAGCTGACTTGCCCTAGTTCTTCGAGAGCGAACCAGGCGCGCCCCTCGATGCCTATCAGCGACTACTCTGTGGTGGTCTTGCTGGTATCACATCCGTAACCTTCACTTACCCGCTCGATATCGTCCGCACCCGTCTATCCATTCAATCCGCATCGTTTTCCGATCTCAAAAAGGAAGCTGGCCAGAAGTTACCGGGCATGTGGGCGTTGCTTGCGAATATGTACAAGACCGAGGGTGGCATTCCGGCGCTATATCGTGGCATCCTTCCCACCGTGGCAGGTGTCGCACCGTATGTCGGCCTTAATTTCATGGTCTACGAGATTGCCCGTACAAAATTCACACGCGACGGCCAGAAGGATCCCGGTGCTATTGGCAAGCTAGGAGCAGGTGCCGTCTCCGGTGCTGTCGCGCAGACCATCACATACCCGTTTGATGTTCTGCGGCGGAGATTCCAGATCAACACCATGAGTGGCATGGGGTACCAGTATGCGGGAATTGGCGATGCTATCAAGCAGATCATCAAGACCGAAGGCTTTAGGGGTCTCTACAAGGGTATCGTACCCAACCTTCTCAAGGTCGCGCCCAGCATGGCTAGCAGTTGGCTCAGCTTCGAGATGACACGAGACCTGCTGATGGGCAAGTTGAACTCGGGCTTTTTGTAGGACAAACAGTCCAACATGACCATTATCGAACCGAACTACAGCCCAGCGCATTTACTTCTCACTTCGCATCACGAGTACTCTCCGGACTAGACGGCAGGAATCTCATGACGAAGAATCTTTTCCGAAAAGTTAGATACACGACTTCGTCTACCGACAGCAGGTGACATTGTATAACGCCAACGACAGCCTTGATTACAACACATCAGCATTGCATTTGGGACCGGCACGGCTTGGGGGGTTTTGTTTTTGGGAACCCCGTCCCATGGATATAGCGAAGGCGTTTGACAGGATTGTAGCCATTGCAGGTTGCACAACATTGCATGCACATTTCTATTTTAATCGTTTTAGAAGTCGAAAACGAACTCGGCAAGGAACAATTATGGATGATATATAGAAGCATTCGAGTCCAATGAGTGAACATGGCATGGCTTGTACAATATTGAGAAGTTAGGAATAATGTAACCACTTATACATTAACATCAACTTGTGACACATGCGCATGTAGATTGTTGAACAAATTTGGTATTTGAGATGGTCTACATGACGCTGCTAGAAGATCAGCCCCCCAAGACTTTTACTCTGGATGCAAGGGAAGATGTTACAGTATTTACAAAAACCCTCTATAGCTCACCGTCCTTCCTCAAAGTCTCATTGCCCCAGGGCTCACTTGTCAAGCAAGTGAGACCGCCTGCTGGCTCACAGCTCTTCCTTCCGCTCAATGGTCCTGGTGATGGCAGCTTGGCACCGCCAGCCGCGTATCCTCGTCCCTGCTGGTTGGCGAGAGCCTCGCCAGCACCTGCCTCTACGTTGAGCGATCCCTTGCCAGATCCGCTCGCCAGACCCTTGTCTCCGGGCTGCGCACCGGTGGTTTGAGCGGCGTGCTTGAGAGCCTTAAGCAGGTTGACTGTTGAGTCGTATGTGAGGTCCTCGTAGTAGTCGTCGTTAATTTGGACCATGGGCGCGTTCGCACATGCACCAAGGCATTCTACCTCTGAGAAAGTGAAGAGGCCATCCGCAGTAGTCTCGCCGTGGTGTACACCCAAGACGTCTTCGCAAGCCTTCATAACGGAGTCACTGTCGCAAAGCATGCATGGGGTCTAGATGCTGTCAGCTGCTGCCCTTGACGCCAAGCATAGAGTCAACCCACAGTTGTGCAGACCTGGACGTGGAACTTGCCCACTGGGTCCCGGTTGTACATGGTGTAGAAAGTCGCAACTTCGTACACACGCATTGGTGGCATCTCCAGTATCCGCGCAACCTCGTTCATGACGCTGATGCTGCAGAATCCGTGCTGGCGTTGTCCCAGGTCGAGGAGCGGCATTACGGCGGCCTTCTTGTACTGCGAGGGGTATCGGGAGACAATCTCTTGGATGAGTTCCTCATTTTGTGGCGTGAACTTGAAGGGAATTTTGAGGTTATTTTGGGGCGTGTCGCGGTGCTACAGATATGTCAGCTCGGCTTTCAGCGCAAGACACAGAAAAGACATACGACGTTGAGCGAGCCGCTCTCGTTCCATGACGGCCGCGATACGCTGAAAGCCCGCCATTGAGCCCTCTGGAACTGTCGCGAGGCCCGTGGGGCAATCCTGCATGCGAGGGGGACGAGTCTTGAGGCCATGGTGGGTTGTGCTGCGGGCTGGAGGCGATGGCGTCGATTGAAGATGTCAACGATGAAGCTCATCCGAAATGCCAAGTCAATCTACAGGGGCCGTTACAATCAGCCGCCTCTGATTGGCTGCTCTCAACACCCCACTCCATCCGGCCTTGCACGCCTCTTCACTCTTACTCCGCATAGTTCAGGTCTTCTCAAACATCGCTTCATGCTGGATATGATCGATAGTATTACCTGATCGCCGCTCTCCCGAGCATGCATGGGTCTACGAACTCGCTGTTTGAAACACATTACCGCCTCTGCTGCATCCAACCATGCCCAGTATAGCTGAGCCCGCCACGTAGCTATCCCCACCGACACCGTCGTCTTGCATGGTGTCGTCTCTGCACACTGCGGGAGCTTCATTTTTCTCTGGCATAGGCGGCATTCTAGCCTGCGGGTTCCTTTGCTGGCAACGTCCCCGTGTTAGCCTGTGAGCGAAAATGGCTCGGTACAGAGCCGCATCGATGCTGATGGAATGCGCCTACGGCGGTCAACCACGTCTGATAAAACTGTGGGTCTGCTAACACATGAGCTGGGAGCACCTCGCGACCTTGCAACTTTTGGGAGTAGTAGTCGGTGGGCTGAGGAACGCACAGTATCTCTCTTTCTGTGCCGTCGTAGGTGGAGAGACACCGCAGACAGTGCATCTGGCCAATCGGCCGCTGCTCGCCTCATTGACGGCGCTCTGCGCGGACGCAGCCGCGACCGCTGTTTGATGAGTTGTACTGATGTTTGTATGTCAATCCGGTGCCTTCACAGGCTTAGAACAGCATCCGCTTCTTCCAGCCTTGTTTCAGAGTCATATGATGCAGCTACGTGTACGAGGCCATCACTCCTGCAGCACTTCACTAGTACATGGGGGCGGTCAATATCCTCGGCGTATAAGTATTAATCACTGCTATCACAACATTTCCTAGTTTTCCTCTCCACAACCCCTCTCTATACCCCATCGTACACTGCCGACTTACCTTCGTGTTCGTCTCTCAGCCCATCCACATCTACGCTCAAGATGTGCAGGTACACAATAACAATACTTGAGTGCGGCCACAAACAGAATGATCATGTCGACACATACAACTGCCCCTACTTCGAAAGAACTAGCGTCAGCTGTGACCGTGAGAACCCTAAAACAAAAGACCGCTGCACGATAAAAACCTGGAATGAGAACGGAATCTGCAGTAGATGTCTCCGCGAAAACGAAGAAGCCGCTATGCGCCGCGACCTGGAGAGGGAGAGAGAATTCAAACGCAGGGAAGCCGCAGAAAACGAGGAGGCTCTGCGACGTGGTGAGAGAGAACTCCTAGAGAAGAACCGCAGGCTAGCAGATGAAAAATGGCGGGCCGAGAAAGAGGCCGAGGAACAAGCCAGGGAGAGAAGTCGTAGAGAACAGGAGAAGAAGAAGGCAGCAGAGGAAAAGCGGCGGGCTGAGAGGGAAGCTGAAGAACGAGCCAGAGAGAGAAGCCGAAGAGAACACGAAAAGAAGATGGCAGCAGAGGAGGCACGCACAAGAGAAGTCGAAAGGCAGAGTAAAGCAGAATACGAAAGACAACTGCAAGAAAGGCTGGACCAGGACATGCAGATCATGATTCAAAAGTCCTTGGACGAAGCCGCACGGAAGAAGAAAGAGGAGGAGGAAGAAATGCAGAGAGCATTGAGAGAGTCTGCAAGATTGGAACATATGGAGAGGAAATACCAAGAAGACGCAGTAGGTTCAGGCATTGAAGATTGGAAGCAGCATCTACTAACCTCACTCCTTCCACAGATCCGATCTACCAGAACAGACGTCCCAATAAGGACAGCTGCGCCGCCCTCACCACCCGCCACTCCACCTATGAAGAGCATGCCACCACCACCACCTCCAGCTCCAGCTCCAGTTCCCAAGCCCGCAGTCGCCAAATCTGCTCCCCGTCCCCCACCAGCACCCAAGCCCGCTACGGTATCCAGGGAAACAAACTACGCCCTCCCTCCCGTCGGCGAACAGAAGATTGGCCGCTTCAAACTAGGTGGCCGCAGCGTGCCTATTCACGAATCCCAAGATATCCCCGACACACCCACAACTTCGGGCATACCCATGTCACCTTCAAGTCCAGCGCCATTTGCGCGTCTAGGTGGTGCAATTGCGCCGTCTGATATGCCCATCATGCGAGAGCTCAAGGGTCAGGTTCCGCCCGTTGTACCAGCAGCTATGGATTCAAAGGCGGGACTGAGGAAGACAGGTGGACCAAGAAAAGTGCCTCCACCGGTGCCGGAACGCATGGGTGTGGATCCCAAACTTGCAGCTCTGCTAGCGAAGCAGAGGGCTTGGGAGCCCGAGGACGACGACGAGATGGGTGCAAAGACTGTCACGCCGCCTGAGTCTCCGTCGGGTATTCAAGCACGTAGGTTAAGTCCGGTGGAATTCGACATTAAGCGCAAGTCGGGCTGGAAGAAGGAAGAGGATTAAAGGTTTCAAACTTGCATATCAGGCGTTAAGCGAGCAATGTTTACGTGATCTCAATTCATTCACGGTATATGATGTAGCACATCAAGCTTATTACAACGTCCTTTTCATCATGGACAGAATATCATCATCGGTTCTAGATGTGTCCTTCGCTGGTTCATGTCTTCACCTGGAATAAACACTAAAGAGGCTTATTCGACGTAGTATTCCCGCTTCAGAAACTCGGCGACATGGTCTACCTCGGCGTATTTAGTCTTGGAGACATCCAAGTTCTGGCGCCTCTGACCGCACTCATCAAGACTCTGACACTGTACTGATGTTAGCAATGCAAACTAGATGTAACTCCGGCTGCGAAGTGGACAGTATAGGTGATGAGTGCACCATATCAGGATCATGCTTAGCGTATTCGAAGAATGCATCGACCTTCTTGATGTAGTCTGGTGTGTTGAGGTTGTTTCGCAACATGCGTGATGAGTCGCTTGCGTATCTGGTAATGTCAGCCAGCCTTCTACTGCCCGTGAGCATACACATACACCTTGACATTTCCATTGAAACCCATGCCCTCCATGACGTTCATCACAAGCTTGGCAGAGAAAATGCGGTCGGGATGGTCGAGCTGATCGCCCTCATCGGTGTTGAGAGCTTCGAAGTAGTTCAGCATATGGATGTCGTTTGCCCGTCTATCCCGGATGATCGTTGCGATGATGTCCTTTAGATGCTGAAGAGTGTAGGTGACCTTTCCGTCCGTCGTAGAGATGTGCGGTATGTCTGCGTTGTATAGTTTCGCTAGTGACTCTTCAGAATACGCCTCGTATCCTTTCCCGGAGTATTCGCTCTGGGGAAGGCGAAGGTAAATGATCTGTACATTCGAGCGTCCGAGAAGTGGGGAGACGGAGACTGTGTGCTCCCCAATCTGGGTCGTCGTGTCGTTGGCAACTGTGACAGGTTGGTCAGCTCCGTGGCGCGTAATCAAGAAGTCGTGCAGTGCCTCACGTGGTGTTGCCTCTGTGAGAGCAGACACCGACTGGTTGTCATCTGCATCACCAGACGACGCATCAGACATGAACTTGTAAGCATTTTCGAGACCGCGCTCAAGCTCTAGCACACGAGTGTGATTGACTGCTTCACCGCCGCTATCTGCAGTAAGAACGACTGTGGTAATGCATTTGAAAACATAGAGATCGTGGTAGAGGTCTGGGTTTTGGAACAGCAGGCTGTCTATGGTGTGAGCGGTAAAGTAAATCGAGCCACTGTGCACATTAACGTTCTCATTTCACATGATCTTAGCTTTGTAGCTTACCCAGCGCACTGCAGAAATGGTGATTCAGCAGTGGCGGGTAGCGCTGTCACCAAGAGTGTCAACAGCGCGGCGAAAAGCAAGAAGTAGCGTGGGACAATCATATCGACGAGTAAGCAGCGTCAGGGCGGTACGATATGAGGAGAGTAGGTGAGATCGATTCGAGAGCGATAGGAACGTGTTGTTGAAAGGGTGCGGCTGCCGGCGTGAGGGTGAGGTTTCTCGTCGCGCCGAGCTGCAATGCTTACAAAGGAACAGCCGTGACAACAGCAGGGAAGGCGCGCCAACAAAGCCAACAGACTTCACCACTCCTATCCCAGTTTCTCAGGGTAGGCAGTCACGATTGGGTCTCAGGTACTAACGAGGCTGTAGTCAAGCAGTCCAGTCGTGGCCATCTGTGCGACATCTTCGAGATCCTTAATAGTCTTCACCAAGAGTTGAGCCCATCTTGCAAACAAAAGAAGATAACATTTATTACATATGTACCAAGGGAATAGTATTAGAAATGAGAACAAGAATGCATCTTGACACCGTGATATCGTAAACTCATTATCATGATCGAAACCATCTTAGAACGCCATATACAAAGTCTCCAGATATAGGGAATAGATGAGTCAAAATTACGGACCACATTCTTTGTGAGCAAACGACGTAGAAAAAGAGAATACATGACAGGAAGAAGACTACTCGAGCAAAAGTCGCTATCGGAATATGCTCTGCAAGACACTCTCCAATTGCTTCGCCAGCGGATCCTCAGGCTGCTGACGCCCACGCTCGTCAAACCGTGGTGGGAGTTCAATGGTGGCGTCAGACGCATCAGACCCAGGACTCTCAGACCTATGACGTCTCTTGCGTGCTCTACCAGACTCTCTCGTAATGTCTGATCGGTCGTCGTCTTTACGTCGTCTGTGACGTTTGTGGCTGTGATCGTCCCTGTGATCGTCCCTGTGTCTGTGCTCCCTATCAGAGTCAGGCGAAGGCTCCCGTGAAGGCTCCCGTGGGGGTTCCTCTTGTGGGTTCAGGTCAAATTTGACGCTCTTCTCCTCTGTTGGCGTCGGGCTTGGGCTACGCGGTTCGTCTACGGGACCTGTTCTAGTATCAGCAAGGCTATCCAATTCATGGGCAGGCATCGGCCTCAACCCACCACGCGCAGAAGCGAAGTTATAGTGCTCGTTACCGCCATGATCAGGAACTGGAGCACTCACATTGTCACCCCCACGTCGTGGCTGACCATAGTAGGGTTCATGTTGCTGTTGATGTTGAGGAGCATACGGATTGCCGAGATGTAGATCTTCGTGCGGTGGGTTGACAAACTGCGATGGATGATTTGGCTCATATGCGCTTGGAGGGGGAGGGTAGTCTGCCGGATTGTACGGAGGGTATGGGTTGTTTGGGTTGTGGTCTACTGGAGCAGTAGGGGGAGGGGGGAAGTAGTTCGATTCAGGGAAGAAACGAGAGTCGTTAGGATGGGCAGTGGATGGCGTGGGACTATCATAGGGGCTGTAGGTGCCAGTGGAGTAGGCTGAATCATCCTCGCCTGGTGATGTTGAGTATGCTAATTGCGGTATGGGCGAGGGGTGGACTCACGTCGTCGTTCAGCTTCCTTCTCGGCCTTCTTACGGTCGCGTCGCTTTGCTGCTTCATGAGCAGCCAAACCAGCAACACCAGCAACCGCCGCCGTCTCTGCGACCGTTCGTGCTCGACTCTTGCTTCGGCTCCGACTTCGACCATCAGATGACGAAGAGCTTCGTCGTCTTCTGCTACGGTGCGAACGGCTTCGGTCCCGGCTCCGGCTCCGGCTTCGACTTCTGGCCGGGCGATCGGTGTATACCGGATCACCACCGTACTCTACTAAAACAGGTTCACTCACTGTACTTCCACGCCTGCTACGGCTACGTCCGGTAAGGCGGGAGAGCACTGACCTCGACCTTGAGCGCGACCTTGATTTGGACCGCGATGCCGCCCTAGCCTCCTTTTTAGCCTTGCGTTTCTCATAGAGTCCAGTAACAGCTGCGCCGGCGACACCAGCAGCAGCGATTGGCACGCCCTGTCGGATTCGGCTGGGCGATCTTTTGCCCTTGCGCTTTCGAGACTTGCTGCGGCTACGTGCAGCGAGACCGGCTACAGCAGCAGTGGCAAGACCGACTTGCGCTGCTCTGTTGTTACGGTGCTCAGGGTCTAGGTGTTTGCTCGTGCTACGAGACCTACCCCTGTCAGATCCAACAGCTGAGACGGACCTATGTCTTCTTCGGCTCTTCCTAGAGCGTGATCGACCTCCGTGACGCGACCTGCTTCGGTGGCGGTCTTCTATGACCGTGACTGTCTCCTCTTTGACCGCCGTCTTGTTCTTGTTTCTCTGTCCAGCGGCATAGGCGAGGGCTCCAACACCAGCGAGAGCAGCAAGCGTGCCCAACTCCTTTACTCGAGACTTACTGCGGTGACGAGACTTGCCGCGTCGGCTGCCCCTGCCTCGCTCAGAAGAAACAGACCGAGATCTATCACGGTTGTTAAATCTATCGAGGGCCACAGCACTCACAGCACCCAATGTGCCGTAGCCAAGGGCATTCCCGATGTTGCCTCCAGCGGCTTCACCCTTCCTCTTGCGATGATGTCTGATGATCTGTCCTGCGGCAACTCCGGCAAGAGCGCCCGCAGCAACATCACGCTTAGTTCGGGTCTCGCTTCCACCCCATGTGTCTTTCTCTTTGTGGATGTAAATATCATCGTCGCTGTAGTAGTTCTTATCTCCCCATCGGTGATCATATTCGCGCTCGTCGGCGTATCTCTCGTCGTAACGGCCACCTCGGTCGATTTCCTTGACCCTGCGCTCGTAGTAATAGTCTTCCTCGTGGCGCGGACGAGCAACCTGTCTGTCTTCTTCAGTAGTGCGCTCAACAAGCTCATAGGCTGGTTCTTGAATGCGCTCGCGGATGATGATGGGTTGCGGGGCCTCCTCCCGAATAATAATAGGTTGCATCTGCATCTGCATGGGCTGGGGGGCTTCATTGCGAATGTAGATGGGCTGGGGTGGTGGTTGGGGGATCGGCTCGGGGCGGAAATACTCAGTAGACCTCGAGTACTTCTCCAGTTCATAGGGTTGCTGTTCGCGTGGGAAGATTTCCCGGTCGCGCTCGTAGTCGCGGGAGATGCGAATCTCGGTTCGGGCGGGCGACGGGGAGCGCTCATACTCGCGCTGAATTCTGTACTCGGAACGCTGAGGGGAGACTTCGCGCTCGCGTTCGGTATAGTGGTAGTGTCTCACTTCTCGAGCAGGCTCTTGATGACGTTCAATGACATAATCTTTGACGGAGCGGCGGTCTTCGAAGTCGTCGCGGCCACGGTGGACGAGGCGCATCTCGGATTCGTACGTGTCTTCCTCGAGGCTGTGGTCGGGCACCTTGTAGCGCCTCACCGTGGTATAGCCAGCGCCGCTTCCACGCGCCGACGTGGTGTCCCACTCGCGCTCGCGCTCGCTTCTCTTGTAGATGACCGACATGCTGCGGCGTGGGTTCGTGGAAAGTCAAATAGTGGGGTAAGTTGCAGTGTGGTGAGAAGTGGTGCAGATGGGGACGAGGACAGGATAGGAATGTTTGTAGACTCGGGCGTCTGGTGCTCGCCTACTGAGCCAGTCGCTATGAGTCGCTGCGTTGGGTGACTGCGTACGGCTGAGCGAGGGCGGCTGGCGGGTACTCGCAGGCGTCGATCGCACGTTGGCGGGCCTGGGGTGATTGGCGAGCGTGGTGATCAACACACTCACTATCGTTGGGGATGCGCGATGCTGGTAGCACTGCGATAGCAAACGGAGGTGGGGTAATAAGAGGGTGAACCGGAGTAGGGACGAAGACGTCAAGTGTCAAGAATAGCGGAACCCGTCAGAAGACTTGATTCTGGCCTGCCCAGAGGCTGGAGGAGGTACCCTGGGGATGACGTCAAGGCCACTGCGCACCACCTCAACTGATTGCACGCTGCACCATGTGTGCCAAAACCACTTTTCTCCGACTAAATACTGGCACAGTTAGGCAGTGCACATCCGACGAAAGTCTGTCTGTCCATCTATTTGCCTCACCCTCTTTGCAGACAAGATGGGCTCACCGCGCCGTCGCAGCCCTACCATCGAGCCACGACGGGAGCGCGCGCATCGCACATCATGCGAACCACTGCCTGCAACTTGTCACATTCGCTAGAAGTTTCTTTTTGTGGGAACATAGAACTCACCGGACATTGCGCCATCACCTATGCGCATAGCCCCGCATACGGTGAGCGCTCGAGCATGTGGACGGTGCCCATACTGCCCATGGCCTTTGCAGTTCGAGCGGCTGACAACGACTCATGCCGCTGACTGCGCCTCCGCTGCCAACTCTGCTGCCTGTGACTCCACCATAGCCAAAACCGTGATAAAGACACGACTTGGGCCCAACTTGGAACCTAGCTGCAAGACGAGACTTTCCTGCGGTACCGCATGCGAAGCCCAAAAGTGAAGCGACCCAATACACCAAGGGTTACCCTGCAAAACTTATGTACAACGCTCCGGAAGACCGTCTTCTTGACGCCATCAACGGGAAAACGCATCATTGAGGCTCTTGACGGTTTTTTCCCTGACCGCAAACTCGCCGACGCCTGCCCAACGTATTGAGCACTTCGCGGCCTGCCTTGCGAACAACAACCCAGAACCTCGTACAAAAGGCCGTGTTTGCTCCCAACGTACTTCGATCGATGGAGACATATATCAGAGTGCTGTAAAGATCGAATCAGTACCTAACAGGCTTCTCCATGCAAATATCTGTCCTCTGTCTGAAAGCCCTTGTACACGCTTTCACGACCCTCAGATAGCAAACTCACATTCCTGCAATCGCGCCGTGGAAGGCTCCCTTTTGGTCCGGTGAAACGGCTGGCTCATCATGTCTTTCGAGGTGACCACATCTACCTACGCGTTAGCACACTGAAACCAGCCGCATGATGACTATTGGACATGTCTCAGCTCCCCTACACGACTCTGCAGCTTATGTGACCCTCCATTCACCGGAAACACAAAGTTGCCGGTAGCTCGAGACGGATACTATCTAATCCATGCGACTTTCCGTGTGTGCTTGCGTAAAAGAGGGGTGGCAGTGGGGGCCAAGTGTGTGCACAAATCTACTTTCAGTCTGAGCGGACAGTGAGTCGGAGCCTCACTATCAAAGGCACATGGACGTGTGGAGAGCAAACGAGTTTCACATATTAGTTGAACGACAACCATCATGTCTATACGTGGTAGTACAAAAACAAACGTGTGTACTGTCTCCATCCAAATTAGCCCAAGAGCGACCCGGCGCGCGTCAAAGCCATCCCAAACGCCGCGTGGTACAATGTATTCTTTCAACCAAATAGCAATCTACACTTTTCTCCTACTCTATCAAACAATACCATACACTCTCTTTGCGATAAAGTAGCAGAGGAGACCGAAGGTAATGAGGCCTCCAGTAATGGCCCAAAACCAGTTGAGATTCTCGATGTCTTGACCGGGAACGAGACTAAAGCTGGTTAGCATGTGATTATACCAAGATCGGGCGACTTGACTCACCAGTTCATACCCCAGATACCCGTCACAACATTCATTGGCAGGACAATCGTTCCGAGCACTGTAAGCTTACCCAGGATGTCAGATGTCTTTTCTTGACGTTCGTTCATCCTGATGTTGATCTGAGCGAGATAGTTGCTGTGAGCACGAGAGAGGAGGCTGAGAAGCAGGTTAGTTCATGGCTCTATCACTGTTCAAGTTCAACTTACTTCTCGTAGTGCCCTAGATTGCCCGTCATGGTTACAATGTGATCTTGGATATCTCCAAGGTACATGCCGATCTCATTGCGAGGTGCAATGTCCCACTGCTCGTTGCAGCGCTTCGCGAAACCCTTGATGACATCGGCCTTGTTACCCAACAAGCGGTAGAGGCTCATAACCTTCTTTCTACATTCTCCAACGCGTCGCAACATATCTCGACCACTTTCCTGCTGCGACTTCACCTCGGGAGGCTCGTCGTAGTGCGGATTGTTGTAGCTGTATGACTTTTCTTTCTCAGCTTCCTGTTCCTCTTCGCTCGAATGAAGTCGTAGTATAGCCTCGTCAATATCATCAACCTCTTCTTCGATCTTCTGTATCATAGGCGCATAAGCATCGGTGACATCATCGATAATGGCATACGAGATCCAGTCGGGAGATAGAACGAGGTAATCTGAGAGTTGACGAATACGGCGACGGACGTTCGCAGGATGCGGTGTCATAGAGAAGTGGAAGCTTATTACACCTTCTCTGAACACAACAACATACAGGTTGACAGGCTCTAGGTAGTCTTCACTGTTCTCGTCTTGCTCAAAGGTACGGTAGTTGATGAAGTAGTAGTGCTTGAAAAGCTCGACCTTCTCACGTTGCTCTTGCATCAGAATGTCTTCTGATGTCAATGGATGGATGCCAAACGTCTTAGAAATGACCTTCATCTCAGTCTCCGTGGGGGACATGACATCCAACCACCAGGCAGGCCGTGGGCCATAGCGCTTCGGCTTCTCGGCTTCAGGCTGATCATTCTTGGGGGCGTCTGTGGGTCGGGGTGTAGTCGAGCGCGTTTGCTCACCAGAGGAATGCTTGCCCTCTGCTTTCGAGGTTGAACGCGTTGTTGTTCGAGAGGCGTAGCCGTTGGGGCCTGCGTGCAGCATGTCGTCCTCTGTGTCTGAAGAATCACTATCATCGTCCAAAATTGGCGGGTCAGGGACGAAGAGGTTCCTGAAACTCTGTCCAGGTTGCAAAAGTTCGCTAATGCTTTGAGAGTGAATTGTGTTGTCGAAAGTCTCGTTGAAGTAGGTGAAGCGGTAAGGAGCGTCGCTGTCCTCGCGATGCCAGACGCGTCGCCTTGGTCGGAGACGTCCTTCTACCATGAGCGGCTCACTAACCTTGCGCATACGCATGCCCTCAATAGTCCGCTGCTCCTTCTCCTCATGTGCCCAAGCTTGTAGAACATCGAGATTGGGCCAGCGGCGGCGTCTTCGGCGACTCGTTGGCTCGCCAGTTGTAGGAGCATTCATGTAATCTTCGTGTCCCATCTCAGACATAGCCTCGTGTGGGAAGCAGACGTCTTCAAGCCCAGAAGTCGTCATACGGCGTCTGAAGTCGCCGGGACCAGGAGGCGAACCCGAGTGGCCATCCTCATCGATATCGATGAGCGCATCCCGAGACGGACTGTTGGCTCTTCCCGGGTCAGACATGTGGTCTAAATCTGTCGGGAGCATGACATCGTCTAGGCCACTAGTGGCCTCGAAGGCAGGGCTGGTGGGAACAGACGGGGGGTTGTTGACATCGTACTCGTCGAGGTTGGTCGCAGAGTGGTGGTGTTGCGTGAACAAGTCAGGCCTGTGTTCGGGCATGGGCATATGCTTTGGGCTCTTCATGGACGTCTTGCTTCCTCTTCGGGGTTTGCCGCTGTTGGAGCCATAGCTAGTGCCTGTCCTGATGTCGCGCTGAGAAGAGGCCATCAGGGGCGTTCTGTCGTTCGCATCTTCGTCGGCATCACTGTCTTGGATCTCTTCAGGGGTATGCGACAGCCGGGAGCGGCCATATGAGTTGGATGCTTGGAGGCGTTGGGGTACGTTGGCATTGGACTGACTTGCCCTCGGCTGGTACATGGACGTTACAGGTACGCTCGGTCTGCGCGTTCGGATAGTCGGTTGTTCTCTGTGATCCAAGAGCGCTTCGCTCTCGAGGCTCGTGTTGCTGAGGTTGCTGTGGGTGCGGTAAAAGCCGTTGCTTCCTCGCGACTGGCCATGGCTGGCGACATTGGCCAAGCTTGGACGTTCATCCATTGAGTCGCCTTGTGCCAGGTCGGCTCCCGCAGCAAAGGACTGACGCCGGTTGCGCCTCTTCTTTCCGCCACGGTGAGTCTTCTTCTTCTTTGGTGGCGCAGATGAAGCTTCCAGCCCTGGACGCGACGAGTTGTCGGGTGCTGCAGCAGCCGCGGACGAAGGGCCTGGATTCGATGCCATTGCAGGGCGAGCGCGTATCAAGATAACAATGGCAGATCTAGTGCTATATGACAAGGAGGCGCAGCAGTGAGGAGCCACTGGGATGTAGACACGAAGGCGGTTGGGCGAAAAGCGCGTAAGAAGTGCAGAGTGTGGAGTTCCTGCGATATTCATCTTGAACCTGGCTGGCAGTGACGTTATTATTGGATGTCCGTGCCCAGGATGTGGGTCTAGCCCCAGTCTAGCCTCTCCAACTTTGCTGGTCGGCATGTTCGCATGTGTGAACCATCAGGTGGATCTCACTCATGCCAATGCACTTCAAGCTTTTCACAAACTCTATCATGTTGCACTTCCATCCCGACTCCGATTGCCATGTCGTCTCAACATGAGTCTGGGGGCTGCTCAAGTACCTAGGTAACATCAGTCGCGTGCTCAATAGCCCGATTAGGTCGCGCCGGGACATCGCAATCCTGCATGGCCCTAGCGTTTTGATTCGACGCCATTATGCTTGTTCTTCCTACTCCGTCCTCTAATGGTAATTCCATGCGTCACTAGTCGTCAATAGATTGAAAGGAGCAAAGGACATCTCTCGATCCAGCACCAAACGCTGCATATGCATCATACCCCGCCACTCTACCATATCGAGTGGCGCAGCAGTGAGATAACGGCTTGATTCATCATTGGTAGCTCTACAAAACATATCGAAAACTGGGCCCGTAGTTTTCGACGCCTACTCTTCGTTTGCCTTCACCGCGCACTGCCGCCTCTTGCAGCGTTCCATACTTGCGATCTAGTTTCTTGTTCTCCCACACAAGAATAGTCCTCAGCAAGAGAGACAGTAGGCAGAACAGAAACATAAACCCTGCGCATATAGACTGGCCTTTCACATACAAAGGTCCCTCAGATGTGGGGTACAGCCTGTGAAGGTGGAGGTACAAAGTCAGTGTATGTCTCACGTGTGTTTCGTACAGACACAACTTACCTCGTTCCTAACAAAGGCCCACATTGCCCAACCAGGTTCAGGATGACAATACCAAAGCCTCTCCTCGTATCAGAGCCCTGATTATTTGTGACCCATGGAAGAATATTCCCAATAGCTGGGAAAATGCCGGCAGCAGCCAGAAAGACTCCAAAATACCTGGCTGCCACGCTCTTGGTTGTAGCCAGAATCACATATCCGATTCCTCCAATGGCCGTAAGGATTGCGATCATGATGCCGCGCTGCTGCGTCCGGTCTGCAATATAGCATGTAACTATAACGGTGATGAAAGAGAGGAAAAAAGGTGGTGCTGTCAACCCTTGTGCGTTGACACTCGAAAACCCCATTTCTTTAAGAATTGTGGGCAGGAAGACCGGCAAGGATGAGAATGCGACGTTTCCACTGAAGTACATAAGCTGTTGTTGATGTCAGTCAAGCACTATCGTTTCAAGTCCATAGACTTACACCGAGTATCCAGCCTTTCACATCCATCAGCCCCTCCAGAATCTCTTTCCAGTCGATGCCTCCGATTCTTGTCGCGGCGCCAGCCTGTGCCACACCACGAGCTCTCGCAACCGCCTTCTCTTCCTCTGTCAAGAACCTTGCCTTCTCTGGACTGTCTGGCAGAAAGAAGAACGCGACTGCGGACATCACCACTGTCGGTAATCCCTCCACCAGAAATAAAACTCTCCATTTTGCCATTCCGGGGTTACCACTCGTAATACCGTATGCCAATGCGCCTGCGAAAGTATTTGCCAATCTAAAGGCAGGCATATGGAGTTAGTACATGGCTCACTTGCAGTTTGTAGACAAGAATCACTTACGGAGCGGCTGATAAAAATAGTCCACATCTTAGCCCAAGTTCGTGCCTCAAATAGAAGAACGAGAGTAAGAATGGGACACCAGGACCATAAGCGATTTCTGCAGCTCCCATGATGAATCGACATGCCATCATTCCTCCCCACGAGGTTGTCGCTGCTTGCACAGTCGAAACGAGGCCCCAGACGAAAACGCAGCCCGCAGCCCACATATGTGGGGGTATCACTTTCCACATTATCGCGAGGAACCCGAAGACGATATAGGAGATATAGAAGATGGTCAGAAGCCACTGGTACTGCGGACTACTGAGACCGAGATCATCTTCCATCCCTGCGATACGGGCGTTTCTGGTACTCGACGTTAGCAATGACCTCAAGTATTAGACTCGATTCCGTATACCCAATATTCGATCTATCCAAGAAAGCGAGCAGATATAAGGCGGAAAGCAACGGGACGATGTGCGTGTCCAACTTTCGTCGCACGCGCTTCTCGACTACTGGGTCGATTTCGTCTGCCACTTGCGCGGCTGGTACTGCTTCGATATCTCCATTGTCTTTGATCGATTCGATCTTCTTCTCCCCATTATCGTCCTTGGGTTCGGACTCTTTCGACGTGAACAGCCGCATTGTCGCTGGCGCGCAATCTCAGTCTCTCTTGGAATAAAGCACAGCAGGCACAAGCGGAGCATGAGCAGGGGAGCGGAAGTATAAGCACTCACAAGACTCGTGCCGAAAGGCTTAAAAAAGTGCCGAGATCGGTACGACTACACCACACAGCTTCATGATAGGCGTGTATAGTAGCTGCTTCGGGAATAAGGTGTGACGATGTGGGGTGTGGGTGGGGAGATCGACATTGGGGTTGAGGTCCTTTGGGCGGAACTAGGCCCGCACACCGGAGTGCGGCCGAAGTCTATGTACGAAATCCTCAACGAAGTAGAGTCACCGTCTGTAGCGTAGACCAATAAATGGGTCCTTACAATCGTCATTGGTGTTAGGGTCCTGTGGCGAGATAAATGCAGTGTCATGTCACTATGCAACCGGATAAATTAACCATGACCACCATGCCCAATTGGGAGGACGCTGAATTCATGTAGACGACAACCATCTACCATTTCATCAGTAGCACGGCCAATCTCCTCCGTGGTATGCTTTTCCAGAATAACTTCTTTAATGCGTCCTTGTCACAGTCACAGTAGAGGATTCTACATAGCCATTACTACGCCAATAACATTCCAGAACAAAAGAGAACTCACTGGTGAAGACATGCCCTTCTTCACATGCCAGAGCAAACAAACATTCAATACTCTGGTCGGCCTGAATACTCGTCCCCATTTCGCGATGCCCTCTGTCAAGGCTTGGTGCATATGTCGAATTTGTAGTCTAATTTGTATACTATAAGAGGTATGTGTGTAGAACTGGGTACTTTGGTTGCATCCTGCCTGCGTATAAGCATTCGTACGTTGGACATACGGTATTATCGGGAGAATCCTGGGCGTTGGCACAGGCAGGCTATATCCTGCTATTGAAAGACGACTCATCATCGTCTTCTAAATTGCGATGCTTTGTGAGCCTGAAGTCATGTAGGTGGTGGCGTAGAGAGTGCGGTTTCGTCTCTGATACATTCTTTTCACCATTTATCGGTCCCTGCGTCGAGTGAATCCCAATTCACCGGCGATCCTCCTTGAGAAAACGGGTCTGAAGAACTCCAAGATCGAAGGCTGATGCCGTGCCATAGCTGTGAGTATGCTGTATGGGAACAGCTCGTAGTGCGGGTAAATAAAGAGTGGCTTAAAGTAGCAGAGTCGTATAAGATAAGAAAGATACTAATCGCGTCTGAGTCCTGGCAAAGTTTATGAGGTTTGAGTGGAGTCTGCTTACCGCTAGCCACGTGTGAGGAAATAAGGCAAGAGCGAAGCAGAATATTGTCCCACGCACGTCTTCCTACTGTTGCTCACGTGGTATCCCAATGGTCAGTACAGTACGGAGAAATTCCAAGGATACTGGTATCCATTGAACAGCTGCCTCGAAAGCATGCCTGTAGGTCTTTACATAATCTTACACTAGTACTCTCCATATCCTGACGCCATACGAACTCCTTATAAAACTCCATCACACACATTTTCTTATTCTTATATAGCAAGATGCGTCATAGTTTGCCCTTGCTTAACCTGCGGACCCAACGTCGGTAGCGGCTTGTACTTCTGCTGTTGCACTGGTGTCCTACTCGTTCCTGGCAACGTGTTTGTCCCCGGATAAGGCTTCTTTGGATCCGGCTTCTTCTGCTCGACAGGCGGTGTAAACGGCTTTGGCATACCGGGCTTAACCGCTGCCTTCTTGGTCGTTGGGTACGTGGGTTTCGGCATGTTGTTGGTGTCTGGAAAAGCCTTTGGAAGAGTCTTGTTTGGTGTGGCTCCGGGACCTTTGAAGGGTGGAATGGATCTCGTGGCTCCACCAATAGCTTTCTGACCACCACCTACAAGGCCTCCGGTGGCCTTTGTGGCGTTGCTTGTTACGTTGCCCACTGTACTATTTGCGCGACCTACAACTCCCCCAGTGACTCTGGAAGCGCCGCCTGCTACACCCCCAACGGTCTTCTTCGCTCCTCCGACCGCGCCATTGACTTGGTTGTTTCCCGGGTACTTCTTTGCGCCTATGGGTACTCCACTGGTAGTCGGCTTGTTGCTCGCAGGGGTCGAGTTCGAGCGCTTGATCGCAGGCTTTCGTGCTGTAGAGGGAAGGGCTTTGCCCGTCGGTTTGTATGTTTGTCCAGTGATTGCACTGCCATAGTTCGTTGCTTTTTTCTCGATCCCTAGACGCATGTCAGTGAGTCTTGAAGAAACATACGTGGCCGGGCAAGATAAGGGCCAACATACCGTTTCCTACGCTCCTTCCGCTATTCTCAATCATGTCTCCAACCTTGATAAGTGCATTCCCTCCATATTCGCCCGCCGTCTTCTTTCCAGCGTCTACGAAACCTTCCACTGAGTTCCAGATGATATTTGAGATGAAGCTCGTCATTCTGCAGATCGTATAGCAAGCTTCAGATTTCAATTGTGATCGAAAACTAGGTCTAAGGAAGAGCTATGGTAGTATCGTAAGAGAGCTCCCAAAATCTAGACTGCTGGACCCCAGACCATGATGGCCGATGATGAATATCTCTAGCGCCACCACGACTTGAACCGGTTTCGCTACCCGTAGCATGCAGGGGGGCTCGCTGCCGCCCCGCGTCAAATGACGTTGTTGTGGCACGGCAAAGTGGGCCTGAACCAAAGTCCTGGATGGCGATCTCTGGTGCAGGTTTTAGCTTGTGTAATAGCTCTATGCGATGGCATGTCACTGGCCAGCTATGCCGTACATGGCTGAGGCTGAGTATCACAATATTGTATGTTTGTCGTTCAAGTCATTATTATGTCTTTCGTCGATCATGCTATTCGTACAAAGTGCGCTACTACTATGGAAACCTTTTCGTTACATATCCGATAACGCCATTGGAAAAAAAGAAACGCTCATTACTACTCATTGCTTTGGACAAAACATTACAAACTAAGCACCTTGTCTAGCCTTCTCGGCGCAGATTAGCGCAATGATACGACTCAATTCTGCGCTCTGGGCAAACTGCTCTTGCTTGGTCTTGTCGTCTACATCCTCACACGCTGCGATGTCGTTACTGACTGTCAACATGCGGTTTTGGAGCGTGAGTAGCTTGGCGAGGGTGTTGTCGAGGAAAGGTGCGCTGAACGTGATGTTGGTTGGGGAGGCGCCGTTGTTAGGCATGCGCATCTCGAGTTTCCGGGGTGGCTTCTTTCCAGAGTTTGATGGAGCAGATTGTTGTTGTTGCTGCTGTGGTTGGGGCCTATGGAAGGTCTTGTTAGCAGATGCACGTCGGGATAACAGACAGCGCAATAGGGGTTCAAGTTTTCGTCGGTAGATGGTAGCGCAGCCCTGGTTTTCAACACCGTTGGACCCAGAACCAGAGAAACGCTGCCAGGGGAAATCCAAGGAAATCCGAGAAATTTCAGGGAAACTCACTTCTCACGCTCAACAAAAGTCATGTTCTCCGCCATCTCCGCAACGCGATTCGCGATTCTCGAAGCCATGATAGTGTATGGTGACATCTGAGCTTGCGACGCTCCGTTGGTTGCGCCGTTTGTCTGAGGCTTCTTGTTCGCACTCTGAGCAGGCTTCTTCGCAGACCTAGAGGCGGTGGTCTTGTTGGCGGTGCGCTTGACGGGCGCGGATGCTACTGAGGCTGCGGGCATGTTGAAGGATGTGATGTCTAGTTTCGAATCAAATCTGTAATGTTTATCAGCTCCAGGTTCAGATGGATATTTGAAAGCTGCTCGCGTGCACTACTCGAACATGCGCCTGGGTCGACAGCTGCAAAGATTTAACGTACCGCTATTTTTGTGAGTGTATGATGTGATTCCTGGAAGAAGGGATGCAGTGGAGGCAGTCTTAGAAATTGGTGTCTACCGGAGCGAGTATAGTGTTACTGAAGTAGCTTAATGACCTAACGAAGGGGTACCGGTGCTTCGAATATCTTGCTTGCTGACTTGGTCGCACGCCGCCACACATCGACGTCATCCGACGGCTCGCTGACAGGGGTTGACGACGCGCAAGTGGAGCATCCATCTTGATCTCGAACCGTTGCCCTGCACTGACGTCGCGGGTAACCCGCCACTGGTGCTGGTAGTCGTGTTTGACGTTTGAACTTCAATGTTCGCTCGTGTGCGAATTGTGAAAGATGTCGCCTGCTAATGTTACGAAGAAGCCGGTCGTCACCAAGTCGCCGGCTGCGAAACCCCCTGTGAAGAAGGCAACGGCTCCAAAGCCGACCCCAACCAGCCAATCAGCATCCAAGCGGCCAGTACCAGCTGCCGTCCAGAGGAAGAAGAAAGATGACCTTGGTGCTGGATTAAGGATTTCGAAAGAAAATGTCGAGGCGCATCCAGCTGGACCACCGCGTTTTGGAGAGTTAACACAGGCTGAACGCGCCTTCACGTTAGCCTCAACGTTCTTGTCTGGCGTTCTGGCGTAAGCATATCTCTGTGCCAGCCTCCAGATACACACCAACTAACGCACAACAGTATAAGCGCATCTCAATTCCTGGGCGCGCCGCTGAAGCTCATTGACCCGCAGTTCTACGATGGGTACATGGCATACACTAAGGAATGTTTTGCCATCTTGATCACCTGTCTAACCCAATGGTGGGCCCCAACTGTCGTCCGTGTATCTGGCGACTCCAGTATGGTCGGTCAACTCATCAAGCGCAAAGACGGATCTCTACAATGTAACTTTGCTGATCGCCTGGTTCTCATGGCCAACCACCAACTCTACACTGACTGGCTGTACCTCTGGTGGATTGCTTACACAAACAACATGCACGGTTTCATCTACATTATCCTGAAAGAGTCATTGAAGAATATCCCTATCATTGGGTGGGGTGCTCAGTTCTACAATTTCATCTTCTTATCCAGGAAATGGGAGGAGGATCAACGGACATTCAAGAAACATCTGACCAAGCTGAACAAGAAGGGAGATCCTATGTGGCTAATCATATTCCCGGAAGGGACCAACCTGTCTAAAACCACACGCGAGAAGAGTCAGAAATGGGCACAGAAAAATGGTTTGCAGGACATGAAGCATCAACTACTCCCACGCAGCACTGGTCTCAAGTTCTGTCTGAACGAGTTGAGAGAAACCACCGATTGGCTGTACGACTGCACCATCGCATACGAAGGTGTACCAGAAGGTCAATTTGGTCAGGATATCTTTACCTTGCGCTCTTCTTTCTTCGAGGGAAGACCTCCGAAATCAGTAAACATGCATTGGCGACGATTTCATCTCGATGATATCCCATACGAGAATACGCACGCTTTTGAGGTCTGGCTGAGAAACCGATGGAGGGAGAAGGACTATATGCTCGAATATTTCAGTCGCCACACTCGCTTTCCTGCAGAAGACTTCTGGAAGAACCATTTGGATATGGATACCAAGAGTGAGAGCAGCAGAGGTAACGGAAGCAAGACCATTCGAACAGTGCCGCGGCCCGCGGTGCAGATTGAGACAGAAGTTAAGTCAGGAAACTGGAACGAGTTCGTCAAAATTTTCGCACCGATAACGTCCGTCATGATGGCCTTGACAGTAGCCTACGGCGCTTCGCCTGCAGACCTACCCATACCTGGCGGGAAAGAGTTCTTCGAGAATCACATCAAGACGCTGCTAGGTCAAGGTGGCGAGATGAAAGGCCTACCAAGTCCAGAGCAACTGGAAAAGATGATAGAAGGCGCTGCGCAGATGGGCGCCGCACAGGCAGCAGGACCAAAAGAAGTCCCAGAAGTCCAGCGTCTTACGCAAGAAAACCTGGCCAAGTTAGTCAAGGAAACAGCGATAGCAAGTGGCGCTGTAATGCCAAATGGAATGAGAAGAGCAAGCACAGCAATCCCAGGTGCACCTACGAAGACCTTGGAAACGCCAACCGCCACCACCCCGGCCGCAAGGCGAGCCCAGAGTGCCATCAACCTTCCAACGTCATCCGCAAAGAAGCCTACCACTGCTGCTGCACCAAAGCCAGGCACCGCCGCACACGCCCGAATAAACTCTACGTCAGCGGCAACTAAGAAGCCCACCCCGACACCTACAGGCCCGATGAAAGAAATGATGACCGCTTCGGGTGTCATGATTAAGGTGCCTCAAACGGAAGTCGAGCAAGCTAAGAAAACCGGTACACTCACCATGAAAAACGGTGTCAAGATCAAGGTTGGTAAGGATGAGATTGAGAAAGCTCAGGAGAACAAGGGAACAACATTCATGACAGCAGGCGGAGTGCCAATCAAAGTCACCCCTAGTGGCGCTGTGCAAGTGCCCCAAAAGGTGGATAAGGGGCAAGCGGTCAAGAAGACGGGAGAGTTGGCAAAGAAGATGGATGCTATTTCTACGCCAGCGAAGAAAGCTCCCAGCAAAATAGCCTCAGGTACGAATGGGACTGTGAAGAAGACCTCTGCAGCGAATGGGACTGCAAAAAAACCAGTCGTTGCACCAAGGAAGCTTTGAGATGATTTCTTATGATTGCTATGGACAAGTGTTCAGAGCACAGCATAATTAGGGTTAAGATATACACGGCTAGGCGTTGGGCATGTCTGTTTGCTTGTATGTAAGACACGAACATATTATCTTTCGAATCGCAGCAAGGAATCCTCCTCGGACACTAGTCATGTGAATAGCGATGTCGCCAGCGTTTGCTGTACCGGGAACATACACAGAAACATGCAGCAGCTCGAACACTCTTTTCCTTACTTGCTGTACCAAGTCGTCTTCTTAACATCAGTGCCCCTCCATTCCCATCGCTCGAGCACACGTCCATCGTTTGTTATCGCACCGCTACACAATCTGTTAAATCACCATCTCTGCATAAGAATGAATGCTTAGAACAAGGCAGTAAGCCTCGTGAAAATTGCAAACACTGCTGTTGAATCAGGCAAGAAAGATGCAGACAACATGACATGCGGAGATACCGCACGACGCAAAGATCCATGCAACAAACATTACCTCTTCTTCCTGGCAAGCTCTTCTTGCTGTAATTTGTGCATCTTGGCTCTTGCGCTCTTGCTGCCACCCAGCTTGGGGCCTGTGATGGGCGGCGGCGCACCCTTGACGGCGGGAGCAGCTGGTTTGCGAGCTTGTTGTTTCGCTTGCATGGATTCGTAGTATTCGGAGCGAAATTGCTCGACGAGGGCGTCGTCGGTGTTGACGGAAGGGTTGACGTGGGGGTTTGTGGGAGTGGTGGAGTCGAAGAAGTCGACTGGAGTATATGTCAGTCAGGGGATTGTCATTGTAAGGTTGAGAGAGAACATACGTTTGGCTTCTCGGAGCACTGCCTCGACCATTTGGTCGCGTCGTTTATCTTCGTCGGTCTTCCCGTTGGCTTTGGGCTTGCGCCACGCGTAGCCGTACTTGTCTCGCCGTGCTTTGCTTGCTGGCGGCTCAGGCTCGCCCTTGTCCCATCGTTTCCAGGCTTGTTCCGTGCGTGCAGCAGCTTCTGGGCCCAGGTCTACTTCCTCAAGCTTGCCCTGGCCTGCCGCCAATCGGTTGCTGTGCTCGTTATCCGCTGGACTGCCAGTGCTAGCGGACGTGCCATGCGCCGCTGCGCTCGAAGCAAAGGTATGTTGCAGGTCTGGTGCGATGGTTACTACAGAAGCCTGGAGATGACTTGGTATGGGCCAGCCGTATTGGCGATAGTTCTTTTCAGCCATGCGAGCTTCTACATATTCCGACCTAGCACATTAGCCTCCGTGCTTGACGTTGCCCTACTTGGAGCATTTTACAGTCTTCTGGACAGTCCACTTACATCTGCCTGTCATCGCGATCTACGACCTGCCCCGTTTGCGCGACGAAGCGACTCGTATACTGGTCTGGCCGGGGTGCTTCTACTTGCACCGAATCAGTCCGCGATGGTTCTACTTTGCGTACGGTTTCCTTCAGGCGATCTCGTGGGCGCTTTCGGTTGCGCAATATTTCCTTCAAGTTCGGAACCGACTCTTCTTCGTCGTTGGCATCTTTCGGCGGCGGTTGCGCATCGTCCAGAGTCGCAGCATCGGGCAAATGTGAGGCGGAGACAGTAGGCGCGTCGTCTTCGGCAAAGACGCGCTTCGGATGCGCGATCTTGCGGCGCTTGAATCGTATAGCGGGCGGCGCTTCGTCTTGTTGTACTGTCGACATGGCTGAAGATTTGCACAAGAGTAGGTTGAGAGGCGTGCATCGATTACATGTCGATACGCGGAGGAACTAGGGTCACGAACCATGGAAGGGTCCAACGTCATAGATCTTCCATAACATTCACCACTTGATCTAGCAAATTGCGTGTTATTCACAGTGCATGGAGACGGACGTATGTGGGAACGATCTGCATCTAACAGTAACTCTGGGGTACATGTAATGCCGCAAGGCTGATGTACACTTTCACGCATCCACTATCTGATCAAAAGGATCATCAGATCTAGAGCACCTACATGGCGTGACACTCAGCTCATAAGACCAGCAGTTAGCCGACTTCCGCTTTCATATACCATGACTGAAGTAGCCTGCTAGTTTTACATCCCCTACTCCTGTGCTGTTATTATTCATACATTGAGTTATCAGCGCGAGAGCCAGCTCAAAGTCTTCTTTCGCATTTACAAATTCTGTTCATTGCGATGTAAGATAAGTACTTCTCAGCCTACTATACAGGAAGCCAGCCGCCATAACGCTCAAACGCCCAAGTCATACCCGGTACATTGAGTAGCGAAAGACTGATACAGGTAATATCAAGCAACTTCCTCAATCGTTCTCATCGCCATCCCTATCCACATGGTATCAATTTACATCGCCATCCTAGTCTCCCTTTAGGCCGTTGCAGAGGAAACGGTCTCGATCTCAACCTTTGGCAGCGGCGCAGACTTGCCGCCGAGGTCTGTTTGCCGTGCGTTGGGGTTCTTCGTGTAGTAGTTGGAGATTGCGGATTTGATGGCATCTTCAGCAAGCATGGAGCAATGCACTATAAGCAGTTAGTATCTCGACCCTATCCATTGTTTTTGCGAAATGGGTACTCACGCTTTACAGGTGGTAGGCAAAGCTCCTTTGCAATCTCTGTGTTCTTAATCCTCGATGCGTCCTCCAGTGTCATACCCCGAACCAATTCGGTGAGGTAACTTGAGCTAGCGATCGCGCTACCGCAGCCGAAGGTCTTGAACTTGACGTCGCTGATGGTGTTGTTGTTAGGGTCGACACGGATCTGGAGCTTCATGACATCGCCACACGCGGGCGCGCCGACGAGTCCAGTACCGACGTCGGTATCGGTCTTAGACATGGAACCAACATTGCGTGGCTTGTTGTAGTGATCGAGCAGTGCTGCGGATGTTAGCTGAGCGTTCTCGTACGGATATAAGTCGGAAATGGTGGTGCAATGACGAGGTGATTGTCATGGAACGCCTTTATCGCCACCACGTCGACTTCTCGAACAAACAGTATGGGGAACTTATCTTTCTCGTGGTACTGCCGCCGACCGACTGCTGAAACTGCAGGGGCTGCTGTGCGAATGGGCGAAACGATGCTGGGCCTGGCGGCGGTTGCGAGCACTCTTCCGGCCTGAGCAGGCACTGCTGCTGCGACTCTCCTGAACATGGTGGTGGTCGATATGTGCGGTGTTTCGAGGTTCTGTGATGTGGATTTTGTGTTTTGGCAGCGGTTTGGATAGCGTGTTGATGTTGGTGTAGGTGTAGCGGAGGTGGATGGCGATCGAGGAATTGAAGTAATGATTAGGAAAAGCGATGGTCGGCGACGTAAGTCCGTGCACGATATACCCCACACTTATCACATATTCTGGAATCAGCTCGGAGAAAAGCTCCAGTTCTCCGACGAGCGAACATCAGTTGCACCCTTATCAGATGAGACTCCAGCTTCATTCAGGCTACGCCTGCAGCTAGTCCGTGCTATCTTGACATGGTCTAGCAGCTTGCGCCGCAATGCTCCTGACCCCTTCTCTGTTCGCCGTATCGTCAATGTTAATGCTAATCCGACACAACTCCGCTTTCGCTATGCTAGTCCGAGACCTAGACCCGCCACCTTACAAACGCCTGAAGAAATATACATAGGCAAACTTCTTCATCTCCTCCACGTCGGCTGCCTTAGCGACCTTCTCGTCGTTAAAGAGCACCCATGATGCAGCTTGATCATCTGGCAACTGCTTGCGCACAAACGCGACATAGTGGCTGTTATATGTTAGCACATTCTCATACGTGGTAAAAGAGTGCGATAGACTCACCCAGCATGTATCGAGCTACCCTTGTGGCATACGATGGACTGCAGTTGGAAGTTTGCAGGCAGCGCCTCGCTACCAGCCAATGGCTTCTCTGTTGGCTCAGCAGGTCCTTCAGAGCCACCGCCTTCGTCAAAGTCGCCGGGTGCATCCGGGTGACTAAACAGCCAGTCGACAGCACGCTCCATATCACCGCCTGTTTCCTTTAAAGCCTGACGTGCTTGGGGAGCATTGAATCCCATGGCCCCTAGGTTCTCAATCTTCTCAGGGTCGAGAACAGATGCAGCAGCCGCGCCTCCGCCAGAACCAGCATTGAAGTCGACAGGATCATCGATATCTGGATCCTCCATATGTGAGAATAGCCAGGTCGTTGCTGCTTCAGCATCTTCATTGCCAGTGGCATGCAGAGCCTTCTCACATCTGACCCTAGGGAAACCCATGGCTTCGAGCATCGATAGTGCAGCTTCGTTAGGTGACCATTTTGAACCTCCAGCCGCTCCTGTGTCTGCGTCTTCTGGAAGAAGCTCCTCACCTTCGCTCAATCCCTTTGACTTGTAGGCGTCGAAAGAGAACGGTTCATCGTTGACAATAACGGGAACATCTTGCTTGGTGGGCACCCAGTTGACCAGTTCGAAGCGCCTGGCATTGACAGCCAATACTGAAGGGAAAGTCTTGAACATGCTCCTCTTCGTGAATCCATCCTTGCTGCCACACGCACCGCAAGTAAGCTCGACCAATTCTTCAGCTGTAAAGATGTCGAGACACTCCTTCAGCGATACTGGCTCAAACTCTTCCTTCTCTTCCGTTTTGCCGTTTCTATCGGTAACGTCCATCTGCGAGTCTTTCGGGATTCTGCGGATGGGAACTGGGATAGAGATATTCTCCTGCTCGTCTGTCTTGTACCGAACACGTTTACAGCTAACACACTGTAGCCGTTGCTCCATGGCAAAGCGGAAGGCGCCGACTGGATCCTTATGAGGCTCAACATGCTTACTGCGTGAGACTAGTTGAAGCATATGCAAAAGTAGTTCGAACGCATCCTGTTGTCGCATAGTTGAAAACTCAGCGTGGCCTCTTCCGATCAGATGTTTGAGCATGGCAGGCGCAAGGCCGCGCTGGTGTGGAACCGCAGGGCTATGCTCGCTGGTAGTGACGTCGCTGTCCGGCTTTGAATACCGACCTGAGATCATTCCATCGGCGATCTTGCGTAGCTGAGTTTCTAGATCTTCGGCGGGTAGCGGTGTCTGCGGTGGGGCTTCGTTAGGGAGATAATACCGGTCCTTGAACTCTTGGATCGAGAACAAAGCCTGGAGGGTACTATTAAGGTAGCAACTGTTGCCCAAGTTTTTCAAGCCTGTGAAGTTTGGTCCGAATAATGGTTGTAGCTCTTTGCCGTCTTCAGTCACCATAGCAAAATCCCATCGCAAATTCTGCTCGACCTGCATCTCCGTAAGACTCTTCTCTGTCTTGACCCTATCTTTGATGTTGATACCCCAGTGTGCTAGATGGTCAGGCAGCTCAGGATCTATGCGCTCTTCGTCACAAGCGTAACAGTAAATATCGGCCGTACCATCCGCGGTGAGAGATCCGAGCTTGACTGCAACCGGATGACCGGTCGACTTTGTGTGTCCAACGCCGTGTGAATTGCCACCAACGCCACCGAATTGCTGACGGCCACAACCCAAATTGCCGCAGGTCAAGCATAGCCAAAGGTTTTCGTTGAGCTCACACTCGGAACAATGGCCCAAGCTTTGAGACTCTATCTGTCGCGCTGCCTGCTGTTCCAAGCAGAGTGTATGTTCGCAGGCGGTCAACTCTTGCTCCCATGCCTTGACTTCCTGCTGCTTCGCAAATGTGTTCGCCTTGAGAACTGCGTCTACAATATCCGGAAGCTTTCCTGAGCTCTTGTCTACATCGTCGACGCCGCACTCATAGCATTTGACTTGGGTCGTGGTATCGTACCGGTCAGACTCGGTTTCAGCTGCAACGGCGAGCTTCGTCATCTTTTGAGGGGGCTCATCGCGCGTGACCCTCTTGCGTGTGCGCTTGATGTTCAGGACGAGTGGGTGGTTCGTAGAAGAAACATGGAGGAGAGCATGGTTTCGATCACTCGTACATCCACCGTTGAAACAGTAGAGGCACACATCAAGGCCGGTGGGGTCATCGATCGAGTCAAAGCACTGCGTGCAGTCTTCCCGGTATACAGACTGTGTTGGTCCTGGCGGATGGAGCTCTGGATCATGTTAGCATGGTGTAGATGGAGCATGTAGCTACACATCCCGTCAAGGCGACAAGGCGCGGCGGGCATGGTTGCCACTCTTCACGTCTTTCGTTGTGCAAGAATAGAACCTAGGCATGACAATGGGGGCTTACCGGGCGCGTTCACGTGTGTGCAAGCCATGCTTGGTGGAATTTGCAGCGAGGCAAGGTAAGGTGTTGGATGTCGCGACGGGTTGCATGTAAATTGATTTGTTTGGTATGACATAGGCTAGGCTTCCAGAGCGAGCTCCCCGCGGCGGGGCCGATAAAAGTGGGTACACTACCGCCACTACCAGAAGAGAGATAATCACCACGCGAGCGCTCCACCTTCTGCCTGGGAGCTTACGCCCGACTTGACACACGCTTCTAGAATTACATTGCTGAATCTGGAGTTTGAGTCACAATGAACACGGTATTGTGTCGAGGAGCTTGATTGCATTTATCGACCAACTGTATCAGAAGCTGTGCTAGTTGAGTTCCCTTACGCCCTTCCCTGAAGAACCGCCTATTTTCCTTGCTGTCGTGCATTGATAGACCAGTTTTGGAACTGAGTGAACAGCACCGGCTGTAATGGAGACTTCTTGTCTGCAAACCACTGCTTCTGAGTCTCGGCGTAAACGTCCACCACACCAGCATAGTTTGCTTTCTCGAGACCAACAAGCACCTTTACTACGTGTAAGCTGGCGGAGCCACATGCATCCGCATGGACCTTTGCGCCGTTCCCTAGCTTCGCCTCCTCATGGATTCCCTTCAGTAGCTCCCATACATCCTCGGTGTTCTCTGGCTTCGGGAGGGGTGCTTTGCGCTTCGTGCGGGTATCGAAGAAGGATTTCAGCATCTTGGCCGCTTTGTCTGCCGTCTGCTTGTTTGCGTTGGCTCGAGTACGACGGAGTACTGGGAGGAGAATTTCCAGAGTAAGCGGGTTGGAATATTGCTTCTCCATGTACACGGCAAGCAGATCTAGGACTCTCGACTTAAATTGAACCACGTTCTGCTTAGCGTCTTCCCGCTCCTTCTTCTTGCTTGTTGTCTTGCTTCGCTCCTTGAAGATCTTGCTGAGGTGTGGGTCAAGCGCCATCATCTGATCGTCGTCCATGTCAGACTCGTCGGATGTCTCTTCCGCCGCGTCACCGTCCACATTCGGCTTCGACGTCTGAAGAGTCAAGGCCAGCATGTTGTTGAATTGAGTCAACTCTGCATCTTCCTCGCTATCTTCATCCTCGTCGCTTGCGTCGCTGTCGTCATCCTCGGAGTCCGAATTAGAGGATTCAGAGGCAGCGTCGCTGTCCGACTCTCCCTCATCGACCATCTCAACGTCTGAGTCATCTTCTTCGTCATCACTTGAATCTTCACCCTCAACGTCTTCATCACCCTGGTTGAATAGCTCTTTCTGTCCCTCGAGGTTTTCTTCGGTATCCAGGATTTCAGTCAAGGACCGCAGTCCTTCAGCACTAATCTCTGATGCGAAGATAGCAAATGCTTCCTCTCCGATTCGACGGAATAGTGTTCGCGTGTTCCCCGAGAAGGAGAGTACGATCTCGACAAAGGCATTTTGACCATCGGAAGTCGAGACCTTGTTCTTCTTCTTTGATGACGTCTTTCGTGACGCCTCGAAGGCTTTGTAGGACGCATCTAGATCATCAAGCATCATGACGGCATCCCCCTCGCCATTGTAGGCTTGCAAGAGCGTTAGTGAGTACAAGAGCATAAAGCCTTGTGCTGCCAGCTCGTTACCGGCTATCGAACCCTGTAATGCCATGTTAGCCAAACGACAAATGAACAGGAAGTGACATGCTTACTGTCGCAGAGATGGCGTCGAGTGTATTCAACGCCTTGTCCATAGTGCTCAGAACCGATGCGTCTGCCTTGAAAGCAAGATCCAGTTTGGCAGACTTGTCGCTCTTGGCTCTTATCATGTCTAGAACCATGAGGGCGACATCTGAGCGAGCACCCAACTTTACATCCAGTAACTTGGTCAGACAAGATGATAGGCGCTCTTGGAACATTGCCCGACTCCGATCACTGATAGCGGGAAGAGGCACCTTCTTAGTATCTGCACTCTTTGAAGGAATGAAATAAGCACACTCAACCAGTGTCTCCAAGACTTCTCGCAGCCAGTTAGACTTTCGCTCATCTGCGGCGCGACCTTCCCGTCGATGGGCAACATCTTTCTTGAAGGTTTTCTCGTTGAACTTTTCGTATCGCTTGTATTGTCTGACTGTGTTCAACAACAGGTCGGCAATGGCCTGCCGGCGACTGTCTGCAACTGTTTGTTCCTCACAATCAGGACGCAGAATCAGTGACTTGAGATGTCGTACAATCTTCATCAAGCTTTTGTCATCCGCCGATGCGAGGATCTGCTCGAGCGTTTTCGTCTTGGTGATGCGGTCGAACTCAATGCTGCCGTGCTTCGAAGTCAATGCAACAAAAATAGGGAGGGCTGTTCCATCTTCCTGATCGACTCTGAGCTGGACGGAGCTCAACGCAGCGAGCGCGGCCGAATGGAGGAACCTGTCTTCCTTTTTGCTTTGGTTGATAAGGGTACGCATCAAATTTGGACTGAACAACGCAGACACAGCCCCATCTGGCACACGGGTGATCATGCTACTCAGCAACTTGAAGCCCCAGGCTTTACGTTCGTGGGACGCTGAGGAAGAGAAAAGGTTGCCTATCACAGTCAGTCATACAAGCTAACCACTCTTTTAGATGGTTCGACTTACTGTCTACAGTGTCGATCCAAAATTGCGGAAACTCAACCTTGTCCTTAGAATCACTCTTGCTTTGCTCATCCCTTTGCAATATCTCGGCAAATGCGAGGTCCCAGGTGAAAGACGGGTTCGGGTTCGTAGTCCCGGTCTTCGTGGTTTCGTCTTTTGCATCTTCTGACTCGCTCTTGTTGAAGTCTTCCTTCAAGATTTTGGCAAGCCGAGAGCGTTCTTTCTTTGCTAATGGGTCTTTATCGTGCCAGACACCCTCGGGCAGTGCCTCTGGATAATGTGCTTTGACGGTAAGCCACACTGCCACACCCTCGGGCGTGGAGACAAGCTTGAATGTGTTGAGTCGTTCCAATACTTCTTCGGCACATTTTCGGTACTGTAGTTGACCTTTCAGACTTCTCACTGCTTCGACCAGTACCATCCCGCATTCTTCCCGTAACCACGGGATATCACGTGCCATTCGATAGACATTGTCCAAGAGCTTGTTCCAGGAGTCCAGCGAGAGTTCCGGTTCAAGGAGTATTGATGATTGCATAATGGCCTTGAAACCAAACAGTTTTCCAATGGTATGGTCCCGTTTTTCCTGTGTCTGTTAGCTTCGCAATATTTAGCATATCTGCAGTCCTACCTTTCCGGGTACGTTGCCTTTGGCTTTGGTCTTCTCTTCCACCATCTTGATGACGGTTGCCGCGTCAAGCTGCGAATCCTCGGCATCATCCTTTGCTGCTGCAAAACGTTGCCGTAACAACTCGGTCAGCGTGAGCGAGAATCCGACCCTGGCAGCTTTACGCTGACTGCAAAGACCTTTGATCAGGCGTACTAGCGCATCCTCCACATCTTTGGCCGATGGCTTGTTTTCGGGCGAAAAGTTGACGATGATTTGTTTGGCGGCTTCAAGACGAACATCATCTTCCTCGGCTGCCAGGTCTGCGTAAAGCTTGGAGAGCTTCACCTGGTCTGTATTACTTTGTCTGCGCCGTTTTGCGGGGGCTTCCTCCACTTTTTCGATTTGATCCGCCTCGCGCTCCCTCTTGCGTATTTTGCTGCCCATTTTACTTGATTTGCTGATGAATGTATTGGACTTTGTCGCGTTGCGACTTTCGAGAAAAGTCAAGCACGGTTTCCAGAAAATTTGGGTGCTAACCATATATGGGCTAGTTGCTCAATGTCCAGCCACCGCTAACGTTGACGGGGGTCGTGCGCGACTATGAGCATGGGGACTTCTCCGAAATCTGTGTAGGAATACAGGACGTCGAGATTCGTCAGGACTTTGTGCCAAGCTTGCACCCAGAATGAATATACATTGGGTGTCATATGGGACCATGATCAGCCATCCACTATGGAGACACCTACTGATGGTTGGCAAGGGTTTGATGCATGAGATCATACAGACTATGGCATTGACGAACAGCAAGGCGCGCTCTTGACACGACGTTCGGGGTATAGATGTCCTGCGAAGGAGCCCGTGTTTTCTGAATTATACTTTCAAAACACTATCTCGGCAAAATTTATCGTAAAGGTATACGTAAAGTTTTAGTGATAGGTACAGCTCCTGAACCCAAGCGCCTTTCTACATCCAACGAGACTTATCATCCATGATGGGTTGTGATCAATCAGTCATCGTCATCGTCATCAAAGCCTGCAAAGACCCCGAGTGGCTTAGGACGATGTGTGTTTTCAGAGGGAAGCTGTTGGGGTATTAATTTGCCTGGAGAATCTGTAGCCACCTCCTGTGCAGCCACATCCTGCTGTTGCTGCTCCTGCAGTACTTTGTCCCTGTCTGCTTTGAGATGTGCAGGTATGTTGAATTCGTCCAAGTTTTTGCCCTTCTGCAGAAAAGGAAGCACGAAGTCAGTGTATGTTTCACGTCAATCTGCAGGTTCCGACTTACCTCGCGCCAGTACTGGAGACTGAAGAGAGCGCCCGCGCGGATCTTTTCGTTGCTGGGCCACGGGTACCAAGCCAGGTTGCTAGCTTTGAGCTTCTTCAGCCATTCTTCTTCTTCTGGCGTGATTTCGAGTGCAGGACCAGCAGCATCTTCGCCTTCCTTCTGCCCTTGTACAGCTTCAGTCGCCGTTTCTACAGTCTCCGGTGGGAGAGCAGGCGTGTTGAGGCCATTGGTAGGGGCTCCACTCGAGCCGACGTCTTCGTCCTCCTTTTCTTTGTCTGCTGCAGGAATGCGCTCACGGTACGTCGGCGGGACTGTGTATCTCGAGATGTTGGTCGCATACTGTAAGAGCTCGTCGAACGGGACGGCGCGTGAATCTTCTGGGAATGTCGTCACAGACGTGTCAAACAGCTCGTGGCGCAGTTCGGCGAGCTTTTTGACGGACGTTTTGAGCTGTTCTTCGAGGGCGTCGGCTTCTGCGCGCAAGTGTTGGATGCGCACATGGTTTGCCTGGTGTTTGGCAACTGCACCATCTTAGTCAGTGTTCTCAGTCAAAACGAATGGCAGCATACGTTGATCCAGTCCTTCACTGAGCTCGTCGTCAGCAGCTACCAAGTCGACTGCAGCTTGCGTGGCCGGGTTGTAGGCGGCGATTGAGTCGACCAGCGTGGTCAAGGCCTTTTCGACGCGCTCAAACTGCTCGTTGAGGATGTCGTCCATGGTTGATCAGTAGGCGTGCTGACGGCGGTGGGGCTAAAGGAAAGCGCAGTAAGCGTGAACGTGGTTCGGGTGGAGCACGCGCATACACGTGACCAGTCATGCGCGATTATGCGCGGCGGAAGATGGGTCGTAGGGCTGGATGTGTATGCAGGTTGTGCGCCAGACGGACCAAGCTGAATGGCCAGCGACAGCAGTTCGGTATTCACTTTGGCAATGATGAAACCGGGCCTTCAAGGGCACGAATCACCCACTGGCGCTGTGCTAGACTCGCGGGGTTGCCCGCCGAAGATGCATGCGAAAGCGGGACATGACGAAGCGGCCAGGGCCCTCTCGGCGTGGCCGCTATTTGTGTCGACTGGCTGGAACCCGAGCTGTCACGACGACCAGCATATCCTCCGCTCACACTACCTCTGTCCGTCTACACCCACATCCTAGCCTCATACATCGCCTATTGCATTCGCCTGCTCCTAGAGTGCTGCGCCTTCCCGTCACCAGGCAGAGAGCACCCCGCCATCGATTGGTCCGCCACCTACTACCAGCTACCACCCTTTGATTGCTGCTCCGCCTACCGACACCTGACGACTGCCTGCCTGCTCCCTTCACTACATATTCCGGTGCACCCCTAAATTCTCCACCCGCGATATTCCGCACATCTTCTAGCCATGGGTAAATCGTAAGTTCTCTCTCCTTGTTGCTTTGTAATGCGGGGCCTTTGCGCCTACCACCCCATCGTCTGGGGACTCCTGCCCTTCACCTCGGACACGCGCCTCGTCGAGCGACGGCTACACGCTGGACCGGACCTCGTCATGGACTCTCTATCCAGGCGCAAATATCGACCCCACACTCGACCACCCACCGCGCAAGCATGCAGTCAGAGTTCGACATCGACAACCACGAGACGCACGCGCATCCAGCGTCGCCGCCTTGCGTTCCGCCACAGGCGCAAGGAATACCTCTACTAGAACATGAACACCCGCCACTCAAGTTTGCGCGCCGCCATCACAGCGACATCCCCAGCCATGACGAGTCCGGATATGCGCACTACAAGGATATGCAGAAAATTGCCTTGGCGAATGCCATACGCGGTTTCGAGGACGAATTGGGATCACGCTGCGGCATCAAGTGCTTGGAAACACAGAAACACAAGCTGATCGTGTCCCATCACAGCCAGAGTAAACTATCACAGCAGGAGCTGGCCGATCTCCAGAAAGCGACACATTTCGACAAGAAAGAGTTACAGCAATGGTACAAAGGTGTGGCCACAATGGTCTGAGTTGCTGGACCGTAACTGAGTACATACAGGCTTCCTGAAGGACTGTCCATCGGGCATGCTCACCAAAGAGGAATTCCAAAAGATCTATAAGCAGTTCTTTCCTTTCGGCGATCCGTCATCATTTGCAGATTACGTCTTCAATGTCTTCGATGCAGACAAATCCGGCACAATCGACTTCAAGGAGTTTATTTGCGCATTGAGCGTCACGAGTCGCGGCAAGATGGAGGACAAGCTCGACTGGGCGTTCCAGCTGTACGACATTGACGGTGATGGCAAGATTAGCTACGAGGAGATGTTGGCAATCGTAGAAGCTATCTACAAAATGGTATGTACACAGGCCCGAGGAAATGCCTTCATCGCTGACACATACAGGTCGGCTCCATGGTTAAGCTCCCGGAAGACGAAGACACCCCCGAGAAGCGCGTCAAGAAGATCTTCCGGATGATGGACAAGGACGAGAACGGCAGCTTAGACATGGCTGAGTTCAAGGAGGGCTCGAAGCGCGACGAGACTATCGTTTCCGCCCTGTCTCTCTACGACGGTCTTGTGTGAGGGAGGGGGTTGATACCCAGTGTCATTTTCTATGCTTGTTTCGTTATAGTCGATATCACAGCGCATTTGTGGGATTGGCATACCATTGTCTCTTACTGTTAGGGTGGATGACATCGCCTTGGCGTACCGGACATCATGACTGATGTATACAAAGTGCGCAATTACTTACGTGGCGAGGGATGCAAGAAACAACTTGAAACGTCTTCTGCTTGTACATATTGGTACGGTTGTGATTTTCACCCATGGAGCACTCTCGGCAGCACCTCACAAGAAGTTGTCGACGTTGTCCTCCTAACTAGGCATTCAAGCGAAGTTGGTCCTGCCGGTTGTGGTCTGACGCAATCCTGCGGAACTCTTAGTGCCGAATACAGCTTGGCATACGCGCAGCTTCCTTGGGCGGCCTTGAGGTAACATCAGCGCTGTGAACAAGTAGCTTCAAAACAACACATTGCTAGTACTGTACCGCTTTGTTGTACCATCATCGCCTGCACGCTATGGACAATCCACGTCTGTAGAGATAGACTAGCATTCCGTTCTTCCACTATTGACTTTTGGCGACTCTACCGCTGCGACGCTACGTTTCGGCGCTCTCTCAAGCTGACGCCGGTCCGCTCCACAACGTGTTAAAGCCACTTTCACGCGCCTGATTTGCATAGACAAAACACACATACACGATGCGGCGACTCGACATATCCGCATCCGGCGCTGTGCTGGCATCCTTGCTAGCCATCGCACCCTTACCAGCGTCGGCCTTTTACTTTCCAGGCACCGCGCCAACTTCATACAAGACCGGAGACGCTGTACCTCTATACGTCAATCGACTTACACCCGCCGATTCGCAAAACGACCCGAAGCTACGCTCCGTCTTCTCCTTCGACTACTACCATCCGCCCTTCCACTTTTGTCGCGAAAAAGATGGCCCCAAAGAAATCCGGGAGAGTTTGGGAAGCATACTGTTTGGGGATCGCATACAGACGAGTCCGTTCGAGCTGAAGATGGGCGTAAACGAGACGTGCAAACTCCTCTGTGAAGCTCCGTATCCGGGCGCGGATGCGGCGTTTGTCAACAGCAGGATATACCAGGGCTACGATCTTAACTGGTTGATAGACGGACTGCCTGCGGCACAATCGCTCAGGGAGCCGGGCTCAGATCAGACCTTCTATCAACCAGGCTTCGCGCTGGGCCTTGTGGATGAGGATCAGCCTATGCTCAACAACCACTACGATATTGTCATCGACTACCACGAGGCTTCGCCGGGTAACTTCCGCGTAGTTGGTGTGCTGGTGGACCCATACTCCGTGGCGGAATCGAAGAGAGAGGGCGACAATGGGGCAACGTGCAACGGACAGACGCCGGTCGTCTTGAAAGAGAATGACGAAGATACAAACCTGGTCGTCTTTACGTATGGTGTCTACTGGCGACCCAGCCCGACTCCGTTTGCGACACGATGGGACAAATATCTACACGTCTACGACCCAAAAATCCACTGGTTCTCCCTCATCAACTCAGCTGTCATTGTTGTCTTCCTTGTTGGTATGGTAAGCGCGATCCTTGTGCGTACACTCAAAAAGGACATTGCGCGTTACAATCGTCTGGATCAATTTGCGCTCGAGGATTTTGGTGAAAGCGGCGACGCTGATGATACTGCGGACGATTCTGGCTGGAAGTTGGTACATGGAGATGTGTTCAGGCCACCAAAGAACCCGCTGCTCTTGTCTGTTTTGGTTGGCAATGGAGCCCAGCTCTTTGCCATGACAGCGCTGACTATAGGTAAGCTGACAGAATCCCTTTACGTGTCAAGTCTCTGCTAACATGAATGATAGCATTCGCGCTTCTCGGCTTCCTGTCTCCTAGCAACCGCGGCGCTCTCGGAACAGTCATCATCATCTTCTACACACTCTTCGGTTTCTTCGGTGGCTACACAGCGGCGCGTACCTACAAGTTCTTCCATGGCGAGTCATGGAAGCTGTGCTTTTTCTATACCCCGGTTGCTCTACCTGCCATCGTATTTGGCGTCTTCTTCCTCATGAACCTGTTCGTTTGGGGTCGCGGCGCATCCGGTGCTGTCCCATTTACTACTATGCTCGTGGTCGTCATTATTTGGTTCGTCATCTCAGTGCCACTGAGTGTCGCTGGTTCCTGGATTGGTTTCAAGCAAGCAGCTATCGAGCCACCCGTCCGCACGAACCAGATCCCAAGACAAATCCCGCCGGTAGGAGGTTATCTACGACCTCTTCCCTCTATGGCATTAGCTGGTGTACTCCCCTTTGGCGCCATCTTTGTCGAACTCTATTTCATCATGAACTCGATCTGGTTCTCGAAAGTCTACTACATGTTCGGCTTCCTATTCATCTGCTTCGGGCTCATGATCATCACCTCGGCGGCGGTCACTGTGTTGATGATTTACTTTTTGCTTTGCGCAGAGGACTACCACTGGCAATGGAGGTCCTTCTTCACGGCTGGTGCAAGCGCAGCGTACGTATTTGCCAGTTGCTTGCTATATTGGATCAAGGATGTAAGCTGGACTAGCTGGACGAGTGGTGTTGTTTACCTAGGATACTCTGCACTGCTGAGTTCGCTGGTATTCATTCTTATTGGTAAGCTACACAACGCAGTTCTCCTTTTTAGACACGTACTAACAGGTCATTAGGCACCATTGGTTTCTTCGCAAGCTGGCTCTTTACCCTCAAGATCTACAGATCAATCAAGGTGGATTGAGCTACAAACAACAGTGTGGAAGCTGAAACCGTCAAGTAGCATCCCAACTCTTCGCCATCGGAGATATCCAGTTGGCATCATTTACTACAAAAATCACAGCCATACAACCGTTAGCCAGATTATGCAGCTACACGTCTTAATGTGATTCAAGCTCGCCAATGTGTTGAATTGTCAAGAAAGTGAATGAATCCGTTCTCCAGAGCCAAACATCAGAGGAATCCAGTCACTTCTAAGCTCTGTGGAATGTATCTTGCCGATGAGACTTGAGTTGTTTCTTGCCCATCGATTGTGATGTATCTAGCTTCCCCGATATCCACCGACACTAAGGGCATCTCACCTTTCCAGAAACTTATCCGGAAGCCTTCGCAGTTTTGAACGTGTTTCCGAACGATATCTTATCGCTCTTGTTACCTATTCCTCTTTTCGGAAACTTTCGACCATCGATTCTCCAATCTTCTGCAATGACGTCAACCCTTCGCACGAAGAAAGATAAGAAAAGACTCCCATGATCACCATTTGACCACTAAAAGCGTGTCCAGCGTCTACAAAAGGACAACGGATCCGCTTATTTTCAAGCCCATCTGCACGTTCCAGAAGACTCGACTCCTTCCCTCGTCCAATGCATCAAAAGGATAATCGGGCATCTCTCGGATTTGAACTCTGTGCACTGACCATCAACGCACAAACTGACGCGATGCCAGATTTAGACTAAATCGCGGACACTATCGAGACCCTTCCCGTCGAACCAAACCATGCTCCCACGTTGAAACCCAAGGCCCGAGAGTTTTCCGGTGTTAATGTCATGAGTTGTGAGTCTTTTTTGCAGAGGTTTACCGTCGTACGAAAAGGTTATCAAAAGGTTTGCTTGCACGAGTATATATAGGAGGGATGTTTGTTGTCATGTTTGGACCTTGTGTAGAGATCAGCTTTTCAGATTGCATCACTCTGCGGTATTCGCATACTCGCTATAATACAACCCTGGTGTTTGACTCCTGCTTCTTTATCAGGCAACCAGGCTACGGATACAAGAATCCACTATTACAATAGTGGTCGATCTTTTACTTTTGTTGGGGTGATTGGCATACTCCTTATATATATTGAGTACTCTTACCCAGCCTGTTCACAACAACCAAACAACTTTGTCGTTTCGTTTTCCATCGCAAACTCAAGACCTCGAGGTCTTTGTACGACAAACATGGCTACCGAAGGCATACAGTTCCCTCTTTCACGGGACTTTGCCAGTCCCTCCAACGCCCCGACACATGCTCGCCCATCCTCATCATCCTCAGATACCACAACCCTCAATGGCGAAAAACCAGTGCCTCTCCATCGCGCACCGACGGCCGAAGACATGGTCAATCTTCCTATCCGCACACTCTCCAACAACGCCAATCTCGACGAATACACACAAGAAACCATCTCGGGGCAGATGGTCCGCGAGGTTCGATCCAACGCCGGCAAGGTTGAGAAGTACGACTTGGTTACGTTTACCATTGACGACAAGGAGAACCCTAAGAATTGGAGCAAGGCATACAAGTGGTGGTGCACCATGTGTGTCGCAGTGACATGCTTTGTCGTGGCTTTCAACTCCGCGGTAATCACGGCGGATCTGGAGGGTGTGAGCGCAGAGTTTGGGGTTAGCGAGGAGGTGTCGCTATTGACCATAACGCTTTTCGTGGTTGGATTCGGTGTCGGACCAATGGCTTTTGCTCCTGCGTCAGAGATCTGGGGTAGGAGACCAGTATATGGTGTTACACTTGCTTTGGCAGTCATCTTCACTATTCCAGGAGCAGTCGCACAGAATATCGGCACACTGCTGGTAACGCGCTTTATCGCTGGTGTAGCGTTCTCAGCACCCATGACGCTCGTAGGAGGAACACTGGCCGATATGTGGAGGAGTGAGGAGAGAGGTGTCCCAATGGCAGCCTTCAGCGCCGCACCGTTCATCGGCCCTGGTGTCGGACCTTTGGTTGGCGGGTACCTCAGTCAAGCTGGTGGCTGGCGCTGGCTTTACTGGATTCAGCTTATCCTTTCTGCCATTGTCTGGGTTCTCATCACATTTACTGTACCAGAGACTTATGCGCCTAAGATCCTGGCAAAGAGAGCGAAGAAGATGCGCAAGGAGACGGGCGACGACAAGTTCGTCACGGAACAAGATCTCGATATGCGACCTTTCAGCCAACGCCTCCAGCTCTTCCTCTTGCGGCCATTCCAGCTGCTCTTCCGCGAGCTCATCGTCTTCCTGATCTCGGTGTACATGTCTGTTCTGTACGGTCTTCTATACATGTTTTTCGTCGCATACCCGATTGTCTACCAGAAAGGCAAGGGCTGGAGCGCAGGATCAACAGGTCTCATGTTCATCCCACTCATCTGCGGTGTGTTGCTCTCTGCTGCCTGCGCGCCGCTCGTCAACAAGCACTACATGAAGTTATCGGAAAAGCACAATGGTCACCCGCCAGCCGAAGCACGTCTGATCCCCATGATGTTCTCATGCTGGTTCATCCCCATTGGAGTCTTTATCTTCGCATGGACCAGCCAGAAAGAGACGCACTGGGCAGGACCTGCATTTGGAGGTGGCTCTGTGGGCTTCGGTTTCATCTTCCTGTACAACTCAGCCAACAACTATCTCGTCGACTCGTATCAGCACCAGGCTGCATCAGCGCTAGCGGCGAAGACGTTCTTGCGTAGCTTCTGGGGTGCAGGCGCTGTCTTGTTTACGAATCAGATGTACGACCGTCTGGGCGATCAGTGGGCCAGTTCACTCCTTGCCTTCATTGGTCTCGCTTGTTGCGCAATTCCTTTCATCTTCTACGTTTACGGTGCAAGGATTCGGGCGCGTTCTCATTACGCCTACAGTGCGGAGACGGAGAACAAGGAAGAGAAGCAGGGAGCATAGTTAGCAGGTCGGTCTTGGGAGGTTATATTCGATTTTGATTGTTGTGTGTTGCATTGCAGGCGTTGGAGGCTTGGAGATTCCCGTCGGGTAATGATCGTCTGAGGGGTCGTGGGACTAGAAGACTCTCGAAGGCGCTTATGGGATATGTTAGCTATTCGTAATCTTTACTGAGATGAATGCAAGCTCGATGGATAGATATGCATGCGGTTCCGCTGTGACGAGCGAGTGAAACGTTGTTGCATGACGCTGAGATTGCAAGCATGGACTTGTTGACGTTGATGTCATACGACGGGCGGTAGTGCGGACACGATGGCAAGTCCCTGGTCAGAGTGTAGAAAGTGGATGCTCGATGTACAGGCTCAGTAATTTCCTTCGTAGCGAGCGTCAAGCTTCTTAGTCGTGTGACTAGCTGGGGGGTTAGCTGGAGGGCTGATGGGCACCCTGGCGCAGAGTGGGGCTCCAGCGAGCGGAAAGGCCGACTCAAGTCGACACTCCACCAGCGCGACTATCCGGCCCAGACAAGACCTCTGACGACTTTCCCCCGAGCTTCGACCATGGACGAGCTTAAGGACCAGCACAACCCCAACGCGCCAAATGGGTTCATGCAAGACACGCCGCCACGAGCCGACGTCGACGAGATCCTGAGACGCAAGCGGAAAGCGCGAGAGTACAAGGTAGGCTGCCCGTGGTGGTGCGCTAGATGTGAAGGCGTGCAGAAGACGAGGTGGTGAGGGTCGAGGAGCCTTAGTATAGTCTGCGCTGGAAGAATGGCCTCTCTGCATTGCCGAATTGGGCTACAGGACCCGGCGCATTCAAGCATGGCAGAGCTACTGCCCCACGAACATGCGCTGACACTCTGCTACCATACAGGCCTGCTACCCGTGTCGCCAGCGCAAGGTCAAATGCGACCAGAACGTGCCGTGCAAGACATGCGTCGTCCGCGAACACCCCGAGCTGTGTACCTACCACCCGCCGAGCGAGTCGCATCCGCCTGCGAAACGAATCAACCTCGGGCTCGGCCAGAATAACGGCCATGACTTCTCGAATGGCATCGTCCACATCCACGGCGGCACCGTCACCCTGCCCCGGGAGGACTGGGAACGCATCTGCGGCAAGCTGCAGCAGGCGGAAAAGTCGCTCAGTGACTTGAAGAACGCCGTCGGCAGCGTCGCAGAGATACCGCCCCCGATCAACGGCTTCTCTCCTGCCGACGCATCTGGAAACACGCCTCTGGCAGCAGCAGCGCCCATGGACGGTGAGCAGAGCCACGTCCGGACCCAAGGCATACATACGCGCAACGACATCACCGGCCAGACAATACACATCGGTCCCAGCTCAGTACCAGCGCTCGTCATGGCATTAGGGAGGGGAGATACACAGTGGGCACCGGGCGTGCAAGACCTCCTGGGCAAGAAGAGCATGCTACCAATTTTTGGCCTGGACAACGAGAGCGCTACATATCCCTTTGTCGATCTTTGGGGACTGCCGCATGGATCTATAGCGCGCGCTCAAGAGCTTGCCAATGCGTTACCGAGTGATTCCGAATGCCTCAGTTTCTTTCGAAGCTATCGCGAGACCGCACATGCCGTATACCCCGCCGTTGCCGACATCGAGGCCATTGAATCCGATCTTCTGCTCTTCTTGATCAACCGCGCAAGTGCACAAGGCACCAACGGCATCACAGATCAGCAGATATATGGCAAAGACTTCCATTGGATAGGCATGGTCTTTGCCATACTGGCTTCCGGTTGTCAATGCTCGAGTCTGTCGCGAAGGGAGAGGGAGCTTACATCGCAGGTCTACGTCTGTTGCAGCTTCGAATGTTTACGATTCACAAACTTTCTATCCCATGCGACTATCGAGAACATACAGACTCTTTTGATCCTCGGAAACGTCATCTCGAATAACATGAATGCTGGAGTCGCTTGGAGTTTGATGGGTTTGACAGTGCGCCTTTCGCAGACACTAGGGCTACACCGACAATGTCCCCCTTCCACCCCAGTGCAGCAGAGGGTCATTCGAAGCAAAACATGGTGGGCGCTTCTTTGGCAGGACTCACTGCTGTCTGTCTCGTACGACAGGGCCTCGTCGACGACCACCATTGATCATACTGTACCCATGAGCCAGCACACAGCGCCAGGAACAAGGACATATGTCGAGAGCATGTACAGACTTTGTAAAGTAGGGCTGGATATAGTGCGTGAGCGCCAGAGGCCACAGAACTCGCATGACGCCCTGATACGCATCACTGAACATCGCAACGAACTCCAAGAAATCATGATAGATGCTGCAGACTATCTCAAAGACTCTAGGAGATGCCGGTCTATGCGCGATCAGCTCGAACACTGGGCGCTATACCTGCACATATCGTACGTCACATCTGAGCTCTGTCGACCAGCCATCAGTCCAGCCACTGTCAACCTCGATCTCTCCAAGACTCTGCGCAAGACATGCATCGATAGCCTTACCAACACTGTCGAAGCCTTCCTCGGTCTGCAAAACATGACGCCGTTCGCGACTCGTTCCTGGTCCGCTGTGCATCGTTCCCTGAGTTCTGCTCTGCTCCTCGGTATTCTTGGCGAACACAACCGCAACGAACGAGCGCGCAGTTTGTTGCAGAACGTGATCCAAGTCCTTACGGATGTCACAAAGGACGTCGACCCCGCGGAGCTTGCCACGCCCATTACACGGTCCGTCTCGGCTTTGGAGCGGCTGCTGAGGATCACCACAACACACAACCGGAAGGCGAGTGAAGCGGGCTCACAGGCTTCCCCCACCATGCACGTCTTTACTGCACAGGACATCAACAACGCCCTCAACGGGGACGCTGAGAACATGTTCTCGCAATCACCACTGCTCGGACTGGACCTTGACTCCTCACCGTATGCACTTATGGAGAGCATCGTGTGGGGTGCGCAGAAATCGCCGTGAAGAGGTGAGGTGGCGAAAGAGAAGTTGAAAAGTGAAACAAAAGTCATGATACCCAGACCTACGCAGCGATCTGTAGCGTTGCCAATTACAAAAGCCGGAGATAATGATCAGACTCTCGTCTTGAATGGCATCTAATCAGTTTGGCTGCCCCAAAAACCTGATAATGCGTATGACGCTAGACGTGTCTCAAGAACGTTGTCGCGCAAACGATATTAGTGAATGATGAGCGAGAGGCGCCTTTGGGGGGAGTTTATTTTTGTATCGCAAGGGACAGGTTGTCCTGTGCTTCAGAGTCATGTTTTTAATAGGTTCCAATTGAATGAGATTCCATTCGCGCTGAGAGAGGTGCCCTGTTACATACATTACCCGCTGTGGAAGTGAGGGCTTGTCCTCAGCCCTACCCATGACGTCGCTAAGCGAGTGTTTGCCTAGACCCTGGTGCCTATCATCATAACTCGTGCAAACAGCCCTAGCCTTCACCTAGATGGACTTTGGCGTGCGCCTTTCCTCTGAGCTTAAATGAAGGCTTAGCTCTTGCTTGTCCCGCCACTCAGCACTCGTCGCCATGTTCATGCTCCGAAACCGTAAGTCCGCCTGCAGCTTTGTTTGCTCTGTTTCTCCTTGCTGTCCCGCTGCCCCTCCCCCACCGTTGCTGAGACGACACTAATCCGTACCACCAGTCAGTAAATTCGTCTTTGGTGACAGCTCCAAGGAAACCATCGTTGAGATCGCCCAGGGCCAGCTTTACCTCGTCCGACCCCGCTCTGTCAAGGGATACAGCGAGCTTATTTTCCCGGACGCAACAGCGACCATCCGCCGCACCGGGCAGGAGTTCCAGTACCAGCTCGTTATCCAGCGCGCATACGCAGAAGGCGAGGAGGACTTGTTGGCAGAGGAGAACGAGGACGCAGCACTCGACGCGCTCGCAGGCGACAAAGACGAAAAGACTTTCCTGCTCGACGAAGACCTGCAGTTTCGCGACGACGTTCGTTCAACTGGTGAGAAGATCTTTGCGTGGCGCGACCTCAGCGGTGACGTCGACGACCTCTGGGAGTTTGTGTGCGACCGGTCAGTCAAGCCCGAGACTGCTTCGCTATTCGAGCGCGTTGCTCTGCAGTGCCAGTACGAGAGGAAGTTCAGGAGGAGCCACGAGCACGCGACCGAAGACGATCTTGCCGCTCTAGCATACTACGAAGAGCCCATCCCCGACGCGAGCCCCGTCACCAGCCCGACTCTATCTACTGCCCGTGCCCTTCCTATCGAACCACCGACCACCGAGGAGCTCTTCCCCAACACAACCAAGGAGAAGATGGCGAAGAAGGTTGCAGGAAAGGGCGCCGTCCCGGAGCAGGAGGAGGCTACGGCCGCGCCACCATCTGCCGCTCAGCCCCAGGCTCTGGAGACATTGGTCGAAGGAGAGGCGGAGCTCCACCTCTTTGACTTCCCATCCGGTACCTTCATGAAGCAAGACCCCAAAGTCAGTGTTACCGTTACCGAGATCGGGGACTGGAACTACTGGCTACACATTGCCGGTGATGAGCGCGAGTGGCTGGGACAACCCATAGTCGAAGACATCAATCCCGTCTTCAACTACGAATACAAGTCCTTCATCTTCAACCACTACCTAGACGACGGCTCAGCGTACTCATGGCTGCTAAAGTTCGAGGATCAAGATGGCCTCGAGAACATTCAGCAAGGTGTGATGCAAGCTTTGTGGGAGCACCTGAACAAGGTCAAATGGGGCAAGGCAAAAGATACGGATCGAGAGTACGTCTTGGAAGCCTTCCAAGACTTGACCATGGAGGATGCGCCAGATGAAGAGCCAGAAGAGGAAGAAGAGGAAGAAGAGGACGAGTATGAGAGCACGAACGAGCAGCGAAGCGAGCACTACGACTCCGACGAGTCAGAAGACGACGTCGAGACTGGCCCCACGGATGGAGACCAAAACTCGCAGCTGGCGGTTGGCTACAAGCACGACAGGTCGTTTGTTGTACGTGGCAACAAGATTGGTGTCTTCAAGCACACTCCCGAGAATCAGCTTCAGTTCTCTACGACCATCTCGAACATCAAGACACCAGGCGGCAAGTCTTTCAACCCGAACAAGGTCATGCTGCATCAGCAGGATCGTGATATGATTCTCCAGAATCTCGATAACCCGAACAACCTCTACCGAATGGATCTCGAGACTGGTACCGTTGTAGATGAGTGGAAGGTGCACGACAACATTCCAGTCAAGGTTTTTGCACCGGAGAACGTACGTGTAATTCATCTCATACATCCGATCATAAACTAACTTGTCTCAGAAATTTGCCCAAATGAGCGGCGAGCAGACTTTCCTGGGTCTCTCCGATAATGCGCTCTACCGTGTTGATCCCCGTTTGGCTGGCAACAAGCTCGTCGATGATCAGCTCAAACAGTATGCTACAAAGAACGCATTCTCCGCCGCCGCGACCACCGAGAAGGGCCACATCGCTGTTGCGTCCGAGAAGGGAGATATCCGTCTGTTTGACAGACTCGGTATCAACGCCAAGACTCTTATCCCCGCGCTCGGTGACCCTATCATCGGCATGGACGTCTCAGCAGACGGTCGCTGGGTTCTTGCCACTACCCGAACCTACCTTCTGCTTATCGATGCCCTCCAGAAGGGCGGCAAGAACGATGGCAAACTCGGTTTCGAGAAGTCCTTTGCCAAAGACGACAAACCCCAACCGCGCCGTCTCGCCCTTACACCTGCCCATGTCGCCCAATTCCAGCACGAGACCAAAGCACCCATCTCCTTCACCACTGCACGTTTCAACACTGGCCTCGACGAGAAGGAAACCACTATCATCTCTGCCACCGGTCCCTTCATCGTCACTTGGAGCCTTAAGAAGGTTATTGCTAATCGTAAAGACCCATACAATATCAAGCGCTACGCCGAGGAGGTCAAGGCCGACAACTTCAAGTTCGGTTCAGACAAGAACCTCATCGTTGCGCTGCCAAACGAAGTAGACATGGTCGCTAAGAGGGCCTTGCAACGACCGACGCGGGAGAGTATTGCGATGCCGAGTCGTGTTGGCGCTGCAAGGAGGAGCGGTGTACGAGGAAGCTATCTGGGTCGGAATGACATTGTGAACAGCCCGTACTAGACTGACATGCTGTTACACGCGAGCCTTTTTCTAAACATATGGGTACGGTCTGGTGTTGGTCATGGCCATCATCATGGTAGGCGGCGTCGGCGTTGTGCGATTTTCTTCTCCGAGCTACAGGCTGTGTGCCATCACGACGAAATGCGAGTAGCTAGTAACCATATGATTCCCCTTTTAGATCGATGGTGAGAATGACCGTCTTCAATGAAACTTTCGATGCTGTTGTGTTGACATGATCGAAAGACATCATTGCTTTAAACTTGTGTGCTAAATGATGTTGGGCTTCCTGCTGTCTAAATATTGCATATGCATTGTTTCTATCTCCAACGGCTTTCGCTAGTGATAACTAGTCTGTTCGTAAATTTCTTTGGGTATGGTGGTGGAACGACCTTGAATTTCCTCTCATAGTAGAATTGGGAGTGGGATTTGGAGACTTATCCTCGATTCTTACGAACTTCCAGAACGTACGACGGCATTTGTGTCCCATCGCACTCTTTTTTATGTATCAGTTTCTTGTCATTGTTAGTTCGTTGTAGGGTCCGAAACAACACGTAAGTGGTTCTTGTCCAGATTCAAAGAGAGAAGCGAGTGCAAAGATGACTATGAGGTAGAGGCAGAATGCTTGTATGGTTTGTTTGCTTCTCATCTTGGACGCAAAGTCGAGGCGCATAGTTCTTAATTGGCGAATCCTCGAATAGTAATCTTTTCAAGCTGGCAGAACATGGGTTGATCGCTTGGTCGTCTTTGATCCTGTCCAAATTGTAGACTGAAGAAAATAATGTAGGGTCTGGATCTCAGATCCCCAGTATGGTCGCTTATCGCTAGAGAATGACATGGTATTTTGCTGTCGATGGTGAGTTGTTGGACTCGGAGACTAGCAGGAGTCGTGTTGTTCGCAAAGGCATGCCACGCGAGCGCCACACTCGAAATCTTGAATATGACGTCATACTGCATCGTCTCAAGCTCGCGTTCCTCGTGAAACTTGGTCGCATGTGGCCGGGAGCAAGCCAGGGCCACGCCTTGTGGTGGAGAAGCAGGAAATTAAAAGCCGTTGAAACCCCAGCCACCCGCATTCTGAGTGGAATCTACTAATTTTGCCGACTATATCGAGACGGTTGTGTTCACCTTCCATTCGTCTTCGGTAACGCCTCGCTAGCTACTCGTTCTCCACGTTGCCCAGCATGTCTATAACATCATTTGACAACAAACCCGGCACAGGCGGTTTCCTGAAATTCAACTCTGGACCATCGCGCATATACCTAACATGCGCATTGCCAGCACCAGAAAAGGCGCTTTTATCTTGGCGCGAAGAAGGCTACGACGCGCAATATCTTCCCTACGATCCTAATACACAAACTCAAGCGGCTTATATACGAACCCTTAAACAACTATCCGAAACCCTAAATCTAGGCGAACACTATGCGATAATAGCCTACGGCGACGCAGCCAGTGTCGTCTTGAAAACAGCCCAGAAACCATTGGCGAAATGCTGTGCGATCATAGCGTTTTATCCGAGCTTGTTGCCCAGCCCGAAGACCATGTATCCAAACTCGCATCAATTACAAGTCCATGTCGCAGGGTTAAGCCAGGCTAGTCCGAGACCTGATATGTGCGAATGGAAATTGTATCGGTACGAGAAGAGTGCCACAGGTTTCGCAGACCCATCGTCAAGAGCGTATTCAGAGGTAGAAGCCAACCTGGCGTGGACAAGAGCGCTAGCATGTGTGCGAAAAGGGTTTGGCAAGAATGTGGACCTTGAACCGATTGCGCTGAGTCATTGGAATGCGAGATTTGAGGACGATGATCCGGACCGCGCGAGCATGAGTGTCGTAAAGAATATGACACAAGACAGCCCACACGTGACAATATTGCCGACAATGCAGGGAGGTGTGGGAAGGAAGAAGCTTGCGGAGTTCTATGGAGAATTCTTTGTGCCTAGCTTGGTTGAAGACTTTTCCATACGGTTGGTCTCCAGGACCATGGGTGTCAATCGTATAGTAGACGAGATGGTTGTGTCGTTTACACATTCGGACGAGATTGACTGGGTATTGCCAGGTGTTCCACCAACGAACAAGCGAGTGGAAATACCCATGGTCAGTATCGTGGCGGTGAGAGGAGACAAGTTGGTTTCGGAGCACATGTACTGGGATCAAGCTTCTGTTCTTGTGCAGGTTGGCTTACTAGATCCTAAGATGGTACCGAGGAAGTTGAAAAACGACGGATTGAAAGCGCTACCTGTTACGGGAGCAGAGGCAGCAAAGCAACTTGTTGAACCGCAGCAGAGTCGATATAACAAGTTGTTGCAGATGCATGGTCTGATGGACGGTTTGAATGGCAACTAGTGATTGTCATATCTTGTTTCAGCGCGGTGTTCTGGAGTACGACTCAGTAGAATCGCTTCACGGAGCTGATTTGCTTTGTGGTAGTCGCACGATTAAAAATCCAATCTTACTCTTTATCGATGTTCATTCGTACGAGACAACGTCTTGAGTTTCCCTAACCCATCAACCGATAAAAGTGCATGTTGGAAGCTTGTACTCATTAAGTACCCAGTACTTCCTCCTCACGCCTTCCCATTCACCCTTCTCATCCAGATCAGGCACGGCGACCGTTTCCCAATCTGTGTCAAAGCCGGCCTCGAAAAGATCAAATTCGACAATCTTGTTGTAAACATCGTAGACAATTTGGCGATCTGCTCCCATGCCGTTGAAGAATCCGAACTTGCCTCCTTCGCCGTCGGAACCACCAGCAGGATCAAGGAGTCCAATGACATGCTCTGTGAAGAATTCGCGTAGTGCTTTATACTCTTCGGCGAATGTATCGAAGTAGATAGCGTCGAATAGTTCGCCTTTTTCGACGAGACCTGGTACAATGTCCTGCCAGCGACCCTCATGAATGACAACACCTGGCTTCTCATGCCATCCCTGCTCTTTCATGCGCTTGATAACATCCGGGTGCGCCTCAATGATGTGATGAGTTTTTGGCTTCTTGTCTTGGAGGATACCATCTATGATACCCATGCCGTGACCTACGTTCATGACACGAAGCCCTTCTGTCGGTACCAGCAGTTCCGCGGATCTGCGCATGAGAGTTGTCTCCCACTCCATCATGACTCCGTTCGAAGAGTCATCCAGTAATCGGTCGCGGTCGAAAGTGAGCTTTGAAGAAAGATAGTTTGGGTTCTCGGTAGATTCATCGCCCTGCGCTTCTTCTTGGCTTATATCCACTACCTCGACATCTTCAGCTACCTCGTCGGCTTCATCTTCTTCGTCATCGTCTTCGTCTGAATCATCGTCTCCAAGAAGTTGGTATTGCTCCATGCGACTGAGCAGCATTTCTGCACGCACACCTGCGTCAACGCAGAGCTCATACAGCTCCTTCAGGCCCAGTCTGTGCGCTATGCATCCCGGTGTTTCGCCATTTGAATCCAGGTCGTTCCATATCGCGCCGTTCTCGAAAAGAAATTTGATGGTCTTTACAGCGCTGCTCATCTCATCCTTGCCCTCTTCAGGTAGGTCTCCGTTCGTGCCTCCATTGGTATGCTCCGCGTCATCTTCATCGGGCTCACAAGCAGCGATCGCAGCGTGTAGAGGTGTGAAGCCGGTCTCGGAATCTTGAACGTTTGCGGAAGAGTTGCGAAGAAGGTTGCGAAGAGAGGCGATATCGTGGTTTGCAGCGGCGAGCAAAATGCTCTGTGTCTGTAGATCGGTCTGAGTATCGAACTCCGGGTCGTCCATTGTTACTTTGTTGGACGCTTAAGTTGTTTTCTAGTAATGTGTTCGGAGGGGGTAGTTGAGGGGTTAGGAAATTTATTGGAAAGCGAGTCATGCAGGGTCCAGCCGGCGGGTGCCTCTGTGTCAGTAGGACATTTTCCCACGTACATTCTCTGAAGACTATAGTATCTAACAGGATTAGATTGCATGGTACAATAACATGTGTACAAGTCGAAATCAGGCTGCAAGTTCCTGATCCAAGCAAATCTACTTGAATTGGATTCATCCTTTACAACTCATCAATGATACTCAAATCCAGAAACTTCTCCAACTCCGTCCTTGGGGTGACCGTCCTATTGTCTTGTTCTGCCAGATACTTGTCTTCGTCTACCAAAAAGTCTATCAGCCGATCATCCCAACGTCCACCCCACTTATGATCATCCCAAACAGCCTCTACAACTTCCGCATCTGCGCCAACGGCCTTAGCCACAAAGTCGAATACCTTGTTCTCTTTCGGGCGATGCGCGAACACGTCCAGCGTCTTCTCGAGCGCCCTCACAAATCCTACAGTATCCTGACGCTTGGATGGGTCGTCCAGAGCCTCTGTAGTAGAGTACAGCGCATAAACTTCTCTGTATATTGATGCGTTTTGAAAGGTTATCGCGTTGTCTCCCAGAGCCATAGCGCCGAGCTCGACAGACGTTTCCCACATTCCGTACGCATCCAGGCTACCATTATTGAGCAGATTCGGAAGTTCGCTGTCTTTGCACGGAGCCTTCATACAAAGCATCGCGTCAACAGTCTCGTATCTCTCGTATTCGTAATCCTGCACGCCAACACTACTCATCATATTGTGGACGAAGACCGATGCGTTCGATACCGGGAACGCGCCAATCTTCTTGCCCTTCAGATCTTCAAGCTTAGCGATACCTTTTCGCTTGTCGGCAACAAGGCGGTACGGGACTTCGCAGATGATATAGATCAGGCGGATATTGCGATGATTGGCGTACTGTTTGAGGCCCTATGTTTCTGCGTTGGCGCCGAGATCGAAAGTTACGTTTGAAGCGAGGTCAGCTACACCGCCAGACAACAGCGTCGGAGGTGTGCTTCCGTTGTAGAAGTTTTCGATGGCGTAGGATTGAGGTGTGTGCTCGATCCACAAGAGAGAGCTTGCAATTCGAAGACTGGCGACATGACGGCATTGAAAAAGGATGGCGGTCAGTATAAGTAATGAATACATGATGTTGGTGGTAGAAGATGAGCCATTCAACTTTGAGAAGTCAATGACACTCTTCCTATCTCTGTTCTATATGTATTCGTTCGCAAGCCAAGAGCTCTGTTACTCCCGTTCGATGCGGCAGTATTGGATTTCTGCACATGAGTTCATGGCATTCGGATAGATAGTATCGAAGCAGGGATCAGTTCATGGGTGTAATTAGCCATACAGATTGTCGCAGGGTCTGATCACGCCATTTCTGTCGATTTACATAAGTTAAAAAACAAATCTTCATCAGATAGGTCGCAAGAGAAGCGGTTGACATACTAAAAGCCAAGTATCACCTACTTACAGATTGCCGCGTGTCGATCTTGGGCATTGTGGGAGTGATTGGCCCATTGATCGCACTATAGCGGATGCAACAAGAGAAGTGTGATAGGACGGAAAGCTGAGGATAGAAGAGCTAAGGAATGAAAATGCGCACAAGTTTTTGAAGTCCATCGAAATTGTTAACGGGATAAGATTCGAATGTGGCTTTCGTCATTCCCACCCACCGGAACGCCATGGTATATTCACCAACCTAGTCAAGCGATGAGAAGCCTCCGAAAACACTAAAAGAGTGCCGAAGCACTTCCAAGCACTAGAAAAACAGCTCTAGTGAGACTGTATCCAACCCAGCATCTGACCAAAAGCTTGTGCTTGTGACTGCTTGATCTTGGAGTCCTCGTAATCTCCATAGACGGCAAAGCCGTGAGGCACATCGGAGAAGACTTGTATCTCATGCTCGATTTTATTGTTTTCCATGGCTCTTCGTCCAGGTGTCAATGCCTCGTCCTCAGAGAACATGGGGTCATCCTTGACAGCGGCAATGTAGACGGGAGACTTGACAGCTTCAAGGTCCTCTTTGTATGTCATGGTTGGGTGTGCAACCGCACCGGCTCTAAGAACCGGCTCTTTCTTAACCGTGCCTTGCTCTACGTCTTTCTGGGATTCTTGACCCCAGGCGACGGTGTCGGGCAGCTCTGAGGCCAGCATAAGGATGTACTTGGCGCCGAAGCAGTAGCCAACGCCGTACATGCCTCCACCGTTGGCAACAGCGTCGGCATACTCCTCCCTTGCACCCTCGACAACTTTGTGAAGTAGCGGAAGGACCTTCTCTGGGGTATGACGAGCAAGCCACATGTCGATCATGAATGATTTGATACCCTCCGCGGTCCTCAGCTTGACAGATTCTAGCCACGATGCTTCCTTTGGAATTTCTGTCATATCAACAGTATTCGGCGCCGGGTCGTTGTCGAATTGGTCAGGCATGACGACAAGGTAGCCTTCCGATGCGTACTTGTCAGCCTGCAGCTGGTTGTTGGTAGACTTGACGCCTGTGCCGCCGGTGAGCATAAGCAGGAGCTTCGAGGGTGAATGTGGGTAGTCGGCCGGTTTCGCGATGTAGCAATCAACGCCGCCTAGTTTCGTAAGGTCACCAGTGGGCTTCTCGCCAGAAGGGGTAGGGCGATCTGTTGTGCAGTGTTCCTGACCACTTAGCATATGGCTGTATGCAATTGCCCATGAGAGCAAAAGAGTTGACTTACACCCATGCTTGGCCCTTGTTGCGCCCTGGTGTCTCCAGGAAAGACGCTCTCCTCTGCTGGCTTTGGCTCTTGAGGTTGCTCTTGGGGTTGCTCTTGAGGCGTCTCCTGCGCATCACTCTCGGGCGCACGCGTAGCAATGTCGTTGTCCGCCATGATGTTTCTAATTTAAGTGGTTGTGATTGTTGGCTGGGTTGAAAGCTGTCTTGAACGAGCTGCAGCTGTGAAGGGTCCAAGCCTAATTACGTAGCCCCGCACAGCCACCCCAGCCTTGGGAGACGTGCATCAGGTTGGAGCGGGGCCAAAGAGTCACGTGGCGAGACGCGTCGACGCGCTTTCTGAACTTCGCTGAGCCGCCACCCACACACGCCATCTCTACACCACCCACCCACACATACATCACAGTCACAATGGCAGAGGGAGCAATCACGCAAGGCGCTATTCAGTAGGTAACGACATGTTCCACTATACGTCTCTTGCTAACATCACATAGGAGCATCTTCCAGCCCAGCGGCTGCTTTGTAGACCAGCCGATCCTGCAATGCGTACAGATCAAGACGATGGAGCCCAAGGCGGGCGAGGCGAACCCAGTGCAGCGCTTTCGCGTTGTTTTGAGCGACATCCGCAACTTCATCCAGACTATGATCGCAACCAGTATGTCAAGCGTAGGCACACCAAGACCGTGGCTAACGACGTGCAGCTGCCAACGATATTGTCACATCTGGTCAGCTTAAGAAAGGGTCGATAGTACGTCTGCTCAAGTACAACCCCCAGCGTGTCAAGGACAAAAAGTATGTGCTCCTTCCCGTTACGCGAGAACTCTTCTGACTATTGCTAGCATCCTGATCATTATGGAACTAGAGGTCCTGACACAGTACGGCGAACTCGACAAAATTGGCCAACCCGAAGCTCTTGACACCAAGGCTGCCGAAGCGCAGCCCGCGGCCATTTCAGGCAACAACTTCTACGGATCGAAAACGGCACCCGCTCCACAGCCCCAGCGGTCGCTTCCTACTCACCAGAGCAACCCCGGTACTTCATCACACCCTAACCTCTACCCTATCGAATCTCTATCGCCATACGCACACAAGTGGACTATCCGTGCGCGATGCACCGCCAAGAGCGACATGAAGGAATGGCACAACCAGAAGGGGGCTGGCAAGCTGTTCAGCGTAAACCTCCTGGACGATACCGGCGAGATCCGAGCGACTGCTTTCACCGAAGTCGCTGACAAGCTGTATCCCGTCTTCGAAGTAGGCACCGTATACTACATCTCAGCACCCTGTCGAGTCACACTTGCGAAGAAGCAATTTTCCAATCTGCCCAACGACTACGAACTGCAATTCGAACGCGAAACTGAAGTTGAGAAGGCAGAAGACCAGGAAAACAAGCCACAAATACGATTCAATTTTACCAAGATTGCTGACGTGGCCGACGTCGAAAAGGATGCAACGATCGATACTGTTGGTGTCTTGAAGGAGGTTGCGGAGGTTACTACCATAACATCCAAGAACACCAACAAGGACTACAGCAAGCGCGAGCTGACGCTAGCCGATGACAGCCAGACATCGATCAGGCTCACTATTTGGGGCAAGACTGCTGAAACCTTCGAAGCGCCATTGGAGTCGATTGTTGCTTTCAAGGGTGCTAAGGTCTCTGACTTTGGTGGACGAAGTCTAAGTCTGCTGAGCTCCGGTACTATGATGGTTGATCCAGATATTGACGAGGCACATAAGCTGCGAGGATGGTACAACGCTGCTGGGCAGAATGCCACATTCTCTACGCATCAAAACATGGCTCCGGCTGCTGGTGGATCCAAGAACGAAGCAAAGGCCATCTCAGCGATCCTAGAGGAGGAGGCATACCTACAAGACACACCCACATACATGAGTCTTCGAGCGTCTGTCTTGTATGTCAAAAACACTACAGTCGCCTATCCTGCGTGCTCGACGGAAGGCTGTAACAAAAAGGTCATTGAAGAGAACCCCGGTTCCTGGTGGTGTGAGAAGTGCCAGAAGGCCTTCCCTGAGCCTCAATACCGCTATGTGTTGAGTGTCAATGTTGGTGATCACACCGGCACGCTGTGGCTCAGCTGTTTCGATGAAGCTGGCCAAGACATAGTGGGCATGTCAGCGAATGAAGCCATGAAGATCAAGATGGATGATGAAGAGAATGGCACAACAAACTTCATGAATGCCATGCAAGAGGCTACGTGTAAGACGTTCAACTTCCGAGTGCGGGCTAAGATGGAGACGTACCAGGACCAGCCAAAGTAAGTGCAGTGTAAGATGTTGATTCAATACCCCCTAACATTTTGCAGGCCGCGATACCAGGTCCTGAACTTGTATAAGCTCAACTATGCCCAGGAGGCCAACAAGCTCGCTCAGCTCATCAAACAGTACGATCTGAACGAGGACAGCTTGTTCGTCAACTAAACAGTACGGTATACGGACGTTCAGACGGCCAATGTTTTGGTGCAATAATAATTAGAAATGCATTATGCGGTCAGCAAGTTTCACTATATGCCGATGTGGCATACCAGTATCTTTCATGTTTTCTGCTGGCACTCGTGCGAATGACAGTTGTATCGTACGAGATACCTATATGTACGTGTTATTCCCGTGGCCTATATTGTCCGACACCACCCCACCATAGCTTAAGCTCCATGACTCGTGAAGCTGCCCCTCTACAAACGTCATTACCAATCATTCCGTAGCTGCTGGAACGGCCTCGGGATTGACTATGCATACAATTTCCATAGGGATTTCTGACCTTTCTGACATTCTGACAATCTTTCTGATCACATTCAACGGATCACAATTGCGCACCACCCACATCACAGTACCTTAGAATTACATCTCTCGATCAATAAGTCATATTACATCACCACGATGAACGACACAATGCGCGCAGTAGGTATGTAAAGCGTACTCATATTTCCGCAAGTTGAAGTAGCTAAATGCATGAAGACATCAAGGATGGCAAAGGCCCAATCGAAAACCTCCACATCGCCGACATCTCCAAGCCGAAACTTGGAAAGTCGCAAGCGCTCGTTAAAATCAAGGCCTTTGGTCTGAATCGCATGGACTTGCTGCAGCGCGAAGGACAGTACCCTGTACCGCCTGGCGCTTCCAAGATTCTTGGCGTGGAGTTCTCAGGCACAATTGCAGAGCTGAGTGCAGAGGGTGGAGGCAAGGAGGGCTTCAAGGAGGGAGACGAGGTTTTCGGTCTGGCATATGGAGGAGCTTATGCCGAGTACATTGCAGTATCAACACACATGCTAGTCAGGAAGCCAAAGGAACTGACTTGGGAGCAATGTGCTGGTATTCCTGAAGTAAGTCATTTCCACAGCATCCAGAATGTGTTAGCTCGTCGTGCGTTATCAGCTACTAACAAAGACTTCGTAGACATGGATTACTGCGACTCAAGCCATGTATCTCGTCGGTCAATTTGCCGCCGGCAAGACCATCCTCTGGCACGCAGCCGCTTCCTCAGTCTCGATAGCCGGCATCCAATTGTCCCTCGCCGACAAGGCGTCCGCCGTCTACGCAACCGCACGTCAAGATGCCAAATGCGACTTTGCCGTCAAAGAACTCGGCGCAACTGCCGCCTTCAACACAACATCTCAGAACTGGGTCGAGGAGGTAATGAAGGCTACCGACAACAAGGGCGTAGACATCATCGTTGATTTCATCGGCGCATCATACTTCCAAAACAACCTTGATGCTATTGCCAAGGATGGCATCATTGTCAATCTAGGCTTCATGGGTGGAACCAAGGTGCCAGAGGGTACGGATATCAGCGCATTCATCAGGAAGAGGTGCACCTTTGTCGGAAGCAGTCTGCGATCAAGAGATGAAGAGTACCAGGGCAAGCTCAGGGACCAACTTGTGGAACATGCGTTGCCCAGGATGAAGGACGGACGGTTCAAGCTCTTCATCGAGAAGGTCTTGCCGTGGGAGAAGGTGCAGGATGCCCACAGGTTGTTGGAAGAGAACAAGACGAAAGGCAAGGTCATTTGCACAATCGACTAAGTAAGAGTCTGTAGTCGAGGGACAGTATGGGAATAGTATCGATAAATATATGAAGTAATGCTGTTGTCGCCAACGTTTCTACATATCAAAAAGTCTTAAGATCAGCCATCAACGTATGCTAACTGTGGGTAACCTATGTTTCTGTACGGCAACATATACTTCACAGTTCTGTTCGTTGACAGGTTAGTGTTAGCCTAGAGCTTCAAAGTCTGTGAATGATGGCATAACACCCTAACGCAAAAAAAGGTCAAACCTCACAACTGGACAGCATGACAGCCCAGACGCAGATGGACAACACTGGAGCAAAAAAGACGACGTTGGCCAGATTCGAACTGACGCTCCCGAAGGAACAAGATTTCTAGTCTTGCGCGATAACCACTCCGCCACAACGCCTAAAGCGACACCTGTGTGATTCGAACACACGCTCCCGAAGGAACTGGCTAACTTCCCTCAATACAGAGGACTAGCAGGCCAGCGCGTTAACCACTCCGCCAAAGTGCCGGAGATTGATACTGTTTGATGAAAAAATGGCATGATCATTGCAATATATAGTTAGTTTGCAATCAAGAGTGTCGACATCAGCTTTGCACATCAAGGTTCGATCATGTGGATCACAGTTGGAATTGTCGATTCATGGCACTACGAGATGTGGGGCTTGTTTGTGGGGCTACAAATCGAAGTTCAACTCTATCGCATGCAAATCAACTAGAGAGGTATGGAAAACAACATGCCTTAGCCTGTAGTCTACATCCGCTTCTGATTTAAGAGTCTGTCAAGCTTCAAAGTATTAAAGGCTTCTGGCTTCTTTATATGTATACATATAACTCTCTACATACGTTGTTGTAGTAGTGGGTGGTAAGTTCTTCTTGAAGGAAGTGTATGGTTTTTCTAATAGTGCTTGGGTAAGGGGCGGTAGGTGCGGGGGTGTTGAGCTATACATGAACATGTTCGCGTCCAAGAGAACTGCACACTCCCACAAAACCCACGAGTTCTGGAAGTGTTTCTGCTTATCCGGAGAATGGAAGGTCGGCAGAATCCTTTTGTGGCTCTCCAGCTTTGCGTTGCCAAAGATCACACGCTACCTAGTATATCTCTCACAGCATAACTTTCATATTAATGATCTGTGTTCAACACCTTAGGTAGGCGTAGAGACTGTTTACCTCACGTTAAACTACGTAACTGAAATATGGTGAATATCAGTACGGTACATGGGGAGAACTGATACCAATGAAACCTCTGACAACCCAGCACGGAAGGCCTACTCGCAACAGCGGACTGTTACGGTGGGATTCGGCGTCAACGCTGGCAAGATCCATGACGCATGATTGTACTTCAGTAACTCAGATCTCGTTGGCATATGCCAAGTTCCCATCAATTCATCAGGCTACAGGCCGTAAGATTGTCAAGCAGCCATGAACCTGAATACTGGCTTGACTGGTGCTGCAGACTTTGGGGATGACTTCATATTTGGAGCGAATAGTACATCATGTGCTGCGAGCAACTACAAGAAGAAGTCTATCATTATCAGGACAGGTGGCCGGAATATTGAGATTGAGTATGCCAGTGAGGCGTACGTGAGCTATGCTTGCGGTCCACGCAATCTCAACGTGATTACGACAAGAGTGATTGAGATTACGACATCAGTGCTTCGTGAAGAAGCAATATGCTAACAACACCATGCGTTTCTAGATTAGCGCAGCATAGGAGAATAGTTCTTGTGAGGCAAACCCAGGTCAGCTTTCAAAACATCACAGTGCGTACAGAACAAGGCACGCATAATATCAACAGTCCTCTATTTGTCTCATATCGCTACACCAAGCCTCCTACATCTTCTCAAACATCCTTGTGACTAGAAGTTAAACAAAAAAGCAATATTGTGAAGCGATCGTTTTGCATCAGAGTGCGCGTCGTTCGTTCTATCCCGTGTATGTCCGCGAGAACAAAGCCTGTCCCAGGATATTTGCACCAGTCCCAAAATATACACACAAACAGAAGTTTTAACCACGAAACGCCAGAACCGCCCGTCTCATGAAAGAGAGAAAGAGGGAAAAGGGCGCTTAAGCGGCACCAGCGTAGACCTTGCCAACAGCAGAGAGGCCGTTGCCAGAGTTGAGCTGGTTCTCACCGTCACCAACCATGAACCAGGAGTAACCCTGGACCTTGTCGGAGCCATCGAGGTAGGCCATGGCGTCCTTGAGGAAGCTGGCAGCCTGCTCCTCGGAAGCAGAGCCGGGGTTAAGACCAAACTCGGTGATCCAGACCTTCTTTCCGGAGAGAGAAGCGGCCTTCTCGACCTGAGCCTGGAAGCGGTCGATGGTCTTCTCGTCGTAGATGTCGTAGAAGTGGATGTTGGTGGCGTCGACGATAGCGTCAGGGCAGCAGTCGTTGAAGCGGCTGAGCCAGTCGAGACCCATTGGAGCCTGGTAATATAAAGTTAGTGTATGTCTCGTATGCATTTCGTAGGATCAAAACTTACCTGGCCGTTGGTAACACTGGGACCGACGATGGTAACGTCAGGGTGGGCCGACTTGACAGGGTTCATGTACGTCTTCCAGGCGGCGCAGGCAGCCTCGGGCTCCATACCGCACTGCTCAGCGTGGTCGCACTCGTTGAAGCCCATGACAGCGGTGGAACCCTTCTCGACGGCCTTGTCAACGTTGGCGAGCCACTCTTCGGCGCTGGACTTGCTAGGGCTGTGCATCATGGGAACGAAGGTAGTTCCAATGTCGTTGCTCTCGGTTTGGCCCCAGTTGTAACCGAAACCGAACTTGCTGCCGAAGGTAGTGCAGAGGTGAGCCTCGTTGTAGGCAAGACCGCGCTTGACACCGGAGTAGTTGTTGCTAGTGGCAGCAGTGGGAGAAGGAGCGGCGGAAGAGACAGCGGAGCTGGCCTCTGCGACGGGCTTCTGGACCAAAGATGCGGTGATCTCTGGGGTCTTGGATGAGACAGAGGCCTCGGGGGTCTCAGCAGGGTAACCAGCGGCGGCTGAGGACTTGGTCTCGGCTACGGGAGTCTCGACAGGAGTCTCGACAACAGATGAAGAAGCCGCCTTGGTTGGGGTAGCGGCGGGGTACTCAGCAGCCGCAGAGCTGGCTCCGTATCCGTTGTCAGCCGAGGACTCAGCGGCAACGGGAGATGAGGTGGGGACACCAGCGTCACCGCCAGGAGTGACGGTAACGGTGACCTTCTCGGAGGCAGTGACGGTGACTGTTGCGCCACAGACACCAGTGGAGGCATCAGCGGCCTCGACTCCCTTGTTGTTGTCTCCTGCAAGGCCGGTAGGCTTGACGTAGATGGTTGAGTACTCAGTCGCGGTGGAGGTAGAGGTGGTGTCCAGGGTAGTAGTCTTGTCATCGCCGTAGACACCAGTGCCGGTAGCACCAGCAACAGCGGTGCTGTTGTAGGCACCACCCCATCCGCCGGTTGGGTAAGCAGCCCTGTGGTGGAACTTGTTGTGCTGGTAGTGGGGAACAGCTGCAACGGCAGAGGCCAAGGCCAAGAGGCCGGTAAACTTGACAGAGGCAGACATATCGATGATTGTTGAAGATGGCAGGTTAGGGATTTGCGTTGCGCTTGCTTGTATCGTAGGGTATCGATGAGTAAAAGCAGATGCGGCTAACCTGAGCGCAAACAAGTATTCGTTGGCAGTCGAACAATGAACGTGGTAGTCAGAGCGACAAGAGAATGTACCGAGCAGAAATGCTCAAAGGAGTGGCAGGCAACGACCGTGTTTGGGTGTGAGTCTGAGGGATCAGGATGTGACAAAAAACACTGGGGTGCGGGAGATTTTCAACTTGATATATTGTTCGCGGGGAACTCGGGCGCTCGATCCCTTGCCTAGACCTTCACAAGCTCAAACTTTTTGCGCAAGCGGGTAAGCCAGGGGTTCAGGTGCAAATAGCCTCTTTCAGCCATTCACAGGTCGAAAGTAGCCTCAGCCGCTAAGGTTGTGGCCAACCTTGATTAGCTACCGCATGGCGCCGGTGCGTTTCACATAGCCGCCACATTCAGGTACACCCGCTCACCCTCGCCCTCCAACAGGGGGCCCTCATGCCGTTTGCATGTGTCTCAGTGCCTGATCTGCTTTTTCACCTGCAGGTTACTCTATCGGTAGATGTTCAAACCATTCCGTCAGATATGTTGCTCATGTGAATTTGGTGTTGATGTTCGCTGTGCGTTAGTCCCCACATATCGACAGGCCCACTGATCCTTCACATGTCTTGGTATTCGCGGAATCGAAAGGGGTGGGGCCGGCGCAAAGACCGCGCGGGTTGATCAAGTATTCTAGACACAGGCTCTCTCATTTCCGAAAGTATGATCGCCTTTGCGGGAGTTTGACTATTTTCAACGCGGTGACGACGACTACCCCATAACCATGGCCGTCTTTCTGTTTGTTGAGCGTTGCTGAGTTCGGGGCCCCGACTCAAGGGGGGTCCAGGAATGGAACGTCGTCGGCAAGGCGTATGCGATGCTGACGAGGCTTTCTCGTATCGACGAGTCAACATTCGACGCGGTCCGATGCAAAAATACCAGCCCAGGTGGCACGGCAGGCCCTCCGCGCGGCGTCGTATTTAGCTGGTCCCTTGCTCATGCAGCTCAGCTCAGCGCAGCACATGTGTTACGCATTCTTGTGTTTGCACGTTTGCGATGCATCGACAGAGAGTACAATTCATGGTGCTCTTGTTCCTGAATGCCCTCGAACAAAGAGTGGTATCGCAGCAGCGGTGTCCTTGCATACCACGCCTGCAAGCAACGTGGTGTCCACGCGCTGGGGCTCCGATAGGCTGGTCCTTGTACTGATTGCCGACATATCCCTATCACTGTCAGGTTCCGAACGTCTTTCTTTCCTTTTGTGTGCCGACAGAGAGATGATCCCAGCGTGTCTGCGCTCTGATGCTTCCACCGACGTCATCAGGTTGCAACGTGGTTTTCCATCGTGCGCGCATCATCAACTTGGTGTATGCAGATATTGCGCTCGAGATTTGTCTCCCCGGTTTTGTCAAAGGAACAACAGACGCCCTTCTCCACGTCGAAGCACCTCATTCGTTGGTGGCACTAACATGCATCCAGTAAGAGTCGACTGCCCTGCGCTATCGATATAGCCTATCGATAGGACTGAAGGTTCCTGCATAAGCGCTGCTGAACCTGCGCACTCTAATGCATGTGCTCTGCGCCCGGTGTGTCAAACTTCATTTCCCAACAGCAGAGAATGACATATGCCCGCCTCTGCGATTGTTTGTCATTCTGGCACATTGTGCTGGGAAGAAGAGCGAGGATGCGGTAGTATAGGTCGTCGCGAGCACACGTAATGATCTCCACTTCCTCCAAGTTCTGGATCCTGGACTGTGAGCACGGTCCAAAAATCTGCAGGTCGCCTCACCCAGACAGAACACAACGCCTCGCATATGCGTTCACCGAGCACATTCCACACACAGTTTCTTGTATGATTCTGATTTGTGAAACCAGAGGATAGCATGCTGCGCAGAGCTCAAGGCTATACAAAGTGTGCGACCTGATACTCACGCTGGAGATGTCGGCTATCCATGAGCATGACGTACAGTGTCGATCACTCTAGGCATCTTTACTGGTACGGTAACTTAGCCTCTGCAGAAGTCTAGAGATCGATCGCATCGCTTTCCTCCGAAAGGCGCAACAGGTGGTTTTCCTTGGTAGGTGTTTCAAGACAAACAGCGGTTCGCCGAGCGACGCCATGTTTCGAAACACTGGGGGTAAGAGCATACGGCGCAACCCAACGAGTCGGTCTTCAACGGGTTTCTTGGGTCGATCGTCGCACCGAAACGCTGGCATGGAGACCCTGAAAGCTTGTTCACTACCGTACAACTAAGTGGCGATCCTGCATGTAGTCCTATTGAACGAACATATCAATGAGACACAGTAGGGTATTCTTGCTGATACGGCTACAACAGGTTGATGCGTTAATTGTGAATACAACAAACATAGGCCCTATAGATTCATCGTACGCAATATTCCCCTTCTTTACGTATAACTCCATCTTCGCACACCATATCGCATCCTAGCTTCTCCGTGATAGCACAACCATCCGTACACCACATATACCGACGAGCAGGCAAACACGTAACCTCTCCCTCCCAATCGCATGCCAAGCACTCATTCATTATCCGTCCTACAGAAGGCTCTGCAGCAGCGAAGAAGCGGAACCAGTAGTTCACTCGCCTTTTACTCGCCTTGCTTTCTTCAGACGGTGTTGCGATCTTCACGCCCGCGAAAGATGACGTGTTCATATATCTAGTCTTCCAATTGAGAGCGGAGGGTTGAATAGTACTGATATTGCTTACGCCGGTTGCTGCGTCGCGAGCCTTGATATATGGTTCGGTGTTAAGTGATAGAACAGATTTGGCCTTGCATCGCGGGTGGACCGACATTCTAGAGGTCGATGAGGGACTTGCAGTAGCAGTAGTTGTGCTATTACTTTCAGGAAGAGGAATCGACGCAGTTGTGTCTGTACCGGTACTTGGAAGAGCACCAATAGGTGAGCTTCTCGATATGATGTCGGTGTATATAGGCCAATTGAATTCGGAAGAACCAGGCCTAGGGACGACAGGAGCTGGAGGCACAGGGTTGGAAACTGACAAGGTAGGTGATTCTGTTGCACTAGAAGACGTGACAAGCCACGACGAAACACTCTTCAATCCCCCTGATGGCGTTATCCAAGGCAACTTTGGGACCCAGGGCAATAGAAGACTAGAATTGCCAGGTACAATATGGGGCATTGTGTGCGAGCACGTAGTGCTTGTATTCATCAGACCGGTAGTGCTAGTAGACGTAGCAAACGTCCTTGTCATTGTTGTGCTACCCAGAGTTGGAAGACTGTCAGAAGCCAAGGAACTCGGCAACGGATCGTAGGTAAAGGATGGTAAGAAGAGAGAAGTGGTCCCAGACAGCGCTTCAGTTATGTAGCTTGTATATGTGACCGTAACAAAGACCGTCATGGTAAGGATACCGGTTGGAGATCGCTGGGCGATGACTATGGGGTCAGGAGCACCTTCGTCATTGGGTGTGGCTATAGTACTATAAGCTAGTAGTGCGATCATGCAGAGATACATGTAGTAACTGCACATGACAGCAATACTCATGTGGTTGCACGAGACTAAAAAGGTTTTGTATGTCGCAGAATATAGGAAGGTAACGAGCTGCAGAAGACTCGCTTTATTGCAAACAGATGTTCACACTTGTCAAGTACATCTGTCGATTGTTCATTGATGTGCGGACACGTCTTGTATTACGGGACATTGACGTACAACAATCAGTAGTGGGGCGTGAACGATGCACAATGGAAGTCTCTTCGTTCAATCATCATATGCGCTATAATCAACCTTCTCTCAGGTCCTGATCTCAGCAGCCTTCCTGAGCCGGTTCATGACTGCTGCCGCAATGTCATCACCTGTTCTATCGTCAATACCCTCCACAAAGATGGTTTCTACGCCTTTTTTATCGAGCTCTCTGAGCGCCGAGAACAAGCCTCTCGCAACGTCTTCTGTTTTTGCGCCAAGATTGATTTCCCACACCTGAACAGCTCCGGGCTTGACGACGTAATGATCTGCATGCGGTATTTGGTGTTGAGCGACAGATCGCAGGAGATTTGAAAGGCGCGACGACGACTCGTTGGCATTTAAAGATACTGTGTCCAGTGGACCGCAGAGTACCGGACCACTCGCATCCGATGTCTTCACCTTCTCAGCGCTTATACCCAGCACACTATCCCAGCTCTTGGTTCGAATAATACCAATGCGTCTTTTACTCTTCAGCTCGTCAGATGTGGGTTGACTTGCACCTGCCTCGAATAACAGCACCGACGCTTTCGGACTGTAGTGCCTGTACTTCATTCCAGGTGCGCGTGGTTTGCTCGAATCTTCCGCTTGCTTGTCTTTGTACCCAACGACTACGTTCTCCCACCCAGGACATTGTCGCAACTGCTCTACCGTGACACCACCCGGCCGCAGTATTGCAGGTGGACTTGACAGTCCGTCTATGACCGTACTCTCTACACCTACTTCGCATGGCCCACCATCAATTATCAGATTGAGTTTCCCGTTGAGGTCATCGTAGACATGTTCCGCAGCGGTCGGCGAAGGTCGCGTGGACGCGTTTGCGGAGGGTGCAGCAAGTGGACGACCACATAACCGCAAAAGGGACAAGGCGATGATAGAGCGTGGCATTCGTGCGCCAAAGGTAGTAAGACCTGCTGTGACTTCTGGTGCGAGGATCGAGTTTTCAGGAGCCGGCAATATGACGGTGAGCGGTCCAGGCCAGAAGCGCTCAATCACCGGCGTGTAAATTTCTGGTATAGGGTCTTTTCCAGCATCTTTTCCGTCGCCTACAAAGTCAAGCTTACCGAGCAACAGCGCTCGTAGCTGGGGTAGCGAATGTATATGAACGATCAATGGATTGTCCGCTGGTCGTCCTTTGCTGGCAAATATTTCTTTCACAGCTGCGCTTCTTGTGGCATCCGCGCCGAGTCCATACACAGTCTCTGTGGGAAACGCGATGGGGGTATTCGTGCTCATAAGCTCATGGGCTGCCTGTTTCAGCGTTCCAGCATCAGCATCACCCTCTGCGTCGTCGTATTGTATGTCCCATTCATCGATCAAGTCTTCCGACTTCTGGAACGTGATCCTCCCCAGTTTCTGAGGGTCTACACGTTGAACGCTAGTCTCGGGCATATTTGCGAGGAAGCGATCACGTATGTTCGAGACGGTTGGCGTATTTCGTCCGCCGAATCTGAAAGTTGTAGGCGTAAAGAAGAGAATCGGCGTTTTCAGCGTGGCAACCGGAAAGCGGCGGGCTTCTGATGCAGCGACTTGCACCAAGGAACGTGTAGGGGTGAGCTGGAGCGAGGGCTTCGTGAGGTTGACATTTGGTACGCGGGGATGGCGAGTGCGCATTAGAACCTTGGAATGATGACTGGTAAAAGAGGCCAAAATTTCTCGTTCCGAGCGTAGTGGGGCTCAGTTCCGATGGCACCTAAAGAAAAGCGACGTCACCGAGATACCCGACAGCGCCCAAGACGCTCAAGTCATTTCACAGCATGAGGAACTATTCAAGCCGCAGGACCATGCACCCAAACTATCGCTCAATTTGCTGAGTATATTTAGTGCCTTGTGGGAGTAAAGAGCAAGATTCAAAGTAGAGAGCTTATGGATGGCGACGACTAACGATTTGCTGCGTACGGTTAACGGATTTAGAGGATAGAGGATACTCAGAAGATACATATGAGGAGCTTGGACGCAGTCGATACGGCGAACTCTACAGGTCTTGAGCAGCATTAGCCCACCAATGTCTGCATAACTGTCATCAGCTGCGACGACGAGCGTGATCAAAAGGGACGGTGTGGAAGGACAAGGTGTCGCGCGCCCCTAAACCTCAAAATCCCAGATCCACACGGACCCAGACACCATTGGTTCTCTTCCCTCGCACTAGCCTGAGCTAGTACAGCGTGCATCTGGACCCTGGGACCCCATCCCAACTTCCTCAAAACTCCCCTTCCACCTCGCCTCACCCTTGCTATCGCCCTTCCACAGCTCGCGATAGTAAAAGCTGCTTCTCAATATGTCCGCTCCATCCGATATTCTCAACGACCCCGAGATTGCGCAGGCATACGAAGACGTGCGTTCAGACAAATCCGAGACCACGTGGCTTATCTTGAAGGTACATGGTATTCCGGGGCTGCATTGATGAGGTATCGTCCGACCAGACATCAATGAAAGCATCGACTGGATCGCGAACGATGAGATCACTGACTACCATGTAGTATGCATCCGCAACTTCAGATAACCTCAAACTCGCCGGCACAGGAAGCGGTGACATCGCCGAGATGACCGAGAGCCTCGGTGACGACGAAGCTGCTTATGCCTATGTACGCATGAAGCTAGGGAATGACGAGTACAGTGAACGTGTCAAGTTTGCTTTTGTTGTTTGGCAAGGTCGGTCATATTCCTCGTTCATATGTCGAGATGACTAAGACGTTCATAGGACCTCAAACGAAGGTGATGCGCAAGGCCAAGATGAGCTTCCAGAGTGGGCAGGTCAAGCAGGTCATCCGCACTTATGCTGTAGAGATCCAGACAGGCGACAAGAAGGATTTGGATGAAGAGGCAGTAACGCTGAAGCTTAGAAAAGCCATGGGCGCGAATTGTGAGTACACGTTTTGCTATTTATGTTGATTGAGGGTTACGGGATTATGGGTTGGGAACCAAGACATGAAGAAAAGGATGTATGCACTAATCGCTCGAACAGATGATCGCCAGAAAACGAACTACTAGCCCGTCTCGTACTGTATGATAATTGGTCTATTAGATTATGATGTTACTACTTTGTCATCGCCACCCATAAATTTGTAAATTGTGGTATGAGTTAAGAGACCATAGTAAAACTTCGCCCTCGATCCCTTGACTCTCACATAACCCCAGTAGCTGCTCTCTAGGTTTCGACAAATGCCAGTACCCACAGCACAATGTTGTCAAATCATATGTCAACTTCTTCAACCGGGGTGTTGCGACCTTCCACTCCGGTTCCCGATCTTGGACCCAAAGAACGCCATTCTCTACCTTGTCTAGATCTACTTTCCCCCTGGTCGTCACAATCGTGTACGGTTCTAATCTTTTCAGCGACCTACTCGGTCTTTCACCAGCAAGGTATTGTCTGAAGAAAGCCATGGCATGGACATCTTCGAATCTCCCTTGTAGATCTTGGTACTCCCAGAGATCGTCCGTAATTGTCAAGGTCTCTAGGGTCGCGGGAAGAAATTCCGTAAGACTAGCTGTACTGTCTAGAGCAACGGCCTCGGTACCGAACAGCACTGGGAAAGATATGGTCAAGTTGGTGAGCACGGGGAAATCGTGCAAAGGACCTAGGCTGCCCCCCACTGCGTTTTCAGTTTCATGTGCAGGGTTATATGCTAATCTGGAATTGTAGTGTTGGTAGCGCACAATTAGATCGGTAAGCGTAGAGTGAATATGTCGCAGTGCGTCCTTCAAAATCGACAACTGTAGAGGCGCGAAGTGTGGGTGTGCATAGCAGTCGTATTCAAAGACCCTGAGATTCGTAGCCTGCCTGAGCAGATGATGAATGGTGAGTGGATCCATCGAAGAGCGAACAAGGCGCAGAGTAGTCAGTGTATGCGGAACAGGAGGTAATGCTAGTGGCCACTCAAATGAGAGATCAACTCCCTCTTCCCCGCTGCTTACGTTGCCATAGTCGTCTCTCTTCGAACACGCAACAATTTGGAGCGATTCAACCACTGGCAGGTAGAAGAAGAGCAGTAGAGTGCCTTGTGGTTCCAAAAAATTCTGTCCCCACGTTTCGGCCATATCCGACTCTTCCAACTCAACGCGTACGGTTTTCAAGTTAGCGAACCACTTTGGTCCGTCATCTTCTGTTGCATTCTTCCCGATCCCATGCTTCATCATCGTAGGAAACCATTGATTGAATGGGAAGAACTCCCATGCTATGGTCAAAGATTCGAGACGAGCTTGGCAAATACCAATCAACAGCGCAACCAACATGTGCCTGGCGTGCTCATCGTCTAACTCGGGCCACTGAACCGATGTGTCTTTAGGATCCGCGTAGACACTGAACATCTCGTCCATCCATTCTTCATCTTTCATATCATAGTCAATTCTTGGGAAGTCATAGCCGAGGACGTCTTCGAAATTGTACTCTAGACAATTCTCCGCATAAAATTCCAGATTTTTGACCCAGTCGATGTATTGAGGCTTCTTTTTCAATGTGCGAACCAAAGCTTGTATCTTGGGTCCTTTTCGACCGTCAACAGTCCCTCCGTCTTCGTCGTCTTCGCTTGTGTTGTCCCAAAGCAGGGTGATGGTGTTGTAAGCTGCTGGTAGAGCGACGGTGTGGAGCGTCTTGCATGTTTGGGCCAGATTGACAGCATCGCAGGATTCAAGATCGAGGACTATGTATTCTAGCAATTCGGTAGGTAGATCGGTGATTGGTGACATTCTTGTGTCTTTGGAGAGATTGAGGGCGAGGTCCGGGTGTGGAAGAGGAAAGATGCAGACTCGGATATAAGGATTTAGGCAGGCGTCAGTGCGCGCTTTCTGAAACGGGTGGCCTTGTTGCCTCGCATACAACGCTATCGTGATTCGTGATCGTGAGATCGTGTATCTATATCCAATCTATCCACCAATACCACGCCATGTCTAGAGCGATGACTTGTTCATGTGGGGAAACACATGGGCAAGCCCACCACCTCCTGGGTTCGTTTTCGACTCGCTTGAACCTGTCCTAGATTCCGTATCGACAGTTGGTTGGAGTTCAGTCGCAGAACGGTCTCCAACCTGAACCACTTCGTGTTTCCTTGCCAGCTTGTTATCGACGTGGTTATCAAGCCATTCATGCTCTGCTTGATTTAACCTCAGATTTTCCTCCACCTCCCGCGTAAGCTTCTCAACTTCATCCTCCAGCAACTCATCGTGGCTCTTCTTGACTTCTTCCTTAGGCGCCACTGGATCTTCTTCAGATGCCGGTGCCGTGGTAGCCCAGAGCGCTTCTAGTTCACCCAGCCACCCGCAGGCCTCTGCCAGCTTCCTCACGCCACTATCGCAATCTTCCAGTAGCAGCACGTCATCGGTTCGTTGGCCCATATCACCAACCCTCTCCGAATTTATAAGCAAACGCGGGGTTTGGTCTTCACAGAGTTGCGGCAGCGAAGCGAAGGGGTGTACGCTGAGCGACGTGCCCATGACTATGCACAGGTCGGCTTGTGCGGGGAGGCTACGGTTGTCGAAGAAGGCGGAGGGTAATTGTTCCCCAAAGAAGACGATTTCGGGTTTGACGAGGCCGTTACAGGACGAATCGACACAGTGAGGCACTGATTTGTCGCGGATGGCTTCGTTCATGCGCTCTTTGGGATACGACTTCTTGCAGTCGATGCAACATTGCCTATACCTAGTCAGATTTGCCTAAACTCAATTCTCGCGAGTGCACTCACGATGCGAAACTGCCGTGCGCCTCAATAATCTTGTCGCCGGGGACTCCAGCCTCGCGCTCCAGACAATCAATGTTCTGTGTGAACAGCTTCAACAGCAGCCCCTTTTGATGCAGCAAGCTTATGAAGGAATGTGTTATCGTCGGCCTGAACTTTCCGGGGTATAGTTCTTGAGCGAGCGCGTAGAAGGGCTCTGGGGTCTTGCGGAAGAAATCGATGTCGAAGACGGCTTCAGGGTATGGCAGGTTCAGGCGACTGAGGTTGGCGTATAGGCCGGTTTCTGGTGATCTGAAGTCTGGTATGCCGGCTGAAGTACTTATGCCCGCACCTGTCTGTCTGATGTTAGCACGCGGTCAACCATCCCATTGCGTCCCAACTCACCATAACAACAATCTTTTGCGCGCGCCCGTCCTTGACATATTGTGCCAAAGCCTCCAAAGTACGTGCTTCTAGAGTTTGGGGTGGTGCAGTAGGGTCTACTACCCGCGATTCATCTTGGCCCATCCTGCCTCTTTTGCCTTTGCCTTTGCGACCTTTTTCCGCGTTGCGCCACGGCTTGTTTTGCTGCGCCTGTTGGCGATGCGCTTTGTGTTTGCGCCCTATTTTGAAGGATGTGAAGTGACGGACGTTTTTTTTTCTCGAAAACAAGAGCAAGGTGCGAATGTGACTGACGTGGCTGTGATACGTGTGACGGGCGCGTATTGCATTTCGTGGGAGAAGTCAGTGCCCCACCAAAAGATATCTCTCGGGAGTCCGACGGAGCTGCTGCGTCATGCCAGGAGCCATCCCCAACCCTTGCTCCCCAACACTACATGTCCGCTACTCGACCTTGTGCACGCCCGACAGAGACATCTCCATTGGAATTATTTGAAACACGGGCCCAGTTTATACAGGCACTCATTAGGACAGTTCCCCGTGACCTCATCTCCTGAACACGTCGCTCTAGCCTCGACCTCTTTTCCGCCAACCGCTTCTTTCACTTCCTTCATCCTGTCATCTCGCGCACTTCTCTCGACACTCTCCTTGATGGCCATGCAATCGAATTTCCCTTTGTCTGTTGTGCCCGTAAATTTGAGCACAACCTTCATATGCGCAACCTCTTTCCCCTCTCCGTTCTTGACGCTCACTCGAACATACTCGGGTGCATTACACCACCTTATCACGCGATCCCTTCCATCGGGAATACAGATCTTGCAGAAAGTGCACATTGTCGATCTCCGATCGAATCTGTAACAGTTCTTCTCATCCTCACCACTAAGCTGAAACGTGTAGGCGATTTGGCTGATGAACGCATTCTGCAGGGACTTTCCGTTGTAGCCAACCCCTCCTTCGTGTTTCCCGGGAATGTAGTCACTCTCGACACTTACTTCGACAAACTGTATGCCTTTTTCCACTATGCCGGCTTGATTGGAGTACTCGATGTTATCGAATTTTTCCTTTGAAGTCTTGCACGTGTTGGCACCTATCTTGTCGTCATCGCAGCGGTTCTTGAGTAACTTGTTTATGTCACCAGATATGTAACGGCCGTACCATTGGCCGACGTGTTGGCGTTGGTTACTTATCTCGATGGAGAATGTATATGATGGCGAGCTTGGGAAGGGCGAAGGTGAGGCTATTAGGGTCGTGCCCGGAACGAGACTTAGGCTGGTTGCCGCATTCATCGAAGAGCTGTTGGACCAGGCCGAAGGGATGGTGCTAAATATGGCCGTGGGAGACGAAAGAGACTCAAGCGATGAAGTGACACTTGACGTGGTCATTATAGTGGTGCTTGATATGGGTGGTGGACTGTAGGTTACCCAGCTCGGTGGCTTGCTCGCTTGGTAAGTCAGTTCGGAATCCGTTTTAGTTTACCAAGTGATACTGACACATTTCTGGCCGGCCTCCACCCACAGCTGCGACGCCGAGGATATAGAGAAAGACTGCTACGCCAGCGTATTGAATCTTTGCAACAACCGAAGTTCGCATGACGGACAACTCGACTTTGAGGCTTACCATATTGCCATGCTGGATTGTGAGAAGATATAGCAACGCGTCAATTCAATTTCTCTAGCTGTCAATCTTGTCATATGAAGTCCGTGGCTGGGAGAGTATTTCGTGCTGCTTGGCCATTCCATTCTTGTGGTATAGTAATCAATATGCCTCAGCGTCGAGGACTTGATACCACGGGGATCCTGTCAACGAGTGCCTGCATCACTTCTTACTAGACAATCGACTGTATCATCATCACAGGAGCTAGGAAGTGACCAGGTTTTGAGATGTTCCCTTTGTCGTATATCGAAACATTTGTCGTCGTCTCAAACAACCTAGTAGTGGACATGAACACGCTACGGAACCATATAACCTGCTAGGACTGCAGCATAACCAAATTTGTGCGCAGAATAGATATCAAAACCAGGTGGAACTCCAAGAGGTCGGCAGGTCGACAGGTGGAGGCACTCCCGAGGTTATTGTGTATTGAGTCATGGGCATTCACGCCCCGCCCCAAGCGTCACCAGACTACTTTTGCGGAGCTACGTAAGCCACTCTTAAGGGATCGCAATCCCTTGCAGCGGATCACAACGTCGCAATATGATGTACGACAACTATCCTCCCAGTGTTGCAAGTTTTGCACAGTCGCCTGCGGGCACATTGCATAATGCAAGGGCAATACTTATCTAGGTAGTTGACAACTTTCACACCTCACCGCCACCTGAACACTCTAAGGGCTATACCGGAAAAGGACTTCCTTTCTCCATTCAATTGAATGGACCGAATCATTATGAGGTGTTCCAATAGGCTCAGATAGCCGGGCCACGACACCCCATGTGCTCACTTGGATGTTTCTACAAATAGGCAAGATTCCGTTAGTTCCGTTTCTTTCAATCTCGGGTGGCCCTATCCTAAGGGAGCTTTAAGTACAGCTGTCAATCCCCAACCAACCACACATTGTCAACGCGATACACAACTCCCAAGGTGCTTCGAATGTAAGAGTCGTCATGTCTCTCAAGGATAAAGTTATCGCCATTACTGGAGCGGCGTCTGGAATAGGCCTTGAAACCGCCCGTCTTTTCGCCAGCAAAGGAGCCAAGCTTGCACTCGCCGACGTACAGGAGAAGCCGTTGAAAGACCTTGAAAGCGAGCTTCGAACAGCTGGTGCACAAGTCATGATCCAGGTTGTCGACGTCAGCAAACGTGCCGATGTGGAAAGCTGGATCGCAAGCACAGTCGAGAAGTTCGGGAAGCTGGATGGTGCAGCCAATCTTGCAGGTGTAACTGGTCGGCAAAGTGCTGTCGCCAACATTGAAGAGGTAGAGGACGACGACTGGGAATTCATTATGGGAGTAAACGTTACAGGTCTGCGGAACTGTTTGCGCGCTCAGGTGCCGCACATGAAGGAAGGAAGTTCTATTGTCAATGCAGCCAGTATACTGGGTCTCGTTGGCGCGCCAAAACAGCTGGCATATTGCGCCTCCAAACATGCTGTTGTCGGAATGACAAGGAGCGCGGCAAAAGAGCTAGGACCAAAGAAGATCAGGGTGAATTGCTTCTGCCCGTGAGTAGACCTACAGAAACTCTTTTTGAGGTATGTACATACTAACTGCGCACAGTGGACCAGTCGACACCCCAATGTTGCGAAAATCGTACGAAAATCGAGGCGGGCCTGTCGATTATTCGTTCCTTCCACTGGGAAGAACTGCACACCAAACGGAGATTCCACCGCTTATCGAGTTTCTGATATCAGACGCTTCTTCGTTCATGACTGGGACGGCTACGCCAATTGACGGCGGGTGGTACTGCTAGGTACCGCCATGTGCAGTTTCTCAACCCCATGCCAGGCCTAGCTCTCGCTTTCGGCTTTTGTGTTGTTTCTTACGTGCGACAATTCGACCTAGCAAAGTCTACAAACGGTCTAGAAAGTACGGAAATTAGAGGAGAGTACGACACAAAGCAATCAGTATTTGTATTTAATATTCTAGTCATAACGCAGTCAGTTTTATCTCTCTATCTGTGAACCCTGCTCTGAACTGTGCAACACTACCTAGTATCCCCTGCCAATGTTCAGTCCCTCTGGATACCGCAAAACCTGCATCAAATAAGGGTCGCAACCAAGGGATTAGGATCCTTTTGGCAATGATGAAATTAGGTGTCCTTTGGTAAAGTCAGTCCAGGTGCGGAACCACGTCCTGGCGCTTTCTGCCCGAATTCCAATATGCGCGCTTACTGCTGAATAAAAATCACCTCAAAAGTCTGTACTAAGAAGAGTAACATCTTCTGGCTGGTACGAATGCAGTTCATTACATCACTGTCAACTTGGTTTTCCAGCTACTCCACACTAAGGGAAACAAGAAAAGGATGTCGCCCTTAGGCGTAACTACTGTTTACTCAGGTAGCTTTTATTTTACGACAGTTATTCAATTATTGTTCTAGAGTATGTAGGTGTAATTATTACCAGAGATAGCTGAATCTGCTGTAATCCTGCAGTCTACAATAGTATTCTACAAGGACTAGCAACGCAACTACTGCTCATATAGACTCTTAGATAACTGTTGATGTACAAAATATTTTTGTTAAGTTTTATCCTAGTAGGTAGTCTAGCACTGCGACTGTGGGGAAAAAGTTTAAGCTGTTTTTCTATCTACTGTTATCGTACAAAATTACTCCTTTACCACGAAAGCGTCGTCTTCTCTAGTTCTAGTAACAGCTTATTGTTCGAGCATCAAGCCCTTGGTTCTTTGCCTCCAATCTCTGAACTCTCCCTTGCGAACTTCTCCTTACCCTCACCCGGCAGCACAGTCTTCCCCTGGACCTCCTGCTCTGCCGCCCACTTCTTTAGTGTATTGAGATCCACACTCTTCAAGGCGCCTTCATGCGTCGATTCTAGCTTTACTCTCGGTACCTCTCCAATATTTTTATCCGCAGCGCTCTTCCATGTTGAAGCTTCTAGGCACAGTCGTTGACCTGGACCCACGCCAGCTTTTCGCAAATCCGTGCCATTCGAGGACGAGAAGTCTAGGAATCCGTTTGTGAGGATAGCGGCGATGGGGTTTTTACTGGTACACATTCCAGCGCTGAATGAGGAGGGAAGATTCGAAGGAGCCTTGGCTTCGGAAGAGTGTTTATGGAGGGGAGCATTGAGTACTGAGAAGTGTTAGCTGGTAATTGAGAATCGATTTGGTAGAATGAGGTTACGAACCGTTCTTTTGGGTAACGTCCATCTTTCCTTGCTCGTTCTTTCCCGACATGTTGGTATCTTGCTATGGATATTTGCAACTGTTCTACGGTTTAGTCTGCGGTTGTGAGGTGCTGAGGAGATGATATCGGCGCGGGTCGTAGAGATTCGTCAATGCTATAGTTGATATGTAGTGATGTATGCAGGATTGATCTAGCAGAAACCCATGTCAAATGAACCTTTTTGTTCCTGCATTTCCACGCTTTACTCGCTCTGCTCAAAGCACGGCTCAGTAATGATGCCTCCATTACCTCGTTCTGATCAATGTCTTGACGTCAGCGATATTGAAAGCGTCAGAGTGTAATTCGACGTCGTCTCGTTGTTCCGTCTAATGTGTAGCACCTAAAACAAGACATATATCCTTTCATGAACGCGCTCGTCTACGACAATGTAGTCGCATACTCCAGGTTGGCGATATCGTCCTCGACACGCTTTCCCACACACCTCCATGATCACTCGCTAGTCCCAGTCCTTACAAGCGTCCTTCCCCGGCTCCAGCGCGTATGTACCCCGTACACACACACTTCGCACTGCATCTCAAACTACCACACCACATCCAACGGTACTACAACTGCAGAAAAACTACCCACCATCTCTTTGCCTCACCGCTTTCCCAACCTCTGTTTCTCTCCCCTCCACGACACTGGGGCCGCGCAAGGCAAATCCTTGGCAAGTGTTACAAGTCGGTATCTGTAAATACCGACATACCGACGACAGTCTGCGCTCGCTCAAACAGCGATTCAGTCACTGAACCATGGTCATAGGCCAAAGGCAGTGTTAGTCCACACACGTGCTCAAGTGCCTTAGGCTCACCGTCATTTATCTGTGAACGCGGTGACGCAGAACAAAGTTGATTCAAGGCCACACACTTCCGTCTCTTTTTGACCGAGATCAAGCCGAGATCGATTCCACGCCGTCAACTTGCCTTACGAGCTTTGCATACTAGTGACTTATTAGGTAATTTTGCCATCAGTGGAGACGACGGTCTACTCGAGTCATAGGGGGCAAATGACGTCGATCTCGTCATTTCCTCTCCATCACCAATCTCCCTCACGAAGAGCGTTGGGCGAACAGTTTGGTGAACAGGGTCAACAACGGTGAGAGGAGTGCAGGGCACATGCCTGCCCGAGCAGCCCAAACCGCTCAAGGGAAGAACGCATAGCCAATGCAGCTGCACCTCGATCTGAGATCCAGCGCACGACCGTTGCCTTCGGAGAAAGGACCGATGAAAACAAAACATATACCAGCGGTCGGCCGCGAAAAACGCGGCGTTAACGCATGTCCAGCATGTTACATGAGGAATGGAAATCATCGCAAGCGCACAAGATGCAGGTATGAAAATCGCGGAGTATGGAGATCCAAAACAAACTCTACTAAATCCCGGGTGCTTCCAGGACTAAATTGGCCTGCATCGTAGGAGGCTCAGAGTAACGCAGGTTGACGTATACGACAGATTCGGGTCAATCTAAACTGCTGGTCATGAAGATCCGGGGAAATGCGCGGCGTGAATGATGAGTTTTGCAAAGAGGTGTGTCATCATGTGCACCCAAGTAAATTATAGTCTGGAGGTAGTCAGTAGAGTTCAAAGTGTCGTAGGTTGACTTAAGACATCACCAACACCTTCCGTCTCTACAATGAACTACAGTGTTGAACAATACAAATTAAAGAAGGACAAGCTTTCTCGCATTAGTCGCAAGGCTTCGATTACAGAGGCAATATCAACCATAGAGACATGCATTATGAATAGCTGGACTAATCGTCTTTGGGTGAATTATTTGCTATGAATGCAATGTGCCTCGCTAGGCCGACACTATCCGTGCAGCTTCACCTTATGCATCCAAAACAATGCATTAATCGTTCCTACTTTCTCTGCAACTTCCTGGAATAATGCGCCGACAAGCTGTTGTTCTCAGATAATGAGCAATGGCGCATTGGAAGCATGGCTCGTTCTATAGCCATGATAGATGCCTAGCCTTGTAACCTTTGCCGAATCTCAGCGACCACGTTCCGAATGCGCGGTTCCTTGACCTTCTGTTCGGCGCGGGTAATCGCATCGCCTATCTGTAAAATGTCCCTACCAGCCTCACAGAAGTCAGGGCCTAGGCAAAGCAAAGTGCCTGTAGCCACAAGCGCGCGATACACGGCCTCGGAGTCGGTAGCCGTAGTGAGAACCTTGGATAAATCGTCGAGCAATGAAAGCGCACGGTCCGCGTTGTTCTCAGAGTTGAGCAGTACTGAGTAATTGATGTACAGCGTTGTGAGCGCAATGATCAAGTTTCGGTTCGTAGATGTCAGGAAAGGCGATACTAGTGGATGAATGTTATCAAACTCTGTGCTGGCAAGTAGTCTTCCCTTTTCGGTTTGAAGGAGATTGCTGAGACATCGTATGGCCATCATTGTGTTGTTGGGTGGGGAAGATTCCGTGAAGACCCCTGATTCAAGAAGGTTTGGCAATAGGTTCTGCTCAGGCGACACTAGGAAGGTTGCTGGTTCCTCGAAAGCGAGGACTAGTCGTAATAAGTCCAGTGCAGGTAGACGCTTCTCTGCCGGCCATTGTGTTGCCGCTTTGACAAGGAGTTCCACACCTGTTATGTCGATGCCCTTGCCATTTCCTTTCTCCAATGCTGTGACAGTCGCGTTCAGTTGCTCGACATCCGGCGGATTCAGCGAGATGCCTTTCTGTCCATCGTTCACCAAGGCCTCATTGAATTCTGTAAGCTTCTTGAAAATGACCTTGTGGTTTCCAGTTGTGATAGGAAGGTAATCCTTTTGCGGAAGTATCTTAGTGGCTGGTGGCGCTGGTGGAGGCTGGGTCGCGACTTGATTGGCGTCGCCGGGCCGGTACCGTGCCTCCGAACCCCACGGATCCGTGCCTTGAGCACTGCTTTGCCCTAGCGTTGCACCTTGTGTGTTCTGGATGATGAAGTTCGCGACTTGGTCGAGGTATGTGAGCGGAAGCTCATTGTCTTCAATGAACTTGCGCGCAGCTTCGTAGTGGTTCTGGTTGAGGTTGTAAGGTAGCTTCAGTGGAGGCTTGCCGTCTTCGATGTCAACGTCGAAAACGTAATCATATTCTTTGCCGGCATGCGAGATCTTGCGTCCACCGCTCCCCGCCGAATCGACGACTGTTCCAACATTCACCCACTGATTTGCAGCTGCGGACCATTGATATGCAGAAACGTTGCCGTTCATCTCCTTGATCATCTGGACCTGCCCCTCCTTGGTGCCCGATCGCTGTGTGAGGAACTCCGGGCCGGGCAGTTGCTCTTTGTTGATGTCTCCCACGGTCTGCTGTGGTATCGAGGAGCCCTTGACATCGTCGTTGAATTGTTGAATCTCAGCCTCAGCAGCATAACGAGACTGGTCACGAGTAAAGACACGCGCAAGCTTATCGCTCGCACCAGTGACGATGTCGCCGTTCTCCTTGCATACAGCCACGGTCCATACCGAGATGGCTGGGTGGGTGATGGTCTGTATGCACTGATTGTTTTCCCATATCCGTACTGTCCGATCTTCACCGGCGCTCACCAGGCCGCCGTTGGGGAGGACAGCCAGAGAGTAGATGAAGTTCTCGTGGCCGTGCAGCTCCGCCACCTGTTGTCCGTTGAGCGTCCATAAGCGAATGACAGCATCGTTCCCTGCGGATGCGAACTGGGCACCCGAGGGATGATCCGGAGGTAATCGGCAGAGGGCGCGGACAACTTCAGGTGCCTGGATCGAGCGTACCGGAGATGCGGAGCTCGAAGGCTGGAATATGCGGATCTGCTTGTCTGCACAGCCGGTGATGATGGTATCGCTGTCGTAAGCAAGGACAGCCCACACCGATGCAGAGTGACCCTGCAGCACTGTAGATTCGCCCCACTTGCCTACTTGCCATAGCCGCGCCTCCATGTCCCAGCTGCCGCTGACAATGTATTTTCCATCCTCGCTGACGTCCAGCGCGCATACGTTATTGCCATGTCCGATCAGAAGAGCGTCTGCATCGTCATCGAGGTTCTTGGTCGGCCGCCGCACGTCGATGATCTGGTCTTTGCCGCCCGACACGACCAGGCCCTCGGGAAACGACGACGTGGGCGGTACGATGGCGAGCGAGTTGACGAATTCCTTGCCGTGTGTCTTGATGGTGCTATCCCATGTTGGCGGGCTTTGTGACTGCTGTGCCCAGGTCCGTACTGTAAAGTCTCGCGACGCAGAGACGATGGAGGAAGGCGAGGGGAATGCGACGCTTCGGACCTGCACGCTGTGTTAGTGGTGGTTCTGCGTAATGCAGGGACCTGATTTGCTTAGTAGCGGATGCAACACGTACATCGTCCTCGTGACCGCGAAGGGTGGCTGATAACTTGAAGTCGGCCATGGTTGAAGCAACGCGGGGTTGCTGCTTGGTGGTGGGAGAGGTCTTAGCAGCGGAGCGGAGAGAAGGAAACGAGCACTAGATAGAGGCGAGAGTTGCACGCATCAAGGCTTCACAGTGAGCGAGATCAACGGATTTGTGGCTGCTTGGACGTGGCCGAGTGATTGCAGTGACTTGCTTGTCACAGGCACAGCTCCGTGGTTGACGACGTCAGCCTTTCGCGAGACAGCTGTAGCCGAAGCACCCATGTCACTTTCTCATTATGTCAGCCTCGCCTCGCCTCGAATGCTCCTGCTTCCTGATCGGGACTTGATTCCTATACCCAGCACCAGACGTGGAATATCACCAGGGCTCTTTTTTTTCTTGTAAATACAGGCGCATCTTGGTACCTCACATCTGGTTGCTTGGCTTTCAGGTACTCGTACGAGTGGCTTGCGGCTGAGTATCTGCTTTACCAATAGCGCGAACCCTACCGTTGCCTCAGCTCTCGCTTGTCTGGCAAGATGCATCTAGGCTAACGTCCATTTCACGATAATCTCAGATTTCCTTACCATCGGCCTGGTACTTGGATGCGGGAAGCCCTCGTTTTCGTATTCTGCCACGTGAGGCGCTGAGCCACAGCATCCGGGGTTCGCGAAGCGTCCTGCTGGACAGCTGGCTCCAGGCCACCATTCCTCCCACCATGCGCTTGCAGATGCGCTCGAGAAGCCACTGTCCCCAATCGTTGATTAGAAATTGTCAAGTCTTTGGGGTCGCCGCCGATGCGCATTAACCGCCATGCTGCATGTGATACTACGCCGTTGGAAGATGCACCTTCGGAGACTTGTCAGCTTCTGAAACCGGGGTAGATAAGTCTACCCGAGCGTAACCTCGTCACGGCATGTTGAGACGAGAACATGTAGCGACGTTGGTATTTTCCTAGGAGAAGCACAACATTCGGCTGTGATGCCGTAGCTAGGTAGCGCAGCAGTTCTCTCTGCTCTGGTACGCGTCCCAAAGCAGCGTGGATCGTCGGTGGTGGGCCCAGAACACCATCCACCAAATATCCTGCCAAACGTCAAAGTCTTGGTGGCTCCGTTGTCGTGCAACACCGGCTGGAGGTTTCCATCTCAACATGGGCCTCGCACAGCCCACGACGGAATCCTCCGCCCCGCCTCTGTGGCTCGTCTCCATAACGGAGGGCGGCCAACGCGTTTCGCCGACCGTCTGGAGTCAGTCAGTACCAGCGGTAGCTTTTCATGCGCAGGGCAAATGATTTCGCATCCCCTTCCGAATTTCCTGGTCATTTGACTCTAGCTGCTCTGCCCGGCCGCTACTCGACGTCCCTTGCGCCTCGCCTCCACCCAAAGGGTCGTGTTCGGCATCGCGCTGCAGCCACTAGAGCAATAGCCTTTCGCGTGACATTGCCTACCCTGCTTTCCCACGATGCGCTTACATTGGACCGCCCGGTTTGTTCTAGCCCAGCCCACGCTACACTTGCGCCAAGCCACTCAAGTCCTCTGGACGAAGCGTTGCGTGTCAGCTCAAATTTTGGGCCGTCCTGGAGCGAAGGGACACCCTGTGACTTGTCTGGAAGCGGTCTATGCAACCGCCCATGTCACTGAGATGAGTGCGCCATCCAGAACTGACGCCAGCGTGCCATGGTTGGAGGGACGGCTGCATGCCTACAAGAGCGCGAACACTCCTCCCAGATCCGTCCTGTCTTCTGCTCCCACCTTGATCTGCAATATCTAAACAACTCTCCATACAAGCTCTTGGCAACCAGTAATCTCGGCATACATTCAGTCCGGCTGCATCGACCACAGCATAGTTTGCCTGCACCTGGCGATCTCGGTACCCTTGCCTCAGCCTTACCAATTGCTCGGAACTCGCGCGGCGCCTCCGTGATCAGCGGCCGACCCCTACGTACCCCTACGCGTTCGTGCGTAAGGTCAAAATCGTCACACCTGTGACCGTTGGCCTTTTATTTTTCACAACAGGGTCTTACGAGCATTTGCTTCAAGAAGGCTTCCCCCGCCAGCTCAAACTACACAAGTAACACCAAGAACCAAATTCACACCTTCCTCCACCACCCCTCACACACTATACAACACTACCACAATGGACGCACCAATGATCGAACTCAAGTCGGCCCTGGCCTCGTAAGTCACACCCTTTTGCCCTTTCAATCCCCAGCTAAGTCTGTTAGACTGTTTCAATGCGGACAATACTCAGATCTGACCATTGTGTGTGGCGCGAAAAGATATCCAGTTCACCGTATACTCCTTGCAACCAGATCTACCTTCTTCGAGGGAGCCTGCCGCAATGGCTTCAGGGAGGCAGAGACTGGAGTCATCGACCTCACCGAAGATGACGCAGAGGCTGTTGACCACATGGTACACTGTACGTATTAGTGTGAGAGGGCAGGGTTTTCGAGTGTGCTAATTGCTTCCAGACTTCTATCACATGGACTACCTTACCAAGAAGTCACTCTCACGCCGCTCCTCACAACGGTCTAACCGACCTACTTCTCTACGATCCTCCATCACCAAGAAAAGAAGCCCACCCAAGCAGCTTAATCTCGCTCAAGTAGAGGATCCGCTACTTGCGCTTGTGGCCGCAGCCAACAACTCGATGCCATTGACTCCTCCCGCAGACGAGCCCATATTCCAGAATCTCGATGCCTCCACCAAGATGCCCGACACGCCGATGGCCGATCAGTTCTTCGAGGATGACGATTCAGAAAGCGAGCAATCAGAGGCCGAGTTTGACATTGAGACTACCCATCTTGTTACACATGCCAAGGTCTACGCCATTGCTGAGAAGTACGTACCACCCTTCGTCATTCTTTACTTTTCTACATTTTGCCTGAATGCGCGCCTTGGGTTGCGGGGGTGATTTCATCTGCGCCTGCAGCATTCCTTCACATGGCTGGGGTGTGCAGCGCATGGCACGGCGGTTTGAAACACCGACAAACCCCGCGATGTGCGTCACAAGCACTCCGCTTGCCAATCACGCTTCGAGATCCACCCTCCGCCTTACCTTTGCACACACAGCCCTCTCCTCTGTTTTGCTTGTGTACGATTCCTAGATCGGCCAATGGCCTTTTGTGGTTATCAAGCCTCCATGGCTGCATTTTCGAAACTGTCCGCGTCAGCGTACAACACTCTCCAATCACGCGCCTATCATGCATCACGCACTTTGGGACTGGTTTGCTAACGGTTTATGGCAGGTACGGCATTGCAGGCTTGAAAGCGCTTGCGCGTAGTAAATTTGCAGACGACGTCGAGTTGCACCTCAGCAGTGCCGAGTTTCCAGAGGCTTGCCAAGAGGCGTACGAGTCTACCTTCCACACTGATCGTGGTCTGCGAGACGTTATCATCCAAACCTTCCGTGCCAACCCCAGCCTCTCGCTACGTCCCGACGTTGAGATGGCGGTGCGAGAAACGCCCGGACTTGCTTTTGAGCTCTTCCGCATGGCGAGTGGTCTCCCTATCTCATCCTGAAAAGTGGACATTACTCTATCTGCCGTCCCTAGCCTCTTATCACTGCTCTACAGCCCACCCCAGCACTTGCATCGCCGCTGCTGCATGCATACGCCCAGAATTCACGCTGAGTTTCGTCAGCTCTTTGTGAAGAATCCTACGCGCGTCCAGCAAAGAGACTATTCCGCAAGAGTTCCGCACACAAACGCCTGTCTTGGCTAAGACAACGTGTTTCACGACATCTGCAGTCAACCGTCGACGTGATGCGGGGTCAGCATGTCTTACCTACCACGTCGAGCCGCGCAGCCGCGTAGTCCAAAGTTACACCCGGTGCGCTCCAGCCAATGGGGGACTTCTACCGGTACTTCATCATCTCTGCCCGTTGAGGGTTCTTTTACTCTTTCTTGTTTACTATGTAGTACTTCTAGCGATACCAACTAGCGAATCAATGTTCAATTTTCTGTCAAGTCTGAGTTAGATCAACTCATCCATTTCGATCCGTCTCTTGCCTCAAAGCTTTGCCATGAATTTTTCACATCGTTCTCCAATGACATCTCATACGACTGTACCGAAGGTGGAGCTGCATGTCGCGACGTCATCCCATCGTGTCACCCTTGCTGCATAGATAGGGTTTGTAACGATCCACAACATGGCGCCCGCATGTAAGCCCGAGATCGCACATGACTCGGTCCTTCCCCATCGGCCATCGGTCATACAAATCAGGAGTCCAACGCCTCCTTATGGCGCCTAAGGCTTCCATATCAAGAGATCTGCGACCGTTTCGGACCGTTTCGGACCGTTCCTTGAATTTTGCTTATGGCAGAGGGGGATCTACACTGATTATTGGTATGTGGCTTTGAAATCAAGATGACGATCATACACCGTGTTGGATACAAGATTCGGAACTGCTGTAGTGCTCAAGTGAATATTTCGTCCGTTATTTTGTGGTTGGCACTTGTAAACTGAGGAGCGTAGGTTGACGGCCAGAGAGTGCTTTCTTTGCTTTCTTCCGATCTTTGTTGTTTGAGGGTTGGCTTCATGCCTGGCTGTAATGCACGCATGAATTGCCTAACATCTATCACTCAGTATCTCTCGCGAGAAAGCATCGCGGTAGATCAAATCTTAAATTAAATACAACTAGTAGAGATAGTTATGATGAACACTGTACATCGGTGTACCTGAGGCAAAGCCAGTGATAGATATATACAAATGTATCTATACAGTGATCGACTACTGTGCCACGATCGAAAATTACTTGCCAAAGCCACTCTCATTGTTGGAGACCATCGACAGAATTGCTGGAATAGCTTTGAACGTGACTGTGTTGCTGGGGGACGAAACTAGTACACTGTGCGCCAACCAGTCGTCTTTCTAAATGTGTGAGCAGCATGGCGGCATTGATTTGGAGAGATAGCCGGTGCATGCGAATAAGTGGAAGAAATCCGTGCTAAACATCGGGAGTCATATTCGAGTTGAGCGTCGTGATGATTGAGAATGGGTAGCCAGCCGACTGTTGTTGTACTTCAGCACTATCGTTGCTCTGTACTGCTTGGCGGGACGCCCCTATGCAGCGGGATTTGTAGTGGGACACCGTTGAACGCTTGATGTTTGTGTGGCCAAGGAAAAGGAATGTGGCAGTGTATAAGCTGGCGATGAGGTTTGGTTACGCAGAATGGATCCGGAGCATCCTTTGCATCTTATGATGCTCAGTACTCATCATTCCTTCCCAGTTGTTCCACAGACTCGTCGAGAACAGAGCATGGGTCTTTGATTTGAGCAACGTTTGACGTTCTTGTAGCCTTTTCCGATTCTAACACCGGCAAACTCCTCGGGTGTGATGCGATCTTACACGTCGTCAACCACCCATCGCTATAGCTGACCCTGTCTCCTTCGTACCGAACTTCTGTCATTGAATTCTGCCCACTCGAACATCGCCAGCCATGCCGTAACCGTTCAATTAGTCGTCAACCGGAGCAGTTCGTCGAGAGGTAACTCCGATACTAGTGGATTTGTGCACAGATAATGCCACCGTCGTCACTCCATTCCGATGAAGAAGCTACCCGACAAGCTGCTCATGAATGTCGACACCCAACTCTTGGAACTCGATCTTAGCAATTTAACCTCGATGGAAAGACCACTCGGCTTTACCGATCTCTTACGCAGTCGAAGCAATTCCATGATGGATGGCTCAGCCAGCACTCACCCTCTTCAGCCGTACAGACCTAGCGCGGAAAGTGACCTAACTCACGCTGCAACCCATCAACCACCTCTTTGAGGTTCCTTTCCCCACACCTTCCGCAGTAGAATACCCAGCACTCCAGATGTTCTTTTGGCATGCACATGTGTACATGTATGAGACACAATGTACCTTTCGCAGGTGACGAGCATGGTTGACTTGGACCGAATGAAGTACTTCCATATCTAGGTATCCAGGTTAAAAGAGTTTCGGACCAAAGACCGGTCTCAGGGAACGAGATTATCGAAATTCCGTCCAGTAGGGTTTAGAGTTTGCGCATCTTAAGCCCGTCCGTTGAAGTTATGAAGGATCCCGAATACATGTCTTTGGAAGGTGCCGAATTCGTATTCCCGAGCTCGATGGAATGAACGAGAGCGTAGAGATCGACCATAGACAAGGAGAATGGATGGGTACACCAAGGAGCGGGGAGGTGGTCATGTCCGAGAGGTCGATTGAACGTGTTCGTGATCATGATGCATGGATGTTATCCAGACTTTGGTTGCGGTAAGGCCATCATCGCGTAAAGGTCCCGTGAATGACTCCTCGAGATTCTGTAAGTTTTTGATCGAGAGTCGAAAGACAGCACAGCAGGCGTCAGGCGGGGCAAGGCATGATATAAGACGGTCATAGTCTTGGGGATCCGAGGATGCCCTAACGCTAGCGTGGTTCGCGCTGACACCTGCATACGTTAAATCTCCGAAGCCGAATAGTTTCACGTTATATCATTAAGAAAGTTGAGTTACTCTCCACAATAATTCTGTATCTCACAGTGGTTCCCGTGTTTCTAGGGCTCGAAGATGCACCCTCACGCTTCCGGTTGCGGCGGGCCGCTCTTGCTTGACCCTGCACCACTGCACACTAGATGCGTAGCCAACGCGACAATCGTCAGCCAAGAGCGTCAGCCTGGCCAAATTCAGTCACCTCCACGCAATCGTGGTAATGCACATACGAGCCAACCATCTAGAAACGTTTTACAGAATCCCAGGATAACTCGAAGATTGAACCGCGCATATTTGAAGATTCATGCACGTTAGGTGAGTTGGTTCTGTAGCTTTCTGTAGCATTTCCTCATTCTTTCTGGTTCTGGGTTTGTTGTAGATGACGTCCGTAGATGGCTTCCTCTTTGGTACTTCGACACGTGCAATGATACCTACGGGCGCTGGCCACTTACCCTTTGCAACAATTACCCCATTGCGGCCGACTTGAATGTGTCCATACCTTCTACGAACTCTTTGCACAAGATCAACGCACTTTCTCTGCATGCAAAGGCCGTGCTGAGTTATGGAGCGGTAAACACAATAAAACATGTTGCTATCTTCTAACCCTTCTTCTTGTCGAAAACTCGCTCAGAACATCCAAATCGTCCAAATTGGCACTGTTGTATCGATCAGTTTTGGTTTCTCAGATCACGCACTACACATACGCATCGTTCGCATTACAATCATCATATCAATGACCAGAACGTCGGTCCCTCATACAGATGTCGGCGTCACATTTCCTCATTATACCTCTCTGCTACCATACTTCGGCAACCATCCACCTGCTCTCGAAGAGAGGGATCACCACGATCTACCCTCAGAGAAGACTAGTAGTACCGGCGCCTACGAACTACTTCAGGCTCGCATTGATAACGACGACGAATCGAAATACGGCTTCTGGGGTGAATTGGATGAAACTAAGAGTTCGTCTGAGGTAGACCCATCGTACAACAAGCGATCGTTTGTGAGCGAATTAGCCACATTCTGCTGCTTTTGGTGTGCATTCTCCGTCCTTATGTTGGGTGCCTTTGGGATCTACTTCGCTGTCGACCCTGCCTTCAGCCGTTATGGGCTAGGCACAGGGATGGCGGAATGGGCCATTCACAGACACCAGCTCCCACCAAGCATATCATATGGGGTAAGTCGACCGCAGCATGGTAGTGGTATCGACACGCAACATGCTTACACCTAGCCTACTCTAGATCAAATTCTGCCTCGAGTCGCCGAACCGCGAAGCACCTAGTGCGCAGGCCTGGCGCTACATGAGAGCAGCTGCTGGTGACTTTTGTGCAACCGATACTATTGACTTCATCCTTGACTCCAAGGAAGCATGGAAGGTTCAGCCGGGTGCTAGTCCGGTCTTGCGAAATGAGGAGCCATATCTTGATCAAATCGAGAAGACGCAGACGCCCACAGTCTCCCGAGAGCAAGTACAGGTTCCTTAGCCGGGTGATGACCTTGCTGAAGAGGGTCAGTTGGGACGATAGGGTTGATTCATTGGACATGAAAGTTCTGTCACACCACAAATATTCTGCAGGCGGCATCTGGTATTTAGCATACGTCATTGCTTGCTTAGCGTATTTGCATAAATGTCATTGATTCTGTTCGCTTCTCCATACTCCAATTTCTTTAGAATCGCCAGGCTCTCCTACGCCTACTACCTGCTGACTGCACTCCATAGCATGGAGCCTTCAAAATGTCATACTCCGTTAGTCTTGATCAAATGTGTATTCTGCGAGAGACCCTTGCATGTACGTTTTTTCTGTCGTCCGAGTGTCTGTAGACGATGATAGGTTCGCTGGAACAAGGAAGGGCGCTGGCAGTGAGGGCTGACATTTGTTCAGCTCTGGTATTTTGGAACACATGCCGAGTTCCTGGCAGCCATAATTTTTGCCCAGGATGCATTTGAGTGACTCAAGTGGTGGGAAAACTTTGCTGTCATCAAGAAGTGGTACCACCTTCGAAACCGTGGTCCAGGGAACCGTTTGTAATTCTCACAGCCTTTCCACGTATTTCCCTCTAGAAATTAGTGCTCTCTTATAGTTTTAATATCTGATGCCCTATTGTTGTCGATTTAGTTAGTACAATAGCACGATTGATCCGACGCCTAGACTTTACAACATCCTGGGACATATCGCTACGGGTCAGAGGGAAGGGAAACATACGACTGTGGAATTCAGTCACAGAGAATGATGAGCATACTTTAGTCGAGTCTATCGCAACTGATATGAAGTTGGGGTGAAGATGTTGGTATAAAGACCCTGGGTTCATAGGCATGATCCAGCTAGTGTTCCTGTCACGGCAATCCTAAGCACAGGTCGATCGAGATTTTGAGGGAACATGGATTTTAATTAATTTTTATCGTACTCTATTTGGATTCATACAGGAACTGATGCCAAAGTCATTTATTTCCGTCAGTCGTAGCCATATTAGCGATCATTATAGCAGAGCGAAGCTTAGGCAGGGGGAGAGGTAGGCTCAGGGACGCCGGGAGGGCAGTGCCAGTGGTCGTCGTGAGGCTCGCAAGCCTCAGCAGGTGCAGCAGCGGCAGATGACGTAGCTGAAGCAGAGGGCTGCGCTGGAGTGGCAGATGCGGAGGTGGTAGCGGAAGCGGTGCTGGTTGCAGCAGCGGTAGACTCTTCCTCGAGGGGAGTGTAAGTGCCAGGGCACCCAACACCAGGAACAACGATGTCATGAGCATAAGCCTCGAGAGCAAAGTACTGAAGAGTGTCGCTGTTTCTCGCAGCGTAGGTGGAGTTGTTCTCAGCGAGGGCGATGGTTCCAGGGTATTTCTCTTCCTCCTCGTCATTGTAGTGCTCGACAACACCCTCGCCAACTTGGGGAAGGTGGAGAAGACGATGGAGGAGATCAGAAGCCCAGAAGGTGTTGGTCGCACCGTTGGCAACGTCGTATCCGAGCATGCACATGGTCGAGAGAGGCCTACGGATCTCATAGGACAGGTCGCAGATGACTGTCTCCGAGGTTGCGTTGGAGCCGCGCCAATGACCAGCCCAGCCTGTTGTTGCTTAGTAACGATGATTTCTTGATAGTTGGAGGCAGTACATACCCTCTTGGTCGCAATTGCCATCAATGTTGTCACAACGGAAGAGGATGCCGGATTTGTCGCCATCGGCAATCTTGGTAAACCAGCCAATTGGCTCGCCAGTTGGTGCCTCGCCGAAATATTTCGTGTAGACCTCGGAGGAGTTACCATAGCGAAGGATGTGGTCGCGCGCGTGGCTGACGATGGTCAAGGTCTCTTCAAGACCCTTCTTGATCATGCTACGCTGAGTGGCATTGCAAGAAGCATGAATAGGGAACTCGCGAACGGCACCAGCGTCCCATGCGGTGGATGCAGGGGCAGCCTCCATGGTATGAGTGACAGTGACGGTGGCCTGGCGAGGAGCGAGGGGTCCAGCCATGATAGCGGAAGCTCCAAGGAGCATAAGAGCAGAGGCACGAGCAGCCATTTTGATATTGACCTGAAGGACTGTGAAGAGGTCTTGAGGTTTGAGGTCTGAACTGGTGTTCAGTGAGTGTCCCGAGAAGCTGGATGCTGGATGGTGGTACTTGCATACAAGCTGCAGGCCTCTTTATATTCTACCGGAATGGCATCTCACCACTGGCGACTGTTCCTCTCGGTGCTCATCTACCGACATCGACGCAGACCTGACCGCCGAGACTTGAAGAAAACGCCTCATGGCTGCAGCCGCAGGTACATCAACCGGTCTACTACCGGTCTATCACCCATACAGAGATCTGAATGCTACGCTGTACGGGTCTGGAGGCTGATCCGCATCTTGGCTTGACATAGAAAGCGAATAGTCAACCTTGGCATGGAGGTGCATGGGGGGCTGGACGACATGTCTTCGATCCGGAGCGTGGAATTATGGGTAACTAAGTACCATGATGGGCGCCCAATGAAGAGAAATTCTCAAATCCAAGGTACAAATCGTCGGGAGGATTACCTGCGTTCGGGAAGACAGAGGCCATGAACGTGGATGGTCGCTATGTCTCGGCACGAGCCTCCCACGCAGTATGTCATGTTGAACGTAAACAGAGATGCGAGTTAGGAGAAGTTCGGGCAATCTTTGGCATGATTTGGCTTGTATAGACATGCTGTCCTGTACTGTTCGGCAGCTCTGACCAACCTGAGTAAAAGCCGAGATACTGCTATTTGTTTGAGGCTGAACGAGGCAGTCAAAACTAAAACCGAAGTCTGGAAAAGATAGATATGAGCGTCCGGATACACAGCCGACTGTACGAAGTAGCGTTGGTGTTGAGCGCCGAAAAGCCGCCTCTTAGGTCATGGCTACAGTACGTCCCCAACATACGTCGCCAAGACTCCCGCCACGTTGAATAATGGCACTATCCCACTCACCTACCGCATACGTTAACGAGGCCGCCTACCTAAAAGCAACAACCCAGATTCACTGGCTCCTAATTCGATGTTTGCCCCGAGACAAGACTTGTGCCAAGGCAAACCATCCAGCAAGGTGCTCAATGCCAAGAATGCCCGTGGCACTTTCTATGAAAGTACTGCAGACAAATGGATACCGAAGAGTTCTTCGCGGCTTCCTTGTGGGGTCGTCTTGCACCATTACCGTACATTCGTTCCGCTCCGCTGACACCAGGAAAAGCTTGAACGGAGTCGATATATCAAGGGCACTACGCTGGTATAATCTTGTCCAGCTTTACACTCATCGGTTCGCTCGTGTGACAAATCCGGTAGTTCTTGGTTATGTCTCCAACCATGCGTTCTACCCTCTCCGCTGCTGTCCTATGTCTCGCGGGCTCTGTGTTTGCGCAGACCCCTACTGTCACCGTCACACAAGCTGGCGCGACTACCACAGTATTCACTACCGGGACTCCCTCAATCACGGCGGTATCGGACTGTCATCCTCATAGCACTGTCCTGTACGTGTTCTTATGTTTGCTTCTGGTTCCTATATCTTGGCGCTAATATGCAACAGCTGGTGCATGGTCGGCGAAGAAGAATACCAGGTATCCGGGCCTACCGCCACTGAAGAATTCCAATCGGAATATACCGGCTGCCACACCCATGGCTCAGAGACGTGAGTGACACAATCAACGTGAACAGCGGAATATTGACATGTTCAGATACTGCGTCGATGATGCTGGAGAAGATGTTCTGATCATGGTCGATGCTGCAGAATCAACAGACAGCTCCTCACACACTGAAGAAGAGTCACCTGCTGAGTCTGAGGCTGAGCCAGCTGGAAGCAAGGGACATTGCCACGATCACGCCGGTGTTGAGCACTGTGTTGGTGGAAGTGCTGAAGAAGTCAACTGCGATGCTCCCCAACGCGATTACAATATCCCTTTACGAGTCGGCCTTCTCTTCGTCATCCTCTTCACCAGTGGACTTGGTGTTTTCACACCGGTTTTGACTAGGAGGTTCAACCTTATCGGCGCCAACAACATCATCTTCGTTGTCCTTAAGCAATTCGGAACCGGCATCGTCATTTCCACTGCCTTCGTCCACCTTTTCACCCACGCCCAACTCATGTTTGCGAACCAATGTCTTGGTGTGTTGGAATACGAGGCCACTACCGCTGCTATATTCATGGCCGGGCTGATGCTGTCGTTCCTGGTGGACTACCTTGGTGCGCGGTTCGTCCAGTGGCGTCAAGGCAAAATTGCTGCTCCCAATACCGAGGTCGCAACTGGCGGAGACAAATCTGGAAGTGCCTCCCCTTCTGCAGAACCCAGCCATGATTTTAACCGCAGCCATGGTCTTGCTCATGCTCATGGTCCCATGCGTGAGGCGACCCCTATGGAAGAGAAGATCAACGTCATGAATCTTGAGGCCGGTATCATCTTCCACTCCATTCTCATCGGTATCACGCTGGTCGTAGCGAGCGATGGTTTCTTCATCACTCTCTTTATTGTCATTCTCTTTCACCAGATGTTTGAAGGCATTGCGCTTGGTACCTGCATTGCGGAGCTGCCCAAGGCCGCAGCTGGTACAGCACAAAAGCTCCTCATGTGCGGTACTTTTGCGCTTATCACGCCTATCGGTATGGCCATCGGTATTGGTACCCTAGACCACTTCAATGGAAACGACCCTAGCACCATCATCGCTATCGGAACGCTCGATGCGCTTTCTGCAGGCATCTTGGCATGGGTCGGTCTTGTAGAGATGTTGGCCAGAGACTGGATGCATGGAAAGTTGCTCAACGCGGGTGCGGTCAGAACTGTTTGCGCAATGTTCGCTTTAGTTTGCGGTCTTATCCTCATGAGTGTTCTAGGAAAATGGGCTTAGTCTAGCCGCTCTGGAGGGTTACAAGTCTGTAAGATGCTGAAGTGGTGGTTTCATAGTTATTATGCATTGGGAGGAGCGTGTTTGGCTTTTACTTAGACCTGGTTATAGTTTGGACTGTCACTTAGCTTATACCCTTCATGCTGTACTTATGGTAAAGAGCATTTATTCCAAGATGGAGCTCTTCATACTTTGCTTGCCAAAGCTGTCCCACACTTCTGCTTCCCATCCATCTGATCCTGACTTGTGGTCCAAGAGTATGCGATACTGCTCACCGACGTATAGTGGGCTCATTGCGCGATACGCTATCGACTTGGGTACTGCTTCCGTATCCCCTTCCTTAGCTGTATCTCTCCAGAAATCCAGCATATTGATGAGGTTGAGCGGTCCGTGTACAACAGCATCTCTATGACCCTCAACCTCTCTACACCACTCAGGTAAGTAATGTATCTTGTGCGCATTAAACGTCAGGGCCGAGAAGCGAAACAATGAGGTAGGTGTTTGACAGAAATCTCTTTGATGTCGCGCAGTCGGTAGATCTTTCTCTTCTGGCTTTGGTGGTGCCTTCAGAGGATTCTCGGGTGTAAGCTCACGCTGAAAAACCCAGTTGCGGCGATCAGTTAGCGCAATACCATGATCATTCGAGAATGTCTTCTCAACCCCCACGAGCAACATTTCACCGCCATTCTTTAATGTTTTTGGTTCAGCACGTAGTAGTCTCGTTGTCTCTTTAACTTCTTGGCCCACTCTCAGTAGCGCGTTCCGGTCTTGTGCCCATGTCAACTCGCCGCCTGCCCACATTCGCCTTGTAAAAGGACTTAGCGGGTTCACAGTGCGATCTGTACCATCAAGGCCTAATTCGGACTCAATGATTGAAGGCGTGAAATAGACTAGGTGGTAGCCAGGCGGGATCGGTGTGCCGGACGGTGGTGGGTTGAAAGAAGAAGGCGTGCGATCTAGTGTTATAGAGAGCAACTGGAGTTGATTCGCATCGAGTAGCTGTTTACGGATCGAAACAGGCCCGCTGTGAAAGCGTGTAAGGAGTTCGTTGCATGCTTCTGCTGCGGAAGCTTGGCGACGAGAGGAGGTTGTGGTAAACAGGCGATGGGTTACACGGCTCATGATGTAGCTGTTCTTTTCGCCCTGGGTATAGAGCTGCTTGTGTCTCAATTCAATATATGGATGCTATTGTGCGATGGGCGCTTGTTGACAACCAAGCCAAGGAGGTGTTGAAGATGCCGAGGGATAGCCGATATCGATAACGTCATCCTTCACGTAACATTTCTGGTAACCGACTTCGGCTTCTTCCAAACAGATCGAGCTCAAGCTTCGGCAAGATGTCCGAACCGCCACGGAAACGCGCAAAGCTGGCCTGCGTGACATGCAACGCGCGACGCGTCAAGTGTGATGTCACCGACCGACATCCTTGCAGCAACTGTGCAGCCGGCAACGTCGAGTGCGAAACGCGTGAATCGAGGCGTGGAAAGCATATTAGGAAGCCACGAGCGGAGACTGAAGTGCGCAGCAAAACGTGAGTTGGACAAATATATTTGAAGCGCCATACGACAAGTGCTGATCCAACGGAGTCCACCAAGTGTGACAGCTATCAGCCCACAACGACACGAAGACGAGGTGGCTGCGTCGCACGTTCTGGCCTCATTATCCTCAAATTTCCACAGCCCTGTCAACACCCACACGCCCGCTTCTGGGAGCCAATATCACCTCCCAACCCCGTCGGCGCCGTCGGATCTCAACAGTGATCAGTCAAAGGCGGGCTCTGTCCATCAAGAAGATGCCGTCTTTCTTGGGGAATCCAGCTCCTTACGCTATGTGACGACAGGTGAGCCATCTGCAGCAGCAGCAGAACGCCGACAGTCCTGCTTTCGGCATGCCGTCCCTAGTGCTGCAAGGGCCGAATCACTCGTGCCAGAATGGGAATCTGAACGACGTATTGCACGCAAAAAGGCTCTCCAAGCAGAAGGGGCCTTTTCTTTTCCTCCTGCTGAAGTCCGACTTGAGCTGTTCCAGGCATACTTCAAATGGTTTCACCCGCACTTTCCAATCATAGACGAAGAAGAATTTTGGACCGAGTACCGAGAGTTCAATTTCTCCGCCTTATTACTACAAGCTATGATGTTCATTGGGGTTATCCACTGCGAGGAGTCAACGCTCTATCGTCTTGGATGGGGAAACCGTCATCGAGCGAAATGGTTTTTCTACATCAGGGCTAAGGATATCTATGATGCTACGTTCGAGACCAATAAGATCATCGTCATACAAGCTCTGTTTCTCATGAGCTTTTGGCGAGCTGGTGCGTTATTGGAGAAGGACGCACGACATTGGCTAGGTACGGCTATTAGCCTCTCCGAGACAAGAGCACTGCATCGTTCTGGAGGTGATACCGAAGAGAGTCTAACGAGAGTTAAAAGGAGGCTTTGGTGGGCTATCTACGTTCGTGAGCGGCAATGCGCGTCTGCTCTAGGGTTACCGTGCCGCATACGCGACAAAGATTGCGATATCGAGCCGTTATCATCCGCCGATTTCACATCTGCTTTTGCTTCATCAACATCTGTCGAGGACCGTCATCGCTATACTGTCTACGCGATAAGCATGGTGCAGCTGGCGGTCTTCTTGGGCAGGGTGGTGGACGCTGGTTATCTACCAAAGCGCACGCTCGCGCCTGACGAAAGGATCAAGCTGCGCAATGAGCTTTATAAATGGAGACAAGACCTCCCGATTGTCATGCAGTTGCAAACCGATGCCGGTGATCCGCCAAACTTTCAGGCCAGCATGCTCCATCTTGCATACAACAACCTACTTATTCTACTCTACCGCACCAGCTTCGTTCTGGACGAGAACAGCAACACAGCAACGGACGGAAATGTCGCGCTCCAGGCTGCAGCGCGTAATTCGCGTATAGTCGAAGATATGCTGCCTGGCGGCAACATTGGGCATGCTCAGATGCATGTCATCACCAATTTGTTCAACACACTCTGTATTCACGTTGTGAACTTCAGGCGCTCAAGCGGCATCAATCGCACCCTTGCTGAGCATCGAGCCAAACTATGTTTGTTGGGTTTGCAAGAACTTCAGAAGACGTGGGAGGTGACCAATTGGGTGTTACAATTGTTCTTTCAATACCTTGATAGAGAAACAGCTTCGAGGCTGGCTATGGAAGCGGATGATGGTGGTTCTTCGACTGCCACTGGCCAATTCACCTCAGCCTGTACTACCACGCAACCGCCGTCGCAACACCAAGGTGCTGATAACGTCCCAACTCGTAGCACGCAATATCTCGACGCTCCTGCATCTTCCACCACTAGTCCCAAACCCTGGTCGTGGACCTTGGACGAAGCCGACCAGTATCTCTTCACGCAGATCGAAAACGACTTTGCTTTTGGAGAGGGTGCCTTGCAGCAATGGTGTCCCGAAGATTTGCTTTCCACGGAGTAAAAACAATAGGCATACTTGGAGAATTTAATTCAGGACATAGTACATCAAGCAGCCTCAAAAGCATGACAGGTCATGGCTCATTATCTTCATTAGGGTACTTTAGCGCTAGGTATCTCCGCAGTCACGCATCTTCTTCTATCCTAACATTTAGTTGTAGACGGGTCCGCTTGGCGCATATCCAGTCAGCCTCTCGCCATTCGAAGGTCGGAACTTCTCCTCCTTGAACCAAACATGTGCAGACTCGGCTAGCTTCTCAACCTCTGAGAAGGGAAACTCAGGCTTGGAATCAGACTTTGCGAGGAGGTCATAGATGCCTTGAGCGTAGTCGGGACCAATGTTGTAGACTTGTGCGAGGTACTTCTTCTAGTTGGGTGTTAGCATGGGCCATTTGACTCGGAATAATGTGGGATGGCTTACCTGAATGTCGGCGTACTTGACAAATTTCAGCATGTTAAAAGTGTTAGTAATGGTGTGTTGCCTCTTCTCGGGCGACATGACCCTAGTCCACAGCTCCTTTGCCTGGTCGTACTCGCTCTTCTTGGCCTCATGCCAATAATGGCTCTTGCGGCTCATGATGTTGTCTGAGACCTGGTATGGTGCCTCGGCGACGTCAGGACGGAACTTGTGTGCAAAGCTGTTGGGTACGTATTGCTTGTTTCCGGCGTGGTTGGCATCGACACGCATCTGGCCATCGAACTGCAAAGGCGAGAAGGACTTCGACATGAAGGGGCAATTGACAGGAATCTGGTGCAGGTTCACACCGATTCTGTGGTATTGTGCATCGCGGTAGAAGAACATGCGGAACTGGAGCAACGGGTCGGGCGAGTCCTCAATACCAGGCACCATGCTGCCGGGCGAGAAGGCGGCTTGCTCGACGTCGCGATGGAAGTTCTCGGGGTTCTTGTTTAGAACCAGACGACCAAACTCTTGCATAGGGAACTGCTTGCGCGGCCAGACCTTGGTCACATCGAAGGGGTCGAAGCCGAGCTTCTCAGGATCCGCATCCTGAGGCTCCATGACCTGAACCATGGCGGTCCACTCGATCTCTTCTCCATTCTCGATGGCTTCCCACAGGTCACGCTTGGAGTAGTCTGGGTCTTCACCACACATCTGTGTCGCTTCTCGCTGTGTGAACTGCTTCTGGCCGTGCTTGGCGATGAAGTGGTACTTGATGTAAACGAATTTGCCCTCCGCATTGACCCATTTGAAGGTATGGCAGCCATAACCGTGGTTGAAGCGCCATCCGACCGGCGTGCCATGGTCACTGAAGAACATGAGGCCTGCATGGTTACTCTCCGGGGTGTTTGCTAGCAAATCGAATAGGGCATCGTAGTCTGGAAGGAAATTCCTTGGGTTACGGGCTTGAGATCGAATTACGTCTGGTCCTTGGATGGGGTCGCGGCAGAAGAAGATGGGGAAGTTGAGACCGACGATGTCGTAGTTGCCCTCCATGGTGTAAAACTTAATGGCGAAACCACGGGGGTTGCGAGCTTCATCAGGGTACTCACGACCAACAGTGACTGTGGAGAATCGGACGAAGACAGGAGTCTTTTCACCTACGCTGGAGAGGAAGTTGGCTTTCTAGAGAAAAAAATCAGTATGTTTCAGTCTGAGAATGACTGTGGCAAACATACTGTGAGAGAATCAACCTTCTTGGTGCACTCGAAGTATCCAAACGCACCAGAACCACAAGGATGTACCATTCGCTCCAGGTTCTTGGAACGATTGAAAGTCTGTTGCTTCTGGAAGAGAAAAATATCGCTCGCTACGGGTATGCCACCGATGGTCTTGCTGTGTGCTCTACAAGACGTTAGCGGAGATACCTCGGAGGCAATCGAGGGTCGAAAAGCTTACGGGTCGATCCATGGGATGCCTTCATTGGAGGTAAAGTAAGGCCCATCATCCTCACGCTTTCCACCTTGAACAGCACCAGAGATCTTTGCAGCTATATCGGCAGGGCCTTCGTTGGCTGAGCCCATATGACTTTGCCTTTGCGCACGTTTCTCTCCAGCCATACTCTGGATACCCTGGGAGATGGCCTCGGGTGGATGTTGCATGGGGTCATTTTGGGAGGCGTTTGCACCGGTCGACATGGCTGCGGTGAGTTTGCTAGGTAGAGACGTAGGGATTTCCATGAAGAAGCAACAGCGCGTGAGAGCTTAAGAGGGCACCATGGAGGCACACCATTGCCGCGTAAATGGAGCACGGGTGTTACCGCTGTTTGGACATATTGTCAGGGTGATGTGTCTCTGACGCGTATAGAGGAGGGGTAGCAGATGCCACGACTTCACGTGCAGGAAAAGTGACAGCAGGAATGGTGATTTGAGGTTTAGTGTCTCCTGCATCCGGAGGCTGAAAGGGCTATACGCTGGGGGCACTTCCCTCTTAATCACGCATTTAGTGGAGATACCTTTTTTTCAAAAGATAACACCAATACTTGGCCGCTCATTCGCGGCGACATTTGCAGTCCGCGGGCGCTGTGGAGCATAGTGGGCATTACAGGTATGGGAATGTTGGACTTTTGCATGTTTCGGCATGATAGCAATCTGACGTTGCCAAGATTGGCCAGCGGACAACGGTCCAATTTCCATACATCATCAGTACGTCGCTCCGCGGAACGCCACTCCACCTTCCAGTATTATGGCTACTTTACTTTTGACACATGGTAAACGGGTACCTGTTCCCGGCCAATGATGCGACAGACAATCGTCAGCGAGCATGTTGCGTGACAAACTTCGCGCGCAGCTCGAGGAAGCAAACAACGCTTTGACGGTGCAGGAACGTGCCTCTGGCGAATGTGTGACGTATCGTGACCATCGCGATGTATAACAAAACCTGGCGAACACCTGCTCGAAGCATATTGCATCCTTCCCAATAACAGATCAATTGTAATCTCTATCTTTCACCATCACAATGTTCGCTCCCCGTGCCATCGTATCACCGCTTACCCGAGCCGCATTCAGGCCACAAACGATTCGCGTTGCTGCCAGGCCAGCCTACTTTCGCATTCAAGCTGCATTCAACTCAACAATCTCAGAAGCCATAACACATGATCATCGCGAGCTGAAGACATACTACAATGAGATTGTCGACAACCCTGACGATATTGACCACGTTACACGCTATGGCAACCAATTCACATGGGAGCTAGCCCGCCACTCTGTCGCCGAGGAACTTCTCGTATATCCAGCCATGGAGAAGTACATGGGAGAGAAGGGAAAGCAACACGCAGAGTCTGATCGGAAACAGCATCATGAGGTACGTGAATATGTCTCTGATTACAATTTGCACTTCATGAACACATGCCTAAAAACAGCCACGATAGGTGAAAATCTTACTTAAGGAGTTCCAAAACATGGACCCAGCGTCCTCAACCTACATCCCCAAGTTGAAAGAGATTTGGTCCCTCCTCGAGCGCCACATTGCCGAAGAAGAGAAAGATGACCTACCTGCCCTCGAACAAACTCTTTCCTCAGAGAAGAACCGCGGAAACTCCCAATCCTTGGCCAAGAACTTTGCTCGCACAAAAGCCTTTGTGCCATCAAGGAGCCATCCCAGTGCTGGAGAGAATCCGTATTTCGAGGGTCCGATGGGTATGTTGGCTGCGCCGATTGACCACATTGCGGATATTTTCCGCAAGTTTCCCGATGGCACTATTAGTCCGAATCCCAGCAAGAGTAAGTACCACCCTACGAATTGAATCTGAAGCATATACTGATCTTGTACGCGGATATTCAGAGTGAGGATGAACGGCTGGATGGGTGACCTGTGAGCGGGAGTGCGAAGGAGTCCAAACGGAGTCCAATGTCTCACGTTGTCGTTTTGGTATTGAAAAAATATATAACAAATATTATGATGTGTAATCATAGCTTTGGTGCGATGTCACCTGTCAATGTGTCAATTCTCCGATTCTGGTACAAATCTCGACTTGATGATCAAGGTCCCGTGACATATTGTGCAAACGTCCTGTAAAGACGGTTTACAGGATCGAGTCAGAAGACAAGAACGTTGATTTATAATGTTGGCACAGGAGGAGAATGCTACAAGGACCAACCGGCTCCATGAAGTTGTAGACAGGATACTATTAGAGACATATCCAACCCAGTTTGCTCAGCAACTCCATGAATACATACCATCGTATCATACAATGTCGCCAGACATCACGGAAACCAACGTTTTGAAATAGTCATTTGAAGCTTTGCCATTCCCAGAAGTGTTTTCACATGAAGAAGCGAATAAAAATATTGTACAAAAAGAAGGTCTGTCCTACGCTCTTGACACGCCATACCATGCTACTACCTCGCTATGCGTAACGAAAGACATGAACGAACTTCCATCAACGCCCGCCCAAGCGCCACAAGTCTATCGTCAAAAGAGTGCCACGTACTTTCATAACCAATCCAGTACTCTGCGAATCCGACTTTTTGTATATGGTGCTATCAACGCCTTGCGCCGAAGAAAGGGGAGAATGCAGGATATCGTACTCCGGCGCACTGCGACTTCGGTGGTGATATCTCAAAGAGCAACGCCGGAGCGAAGGACCGAGGCCTGTGCTCTTCGGATGGGCAAAGAATGTGCCAACGTGCTCTTTGCTGTGTTTCTTTTTGGGGTCTGACACCATGTGCGATGACTTCGTCATCCTTGTTACTTCTCTCAGGACATGGCCTATTAGTCCCGTGGAAGTCGTTCTTCTCTACAGCTCCATCATCATAAGCGCATGCGCCCGATTCTCGTATTGACCAATAACATGCGACGTCATGCGCCCAGCCACTCATTGTAATCACCTTCCGTCGTCGATCTCAACTTTCCTGGGCCTGTCGCGTTCACGCTCTCGCTCTCGCTCGCGGTCGTCGTAGTCGCTCTCGTCGTCATAGCGGCGACGTCGCTCACGGTCATGGTAACGACGGTCTCGGTCTCGGTCGCTGTCACGGTCTTCGTCATCCCTGTCGTCCTTGGAGCGGTGGCTTCGCCTGTCACGGTCGTCTCGATCGCGTCGGTCATGATCGTACTCCTCTTCTACAGCCTTGTTATTATGGTTCATGGACAGAACTTGATGTGAACTTACCTCTGCTCTCGCGAATCTTCTTGGTACGATCAGCGAGCTTCTGAATTTCTTCCTTGGTCAAGACACGCAGGACAATGACGCAGTCCATTCGCTCCTCAAAACGTTCCTTGGCTTGCTCTAGGGCTTCAGGGTTGACGAGGCGGCGATCAATCCTTGTCCATCGGGCTCCGACGGGAATGTCCTTGCCCTTTAGAGCGTCCTTGTGTGGTGCAACTCCCTCGCGGATGGGCTCAGGGTCCTCAGGGAACTTTTCAGTAGGCTTGCGAAGGATTCCCTTAACAGGCGCAACAGGTTCCTTGGGAGGTTCGACGATCTGTACGCTCTTGCTTGTAGATTCCCTGTCAAGCGTTTCAGGCTCCTGTACCATGCCACCATCGTAGACGCTCATGGGACGATCCCTGGGGGGAGACGCGCGAGAGCGATCTTCGGGGCCTCGAGACCTGTCACGCTCATCCTTCTTGCTCCTTCGGCTCTTCTCGCGGTCAGAGTCGCTATCTCTGTCACGGGTACTTCGGCTAGCACGCTCTGCTTCTTGTTGGACGCGTCGTCGGTATTCCTCATCGGGGTCCAGAGTAGCTTCCTGGGGTGCTGGTTCCCTCCGGCGTTCGGCATCGCGGTCGACATAGTGACGCGGTCGCTCATCGCCGCTACCCTCAGAAGAAGGTGGCTTGCGAGAGGGTACCGCGGGTACCTTCTCCCTGTCGTCGTCTTCGTATCGACGTTCGCGGGGCTTGCGCTCGGGCTCGATGGGAGGATAGTCGGGAGCTGCGATCTGTGCTGGAGCTGGAGCTGGGGCAGGAACGGGGACTGGGACAGCAGCTGGTGGTGGCTGCTGTGGCTGGAGGGAGTTGCGACGACCTTCAGACTTTCTCTCCCGTCGCTCGTCAGGCCGGTCTCGCCGGTCACGCTCATCGTATTCCTTCCGGCGCTCACGCTCTCGCTCCCCTGAGGAGTCTCGGTCGCTACCACGGTCCTTGTCGCGGTTCTTTATGTAACCAGCACCGGCCAGGGTAGCTGCCACACCAGCCACTGCGCCAGCCGCGGTCTGCACAAAGCTACCTTTCTCCTCAGATCGGCTTTCACGCTCACGCTCACGAGGACGCTTGTCATAATCCTGGGGTGCACCAATATCCCTGTCACGAGTGGCACGAGGATCGGGCATGCGTGCCTCAGCGCGCTCTGGCTGGTAGTAATGGCTGCTGGGCTCCTGTGGTCTGGGTCGAGGAGGCTCAGCCGGGGGGTATAGAGGCTGTCGGTCCAATGCATGATGATCATGTGCAAGGGTTGGGGGGCCTGGTGCAATGCCGAAGCCACGAGTAGTCACCTCACGGTCCTCAAAGGCAGTGCTGTGACGCTTGTTCTCGACACCGCGGCTCTGGCGATCGTAGTCGTCGCGATAGGTGTCTCGGCGGGGCTCTTGGTGGATAGCAGCAGGAGTGCGAGAATTGCGAGTGGAAGAGGATCGTCCAAGGCTTGTGTCTGGGTAGGGATCGTACTTGGGGATGTCGCGTGCCCGCTCGATGGACGATGACCTGCCGTGAGGCCGCGGAATACTGTTGATCTTATCGAAGCCACGAGTGGATGGGGGAGGGCCAAGTTCGCGGGTAGAGGCACGAGCGGGGCGATCTGAGATCATGCTGGTGGGGCGAGAGCTACGTTCCAAGCTACCAGCACGTGGCCTCCGCCAGGCTGGCTCTGTGTCACGATACATGCTCGCTGGATCGGTGTAGGAGTAGCCATCACTGTTGCTCAGGTCGGTAAGGCGCGAGGGGGGCTTGCTGCTGTCATGGTAGCTGCGGCCGCCACTTGTGAGACTGTAGCCCCGGTCTGCATGGTCCCGGTGGTGGTGCGACGAAGGCTGGACCTCAGCTACGAGCTTAGTCAAGTGGCTGGTGTCGTCAACGCTGTAGACCTTCTTGTGGCCTCGTGATGAAGCGCCCGGAGTGATGTATGTATCAGGCCCTTTGGCGTAGGAAGGAGTCAGGGGGCTCCGTGGGCGGTCGGTGTGAGTGTGTGACGAGTAGGGTGTGCGGAGGGGCAGCGAGGTCTGCGGCAAGGCACTGGTACTCACGTTGGGGCGGGATAAATCGTTGGTGTTGCGTCGCGGGCGTCCCGTGTACGAGTCGTATTTGGCGGTGGTGATGTGCGAGGGGTGCGAGGTGGTGGGCGTGTAGTAGGGCGTGTGGTGGGAAGTGTGGGAAGTGTGGGAAGTTCCGAGGCGGGCGACACTGGAGCGCGGCGAGCTGGGACGGCCATAGCCCGAATAAGACGAGGAGTAGTAGGGGTCGGAGAAGGTGCCTGTCGACGACCTGGCGGGGTTGGAGTAGCGGCTCCCTCGCGGGGACGAGGGGCGGTTGTAGCGCGTGTCCATGCCGCCTGAGAGAGTGACGGTCTTGACGTGGAGGGGAGTGGATTTGGCGGCAGTTTTGGCAGCGGGCGTGGTGGACAAGGAGTTTCGACGTGGGGGAAGGGGCGGCGCAACGGTGCTAGAATAAGTATTGTGCTTCCTCAGGCCAGGCGGCTTAGTGGGGAGGAGAACGCTGCCCAACATCGTGTCAGCCCAGTGGTCGGTTTCAGAAGTTGGGAAAGAGAGCAAATGGCACAAACGAAAGGGAATTAGAAATTAGGCCTGGCGAAGAGGCAGAACAAAGTCGCAGCTCGACGTACATAAGGGCGTTTCAACACCGGACGACAGCCGGTGGGCACAGCCAAGTTGGCTCGACGACTAGCAGCGCGAACAGGTTGGCCGATGGTTGTAGGATGCAGGATACGCCCAAGGTCCCTGGCCACGGTGGTGACAGGGGGCGGGGGTGAGGGCACGGTGTAAAATCAACGTGATATTTGCAGGTGGCTCCCAGGGTGTGCCCAGCAGGATACTATGGACTGTGTGGTGGGGACCGCGAGGCAGCGAATGAGGCGGACAAGTGCGGTGGGGAGGAGCAACGGCCGACGGGGCAGCAGATGTTGGAGCGTCGATGGGGTGCAGCGCTGGACTCGAGATGGACAGTAAGGATAGACAGCGAGGAGGGTGAGGATTCGGTCGGGTACAGGGCGTGCGCATCAAGCCGCCCACCTGGTTTCGAGGTTACGTGGAGAGAGTCAGATTGCACTATGTCATCGCCCTCGCTTGGACCCGCGCAACCCTGCAGCATGCAGCCACTCAGCAGAAGCCCTGGCTCGTGGCTCAGAAACAGGGTCCGCTTGCTGCTCTGCATTTTTTGGCTTTTTCGCTAGTCGCACGAGAGATTTACTAGCAACAGCTAAAACCGGTCCTAGCTATATGCAACTCTCTGCATGGCTCCGAGCAGTTACCACGTTCCCACACTCACGCTTCACTCTGCTGCCACTTGCACGTCAGCACGTTGGTATCCGCACGCACACTCCGACCTGTCAATAACGTCGCCCCGCTGCCTAGCATTCTCTCTAGCTGCTACAGACGCCTTCCGCCGCCCAACTGACCCCGCTTAGGCAGGATAGCCCTGTGCTACCCAACTTGACCGCCAGGACTGCCCATGGCCTCGTGACTCGTCCGGTGCGACTGCCCTGGGCGGGCCGACTCAAGCAACCCGTTCCGTTCACGATCTTCGCTGTATGAACACGTCGTACAGATCCTGATACGCACTGTAGTTTGATCGTTGCCATTGATTGGTCTGGAAACATGGCATAGGCACGGAGCCGTCACATCATGACTTCGGCATTTCTCAGCTACCGAAACACTTCTCGCGGTACTAATCCGCCAGACGCGCCGCAACGTAAGCTCTGAACATTGGCCACCTGTTGCTTTTTGCCTTCGCCTCCTCTCTCCGATGCTCTACACATCCTCGATCTGCTCCACCCTCGCAGCCTTGCCAACGCCGCTTTTGGTCGAGTCGGCATCGTCCGTCGCGTGATGATGTCTGAGCTGCTTCGCTCGCGACTTGCTTGGGATGGTATCCTGAATACAACCCCTGATAATGCTGCCCTCGAACAACTCTCCCACAGACTCCAACCGCACCCCCTTGGTTTCAGGCACACAGAACACCGTCCAGATACCCATGACGATGCATAGCGACCCGAACAGAAGAAACGTTCCGTACGTAATATTGTCCAGCATCAAGGGCGTAATCTTTGCGATTACAAAGTTAAAGAGCCATTGCGTCATTAGCGAGCCCGCCATGAGCAGAGACCGCACGTGGTTGGGACTGCACTCGGACGCCAGCACAAACGGGATCGGGCCCCAGCCGAATGAATAGAAGACAACAAAGAGATAGACGCAGATGATGGCAAAGATTGCGTTGCCATCAAGTTCGCCTGTGGGTGGGTGGACTGCTTGGTTGACACCAATGTAGTACATCGCAAACGCTTGGCCAATCGATCCGAGGATCAACGACCATTTGCGTCCCAGCTGCTCAGTAAATGCCATCAGGCCAATCGCTGTCACGACGATCTTGACGATACCATAAATTCCAGTTGCCTAGTTGCAGGTTAGCTCGTGATGCATGCATGCACTCTTTACACTCTACTTACGAATAGTCCGGACGAGGGACCAGTAAGACCAATTTGCTTGAAGATCTGAGGAGCATAGTAGTTGATCGAGTTTGTTCCCGTCCACTGTTGCCAGAACATGAGGATGACAACAAAGCTCGAGCGGTACAGCATCTTCTTGTTCGAGCAGGCAGCCTTGAGTTGAGCAACCATCGGCATCTTCTCGTGACCGTTGAAGTCTGCGATAATTTCATCCAACTCCTGTGTTACCTCTGGGTCTTCGACGCTCTTGCCGCGGACATGAGCCAGAGCTTTAGCGGCTTGGCTTAGCTTGTTTTTCTCTACAAGCCAGCGCGGAGACTCGTTCATGAAGAGCATGCCTACAAGCAGGAAAGCGCCAGGGAGCATCTGCAGGGCAAATGGCACGCGCCATTTAGTCGAGTCCGTAGGGCTAGTTATGTCGAGGGAGATGCCGTAGTTGACGAAAAAGGACAGACATATACCAGTCACGTTGAAAAGTTGCTGCTCCACGTCAGTCGACTGATGCAATCAAGCGGTGTAGACAACACATACCATGCACCCAATGCAGCGTCCTCGGATCGCCCTGGGCGCGTTTTCTCCAATGTACGTGGGGACGACGGCTGAAATCAAGCCAACGCCGAAACCGCCAATCACACGTCCAACGTAGAGCTGGGCAAGGCTTGTTGTACCAATCCCGCACAGGGTCTGAATCAGAGATCCAATGATGAAAATGATATCCGCTGCGATGAGCGCCCATTTACGACCAAAGGTGTCGGAAACGTAGAAACTGGCCATGGCGCCGAAGAAACATCCTGCCTGGAGCACAGAAACGATGTTTCCCTGTAGATTGGCAAAGTTTTTGCTATCCTTGTCGAGGTTGAATGAGTGCTGGAATGCATCCATTGTCAAGACACCTGCAATGCGGTTAGCGACGGTCAGTTCATATGCACGTGCAACAACACACCTCCGATGAGACCTGTGTCCCAACCAAACAGCATTCCACCAAAAGATGCCACAGCGGTGAGCAGGTAGGCTCGACGATACGTCTTGATGTCGGCCCACACCTCGGACATGTTGAGCTTCGCCATGATGGCAACGTGGATCAGATGTCGCAGAGAAGATGCACAGGCGAATGCGATGTGATGCGACACGACGAACGTTCAAAGTCGGTGATGTCGATCAACCAAACACTGCGGCAAACATCCGAATATATATCGTCAGTTTATCCTACCTTGCAGAGCCTAGTTAGCGAACCCCGACCAAAACCCGCTGGCAAAAGGCGACCAGTTGCCTTGGCGGTCGGCATAGTGCAACGCGACGTCGGGGATATGACGTGGGGATTCGTTCGTGGGGACTCCAGACGTGCCAGTTACAGGCGGAGAGCCCCATAGCTAGTGGGTCGGCATAGCGGATGGTAATTATCCCTCCATTCAAACGCCGTCGCCGTTATTGTGTTGAGACTTTTGTGTGCTTCCTTCGTCTGCAGTATCTATGGAGACGAGTCAAAGGTTTGCATGGCCAAGAAATAGAATGAATCGCTGGCTGTACAGTGCGGATGCAGCGTCTGCAGGAGTGTGTGTGTGAGATGGATGCCCAGGGGGCGAAGATGCCGGGTGGCAGGCTAGGCACTTGCTTAGCGCTCCTTGTGCATCAGCTTATTTTGTGCATGTGAACACCACAACAGCAGCCGGCATCGTCTTGGATATGCGACGCACTGCAATGCAAAGACCGACTCGACCTTCAACTCATCCTTTTTGCCCTGTTCTCCACATTCCGTTCAAAGACCGACCCCAGATTCTTCACCTCCGCATCTTGCCTCCGCACGGGAGCTAGGCGATTGGAATTGCGATGGGCTTCTCATTGGCCTAGCGACCAAGTATCCATATGCCGAAGCCAGCTCGTCAGCTCCGACACTACTTGCCGTGGTCTCCACAAGCCGACATACGATCGTTAGAACAATTATAAAAGCGGTATTAGTAGCACTCTAGACGGTCGCGAAAAGATCACTCAAGTGCAACAAAATAGACCCATGGGGTGATAGGCAGGCTACAGGCGTGCTGATATTGTTATTCTCTTCGTTACTCGTGTTGAAATACAAGTGTCTCTAATCGTGAAATAGGATCCGTCAATCACCAACTATAGGTTCGCTTTGCTCTTCTGTTCAGGTACTTGCGTCAACAGCTTGTCGCTCTTGATAGCCGACTTCAAGTTGTCCAAAACCAGTATCTCCATGTCGCGCTGGGAATAGTTAGCTTTTACTCACTCTCACTTCACTCGACAGAGCGGCTTACCTGTGTTTCGTATGTAGCCGTTCCAACATGAGGCAGCAATACCGCATTCTCGCATTCCAGTAGCCCTGGATGGATCTTTGGCTCCTCCTCAAACACATCCAGCCCACATGTCCAGACCTTGCCGCTCTTCAGCGCGTCGACCAGAGCTGCCTCATCAATCAATGCACCTCTTGCAGTGTTCACAATGATCACACCATCCTTCATCGCGTTGAATTGTTCCTTGCCAATGATGTGTGTGGTAGAAGGGTTGAGCGCCAAGTTCAGGCTGAGGACATCGGATGTCTTGAGTAGCTCATCAAAAGTCACGTACTTTGCACCGTTCTCTTCGCTCGCCGGTAGCTGGTGACGGTTGTGGTATTGTATCTTCATGCCGAATGCTTTTGCGCGATGTGCGACTGCTGAGCCAATGCCACCCATGCCTAGGATACCGAGTGTCTTGTTCTTGGGGTCGTGACCGAGGGAGAAGTTGCCGCGCCACTTGCCTGCCAGGAGCGTCAGTTTTGATTCAATGAATGGTAAGCTTACAAACCATTGTTTACTGCCATGTAGGACTGCTTGATGTTTCGGAGCGCGCCCAGCATGAGCCAGATGGCAACATCTGCAGTCGCGTCGTTAACCGCTATCGGTGTGCTTGATACCGAGATTCCTCTCTCTGTGCAGGCCGCGACGTCGATGTTGTTGTATCCCGCGCCGTTGTGGCAGACATACTTCAAACTCTTAGGCAGAGCGTCAAGCAACTCCGCGTTGAAGTCTCCGGTAATTGGATTCGAGTCGTTGCTTCGGTAAAGGGCGTATACACCGTCGAATTCACCACTCTTGCACTTTGAGAGGAAGTCTTCGCGGTTGCCATCGGGGTACTCGTGCAGCTTCGAGGCTACCTCTGAACATTGCTGCCATTCTTTCTGGGCATGTGACAATTTGCCGATGAGAAGTGCTGCTCGTTGCGACATGGTAAATGTATGTTTGTGAGAGTGGTGACGATGTAATCGAATACTTTGAGAGGATGGAGGGGTCAAGGAGAAGGAGTGGCCGGGTAATGTTGTCTTGAGCGCAGCGGCATTTGGTAACCTTTTATTGCGCGCTGCCCAGATCCACTGCCCCGACCGGTCTATTTCGGACCGAGCTTTGTACTATGGAGATTTCAAGCGTGGTAATTTACCTCGCTCAATTGACAGCATGGCAGTTTGCTATTTCAAGGCGTTTAAGAACTGTGCTAATACAAACATCATGCGTCGCGATGATGCAACCCCACCATCGCGGCCTCAGCTGCCCCGCCATCGTCATTTCCCAGGTTAAATAAACGCTCCCAATCACCAAACACTGTCAGCTAAACAGAACTACATCCAGAGCACATACAGGGTCTACTCTTTCCCCCCGGAATCACATGTTGTTTTCGTAGGCTCGTTCAGCTTTGCAGGTCGGAAAGGAGCCCGAACCCGTATCTTCGGCATCTGACGCCCAAGACCATATCAAAGTTCAAACGCCGACAAATCACGTGAGCGCGCTAACCTCGAACTCACCGACCATGACCGAAGGATGTAAGCGTCGTCTCGGCGCATCGGCGATCCATCATCTCCCGAGCCGAAACAGATGCAGCTTCCAGACTCACACCGAAGGCCTTCCAGTACGTTAGGCAGCAAGGCAGGCATGGACATGCGCTGCCTACTTCAGCCTGGCTGCAAGCGAGGAGCAGAAACTCACAAAATAGGAGATGCGTGTATGCGTGGAACTCTGTTGGAGCGCCTAATGGGCGAGCACTTCAATCCTCAGTGAGCATATAAGCTCACCTCGTTCCATGATAATGTAGTATTCAAGTTCATTGGTAGTAATTCATATCTTACACCCGGAAAACACTCATCAAAAACGGAACATTGAACATGGAGCTCAAGCACGTAGCAATTCTCGGGGTATGTCTACTTACCTATCTGAACTATCCTTCATCCCAGTATACCCAGACGACATGCGAGCCTTTCAAAGTTAACGTTAGCGCAAACACAGGCAGGAGGAAACGTGGGCAACACCATTATCACCGAACTCCTCAAAGACGGAGCCCGATTCACTATCACAGCCATCACGCGCTCAACATCGTCTTACACATCACCTTCTACGGCCATCACCCACCGCGCTGTAGATTACACCTCCTTCTCCTCTCTACAAGCCGCGTTTCAGGGTCAAGACGCAGTAGTGAACTGCGTCACAGGCGGTGCTACGCACTACGAACCATCCAAGCTCATCATCGACGCTGCGGTTGCTGCAGGCGTCAAATTCTTCTTCGCCAATGAATTTGTTGGGGATATCACACGCAAGGAGTTTACAAGACTGCCGGAAGCTTTTGTAGGCTCCAAGTGCAGGATCCGGGAGTATCTAGAGGAATTGGGGAGGGAAAAGAAGATGGCTTGGTCCAGCTTGAATGGAGGGCCGTTTTTCGATATGTGTAGGTTTTCCTCTGGGCATAGAGGCCTTGCTTTTTGTAAGAACAATACTAACCTAATTACTACAGGGCTNATGAAGGGACCCGCAGGCTTCGGTAAGCCATCCTATTCATCTATCTAACTCACTGGTCCAATCAACTCACCTTCCGTACCAGACATACCCAACCACCACGCTCGTATCTACGGTACTGGAAATGAACCCTTATACTGGACCCCTCTTTCAACAATCGGCCTCGCAGCTGGCAACATGCTCCGCAACCCTCTTGCTATCGCCAACCAGCCCATTCTCATCTGTCCCTTCCCCCACCTCACGCAAAATATGCTGCTGCCCACCCTGGAAAAGCTTCTTGATACGTCATTCAGCGTTGAACGTGTTGACGTGGAAAAGATTCACCGACATGCATTAGTCGTGCTGGAGAAGTGGAAGGAAGGTGGTGAGCAAGAAGAGGGAAAAGCGCAAATGGGCAAAGCAATGAAGGGATTAGCGATATCTAACCAGTTCTACGGAGGCGAGGACAATGTGAAGCATCTTGGCCAGGCTGTTCAGAATGAGATTGTTGGTGTAAAAACCATGCAGGTGGAGGATGCAGTGAGGGATGCGTTGGAGCAATATGGGAAAGAGTGCCAAGTTGTCCAGGGTATGCTCAATGTGGAGGCTTGCGACATTTAAACTGTACACTGCTATCATCATGCCGTTTAGGCTTGTGATATCACCAGCGTTTCTGTGCTAGAGACGGAGACAACAAAGTGGGATAATATCGATAAGGATTAGAAGGAAAAACAAATCTCGTAGAGAAAGCTTTCGCATACTATGTTGTATACGTTTTCATGTTTTACAAGCGTACAGTGAGACTGCTAGTGCTGATTGATCAGCAATGCCGCCATCTATCTATTCATCGCTTGGGATGACCGCTATCAAGCGGCCCATGTCGGTATCTCTTTTATACTATGCTTCTGTACGTACGCAACGTACAACTCCAATTAGCTACCACCGTACCCTTGATAACCGCCTTGATCCCCGCTCGGGCCTCGCTGCTGCCCCGGATCGGGATCCTCAAACGCCGCCGGGTCCCATTCCCATTGATCGAAAGTCGCCTCGTAAGGATTTCCATAGAACATATTGAGTGGCTGATCGAAATCCATTAGCTCAGCGTTAGGATCGTTCAGGTATTCACTTCCGGAGATATTGTTGGAATAGAAGTTGCCTGTGTTGGATTGCGAGTAAAAGTCGTTGCTATTGAATGCATCAGTGGTTGGCCATACGACACCCGACTGTTGCAATGCAAGAGGTTGACTGTACGACTGATATTGCTGCTGCAACTCCAGGGTCGTGTCTTGTGCCTGGCGTTGTTGTTGATGCTGATCAGTTGGCTGTGGCTGAGGTAGTTGCCGACGGGCCGCTTCTTGATTGCTCTGCTTATTCAATACTCTAGCCACAACGTTGTATGCGCTCTCGCTAATTGCATCGACCGATTTCATCGCACTCAGCCATCGTATAAGCTTGTCGACGCAGGATGTGACATGTGATTTTTCGACTGTCAAGTGGATACCGTCCAGCGACAGCTCAAGAAGTAGAACCGTAAGGGCTTGCATGACTACGCATGGTGATTAGCCATGTCGATGACTTTAAGATCGGACGGACTTACTCATATGGACAGCACACCACCACGGACCGTTCTCATAATACCATGCAGGGTTTGGGCGATCTGGCAACGTGGAGGTAATATCCAGGGCTGCGCCTATGCAGGCCTCCGCAGTTTTCTGGTTGAATCGAATCGACTCTTCGCTCTGCCCCTTTATGCGCAAATCCAGCCGACACAGACAGGGCCGAGTGATGCAGATCTTAGCGCTGTGGTAGTATAGATAAAGTAGCAGCTGCTCTCGATTCAGATCGTGCCCTGTCGCACCGGCAGTTGCTGCAGCTGGACCTCGAGATAGGGAATGCAAAGCCCAGGTTTCCAATTCGTCAGATAGCGAAGCAATCTCCTTCTGCGCAGCCTTCCAAGACTTGGCAGACTTCTGCGCGGAGTACAGACCAGACAGAATTTTGTCCATAAGAATGTCGAGCCTAACGTAGGCTACATCGAATGGATCCACACTTCCATCGGGTGTGGTCCCACTGGCAGAAGATTCGGAGACCCGACTTACTACAGAAGACATCGCATTTTTACGTAATGGTGTCTCCATTTCAGTTCCTTTCGCGCCCGGTGGCGGTACTGTACAGTCTATGGCACTTACAGCGCGAGGACGTCCTGTTATTGAAGTAAGGACACATTCAATGGAGTAAAGCGACCACCAAATCTGGGCTAGCGCCTTCCTCCTCTTAGGAGACATGGAAGGATCCTCGTGTCTAAGGTGCAGACCTGCAGCTTGTGCATGGCGGATGGCGATACCGATCATGTACCAAGCCCTGTAACCTCATTGTCAGCACGCGCACATGTCGCATAGTTGACTGGGCTTTTATGCGCACCCTAAAGGTATTCGCTGTATGTTACGTCGTCGTTTGTTATTACAAAACAGGTCGAATACCTTGAGGGTGAGTTTCGCTGTGTGGTCGTAGTGAGACGTACCTGCTGACATGTCCAATCGTCAGATAGTACAGAGAGAGAAGCCCGAACGCCTGGACTGACATCAGAGTTATTCGTTATGATTCCAAAAGGAGCCTACCTGTATCATTGTCTGATCTGGTTGTGCGACTAATGTGTTGAGAGACTGTAGCTGCAAAAGATGTACTGCTCTCCACATATACACTAAATGGTCGTGGTCGTCGGCCCGCCACTCTGCACCGATAAGATGTGAGTAGCGTGCACCGATGGCGAAAACGAGGTTCATAACAGCTTTCCACTTTGGACATACCACCAATGTAGCACTACTTTGATCTCTCGTGAAAAACGCGCGTAGCTGATGTTCGAAAATGTCACCTAGGATTGGGAATGGGCTATGTACGACCGCTTTATAGTACTCGAAAAGACGATTGGCCGTATCAGCAAAGGGTATGACATGTGGGTCACCAATATCGATGTCGATGTTGGATTTGTCAAGATAGAAGTAGTAGCCGAGGAATTGATCGTTGTCGGGGGATTGCCGGTTGTCGCCGTGCTGCTGACGCCCACGAAGTGCTTTAGCACGCTGATTGAAAGCGTCTCCCTCGGCCCCAGGCGGCCCATATGGCAAATCAGAGGACTCGCGTTCAGGATGTTCAATCTTGGTTTCAAGGGCTCGGAGCCATTGGACTTGCGAGTTGCGCCCCATGTAGCCCGTGTTGTCTGCGTCTTCGGTGCGCAAAATGTCCTCTTGGACAAAATCTAGGTCTTCGTTGGAGCCGACAGAAGCGGAGACGTGAGCTTCTCCGCCCTCTGCAGAGGTGGTACTTCGAGCGTCGTCATTGGCATGAGATGATGAAGCTCTCCTTGCCCGCTTACCACGTGATAGCGCAGGAGTCGGTGGAGGAGGAGGCGTGTCATCTTCGAAGGATGCCAATGTTTCCTCAACCTTTTTCTGGCTCGCCTCGTCGAGCTGGCTGCTGAGATCGAGCAAGAGCTCGGTCAATGCGTGCGATTTACGCTGCGCTCTTTTACTTGTCAGACAAAAAGGTAGAGCAGATAGGCAATGACATGGACAGACCCTTTGAGGCGGTCCTTGCGCTCTAGATCATAATGACAGCTATGGTGGTGCTTGTCACAATTGTCACAACGCGGACGAGCACCAGAGCATTTGATCTCTGGGTGTGGTCAGCAAGCCGGAGCTGAGCGAGATGTAGACAAGAGTTCAGGCCCACTTCGTTTGCGACACTGAGTGCACTAGCGGAAATCAGTCCTGGCCCAATCGAAATAGTCAAAGGCTTTTACTTACGGCTTTGCTCACGACTTCGCTGCGGGCTCGAGGGGTTCGTGTAGACGGCGGGATCTGATAATTCTGGCCGGGTATTCTCGGGATAGCCACCTTTGGCTCCCGGGAGTTGGAGCCCTCGGGCGGATAGCGGCTGTGGTTCATTTCCTCTGCTTGCAGTTATGGTGTTGTGAGAGGAGATGGAGAGCACGTGCAAAACATCAACGTCGCGACCTGGCTCAGGTCGCGCACGGACACGGTATCAGCCTGATGGAACAAGAGAAGAACTAGGGAGATGTGTCGTGGTGACGGAACGGAGCATTGCAGTGCCAGACGTCTCTATGCGGCGACATATATGGGACTGCTGGGTAGTTTTCGGGTCGAGGAAGGCGCTGATTAGGTGCGGGCCTTTAGGCCGTGGGCTACCCAGCGGCAAGATGGCGACGTCATGTTGTGTACAAGTAGGCAGGCTCGTAGGCGAGAGAACACAACTCTCAGAGCGCTGGACCGCACCACATATAACAACAGATTGCAGAGCGCAAAGCCACTCGTGTCTGGCAGGCGAGCCACTGTCCATGGATTGGAACTTACCCCTCCTCAGTCCTCGCAGCCAGCGCGCGGCCTTTCTTCGGCGGCGTCCTGCCATGAGCCTGCAGCATATTGTGGGCACAGGAGCTTGCGAAGCTTGTCGCGGCCGCATCACAAAGGTAGGTAAGGCCGTTGCTGATCTTGCGCGAGCTACCTGATAAAACGTACTCGGACCTGCACATAATCTGACATGTCCAGTATTCGACCGAACGTCCCCAATGCTCAGAGTGTCAGAAGCGGCACACTCCATGCGACTACACTTAGCCTCCGGTCCGGCCCGTTGCTACCAGGCGCAGACACCATGGCCAGGTGTATTCTACGGACGCCAGCCGTGCACTCCAGCGCGTCTTTGCACACCTGCGCACCCAGCCCCGGCCTATCGCCCATGAGACACTTGGCCTACTTCGTCGCGGCACCGACGTGCATGCGGTTCTACGCTTCCTCGAGTATGGCAGCCTCCGCCTCCAGCTCATGCTGGTTCCGGATACGACTTACCAATTCACCCTGCCCTATCTTGCTGACATGATGCCACTGTTTGACAGCACAGACAACCCGTATCTGACCTCAAGGCTGTACAAGGCCCTGTCGCACGAGACTGCCCACCATAGCACCGAAACCCAAGAGCATACATACCACGCCATCTACCAGGTGCCCTATCCCGGCGCCCGCATGTATGATCCTCGAATGTCCCCAGAGTCCCTGAGGTCCTCCAGATGGACACCAATCAGTCATGACGACGTCTTTCTTACCCGCCTTCTCGAGGACTATTTCCTGTACGAGTATCCTCTCTGGCCCTGCTTCCACAAAGATCACCTCCTCGACGACATGGCCACTGGAGGAAATGATTACTGTTCACCGCTTCTTGTTGATGCCGGTTTCAATCCAGCACGGTTGTATGGCGCCTCCAAAGCGAGTCTTCAAACGCTTGTTCACATGTTTTACCACCGTCACGGCTTCGAAGCATATTATATCTTTCTACTTCCAATCCTTGTCCAGCTGGGCTTTGACTTGATAGAGCGCCTACGTACCCTGGAGGCGCAGCAAGAGCATTTTCCGCCCATAATGAAAGCCACCAGAGCCACACTCATACTGTGCGCTAAGGGCTTGCGCGACCAAGGCCGAAACTTTTTTCTATCCGAACTCGTGTTCCGCATCCTGCAAGATAACATGAACCCTGCTGATGTGAAGTTGCTCAAGGACTGGGCACGCATCAGGGGCGAACTGCAGTCTCAGAATAGCTGCATAGGCGTATCAACGATGTCTGCATATGCCGCGCAAGAGCCCAAATCTCTGTAGGAAAGGGTCTGAAGACTGGCTGCTTTCGGATGCGGATCCGGGGTCTGTCATGTACGTTGCAATCACAGGGTGTTGCAATCAAGCCATGTATGTAACGAAGGTTTGATTCAGCACTATTCTCGATTTTGCGGGCATCTCCCCTCCCCCTAATGGCTTTTCTTCTTCATTGCCAGCTTTCTTTCACGCTTGTCAGCGATTCGTTGAAATATGCTGCCATCGTATACTGCGCGAATATCCTCCTTGTCGTTGTTAGCTTCGAGAGTAAACCAATAGATGATCCGATGTGTTACATACTTTCATCATCCGACCGTCTTCAGGCCAAAGCGTGATATAGGTTGCAGTCCCTATCCAAGGTTAACATTCTCTCTCACGCCGCTCAAGAACGGACAAAGCTTACATTCGAAGATGAAGCCACACATTCCGATCGGATCATTGATATTCCTCTGCCCCTTCAATACATTGACCAAGTCTCCCACAGTCAAATAGTCTCGTCCATCGGCATATTTCATAAAAATTTCTTCGAACTTCGAAGGGATGAACCTTCCTTCGGCGTCGTACGTGCCCGTATCGCTGCCGTGTCTCGCTCTATGCACATTGTGCAAGAACAGACGGAAGAAAGGATCCGGAAGCCATCCTGAACACGTGGGATACGAAAAGTTGATATGGATGACCAAGACGGCGAAAGCCGAGAAGAAGAGCCCGCAGCCTAGGCGGTAGAAACCGACGAAAGTGTCTTGTGGCCAGAGAACACCATCATGATCTCGGTCGAAGAAGTCGCAGTGTTGTTGCAGGACTGTTTGATGCGAGTGCTTCTTTGCCCAGTCGTCTTGCGTGCTGCCTTCAGGCGATTCTTCTGACGGGGCGAGGTTTGCGCGCGCAACCGCTATTTGCAATTAGTACAACGGCGTAGTAGCAGTAGCGCAACACGCTTATTCGTACCTGCGTGTTGTAGACGAGAGTTTTTGCTGCTGATATATGGTTTCCTTTCTTCGGTGATGGGTACGTTGTGGATTGAGTAGACAGGTACCCTGTCGTCTTCCCCACATTCCGCATGTCCATTGACTTGGTCCATTTTTGCAATCATAACGGCAACTTTTTCGGTGGTAAATTAGGAAAGTTCTTAAGAGACAAAAGACAGCAAGATCAAAAGAAATGCCCTAGCTGTTCGCCCTTTTGCTGCCACGAAGACTGAGCCGCATGTTCCTATTGGATCAAGGGCTCACCATGACGTCAATGACTCTGGAAACGGTCTTGGTATGGCAGTGCAACATGTCAAAAGCGTTTCGCAGGATTGTGGGCTATGTTCAGGAACGTCAAGTCTTTACTGTCGCCAGTGTAATGTGTGTATCGTGGCAACGGGGGCACGCATGTGCGTACATGTCACTCGTTGTTTTGTGGCTATCCTTCGAGATGCAGTTCCGCGGCCAATCATTGGAATGCAACCCTGCTCCTCAACCGTGCCCTGGCTTGATCTTCAGGCACGAGTCAAATTTAGACCACTCGCAAATACCCTGCATACCTATGTGTACTGTCTGTTAGTTTTATTCCATGCTTTGTACACCAAGGCCATGCCAATACACAAGACGTCTAGGTTGGCCATCATGCTCAAAGCGCATCATCTTCCGTAGCTACTCTTCTAGCTGATATATAGTAGAAGAAGTAAATGATGCCTCACCTTGATGGGGTGGAAAACTCAATATGCTTGAGCGGTCCGCTTTAGACTTGAATTACTCAAAAGAAGCGGATGCCCATCTAAGGACGGTCAACCGCATGTGCTGCTTACATATACCTTGATGTGGTGAGGTTAATTTGATGGTTGAAAGGTCGCACCGTTGATTGACACAGGGAATCTGATTCGGCTAGCGCGATCTCGGGGATGAATGACGCGCATGCACGGGACCGCGGGAACACGCGCCTTCTAGATGTCGCGTCTGCATCGCATTCCTCTACTCAGGATGCAGCTCCACTAACGCGATACCGGGCTACACGTTGCCCTTGTCAAAGATTGCCTCATTCATCTGATGTGAGTCGTCATCCGCCATGTCGTCACCATCGCCCGACTTCCATTCGTCGCAATTCTCGATAACCTCGCCGCGTCGCATACCCAAGTCCGCGTTTACGTACAAGCAGCTGCACCAGCTCAAGACGTACAACTCCCAGACACCCCTCCGCGTCATCGCGCACGTCGACCTCGATGCCTTCTACGCGCAATGCGAAACCGTCCGCCTTGGCATCGATCCCTCCAAGCCCCTCGCAGTCCAGCAATGGCAGGGCCTCATAGCAATCAACTACCCCGCACGCGCATTTGGTTTAAGCCGACATGTCACTTCGACGGAAGCGTTGAAGCAATGCCCCGACCTAATACTACAACATGTCGCGACATGGAAGGAGGGCGACGAGAAATGGGCATACCATGAAAATAGCTTCAAGGACATGGCAACGCACAAGGTTAGCCTGGACCCGTATCGCATGGAGAGTCGCAAGATCTTGAAATGCATAAAGGATGCTTTACCAGAAAAGGAACAGCGCGTGGAGAAAGCAAGTATCGACGAGGTCTTCATGGATCTGAGTGCGCAAGTGTACACGATATTGCTGGAGAGATATCCTGAACTGAGAGGACCCCCACCATACGATGACTCGTCAGAACGACTGCCCAAAGTACCTACAACCGTCTTGGACTGGGCGGCTGACGCGCTTGTTGAGACAGGTGAAGAAGACGGAGAAGATAGGGATCCAGATTGGGATGACGTGTGCATGGTCATCGCATCCGAGATTGTACGAGATGTGAGGAAACAGATCAAAGAGACACTGGGTTATACGTGCTCTGGGGGAGTCGCAAGGAACAAGATGTTGTCAAAACTAGGTTCAGGGTACAAGAAACCGAATCAACAGACCGTTATCCGGAACCGCGCTATCGAGCACTTTCTTTCCGATATGAAGTTTACCAAAATCCGAATGCTAGGAGGTAAATTAGGAGATGAGGTCGTCGCAATGTTTGGTACGGATAAAGTCAAGGACCTTGTGCAACAGCCATTGGATCAATTGAAGAAGTTAGGTGATGACACAGGCAGTTGGATATACTCCATCATTAGAGGTGAAGATAATAGCGAGGTCAATCCGCGTACTCAGATCAAAAGCATGCTTTCGGCGAAATCCTTCAGACCCGCTATCAACTCGTTCGAGCAGGGTGTGAGGTGGCTGCGCATCTTCGTGGCCGACATATTCTCACGATGCGTAGAAGAGGGTGTGCTAGAGAACAAGAGAAGACCCAAGAGCATCAACCTGCACCACCGCCAAGGTGCGCAAACGCGAAGTCGACAAGCACCGATACCCCAGGGCAAACCATTATCAGAAACCATACTGTTCGATCTCGCCAAAAATCTATTGGCTCAAGTAGTCGTTGATGGGAGAGCCTGGCCATGTGCTAATCTCTCCTTGAGCGTCGGAGGCTTCGAAGATGGTATCACGAACAATAAAGGCATCGGTGGTTTTCTAGTCCGAGGTGAGGAAGCAAAGGCCATGATGTCGACTGGTAGAGCTATGACTGGTGGAGGCGAACCACCAGCAAAGCGAAGAAGGACAAAAGGAAACATTGCCAACTTCTTCGGCCCAAGGGACGAGAAGAAAAAAGATTTCGATGAAGCGAGGGCAGTACTGTGGAAAGCACATAGCGAGTCCACTCGAGATGAAAGTGGGGACGAGGCAGAAGAGACAGGAGAAGATCACGATCCATTCCGCGCCCAACAAAGTCATGAATTAGACCGACCTTCAACACCAACGCTGGAGCGCCAAAGCTCGGATACGGATCTTTATGCCCCAGGAACACCGCCCTCGGCCCAACCCCAGCCTGCTTCCCCCTCTCCACCACCACCACCACAGAACCACGACCCGGTAACACCAGTCCCTCGTTCCAGACCTATAGCCCAGCAAAAATCTATTGACACATATTTCTGTTCTCGTTGTAACCTCCACCTTCCGCCGGCGGACAAGCCCGAACACGAAGACTACCACTTTGCGCTCGATCTGTCAAAGGAGATGCGGCATGAAGAGAGAAACCCCCCTACGCTCTCTGCAAGAAAAGGTGTGGGCGGGTCGAAGCCTTCCAGAGGGCGGGGACGACCACCGGCAAGTGGAAGAGGAGAAGCGGTTGAGAAGGGGCAGGCGAAGCTAGCTTTTGGGAAAGGAAGTTGATAGTTGGGAGTGGTTACGATACGTCAACGTTTATGATGATACCTACTGTTTGAGAATCAATATTTCATACGTCGAGAACTTGTACATAATTCTGCTGTCATTCAGCTTAATGAGACGTCGTTGATACATGCGCATCATATTAGCGGTTATATGCTACTACATATATTGACCAAATGAGCACGCTTATATTTATCATTCGGCTGGATTGACTACACAACCTCAAAGTTCAGCCTTACCCATGGCATCTTCTCGCTCCCTTCTGGCATCCTATACGTGAAGTTCCAAAACTCAAAGTCGCTGTGTTAGGTTAGCATATAGCCTTCTCTCTGTGCAGACGGTAGTCTTGATAGAACTTACTTGATAACCTCACCAGCTCCGCCAAACAGCCCATTGAATGTAACCTCGGGTTCTAGATCCACGGATCCGGTAACATTGACTTGAACACCCTCTACATCCGCCCAACCTGCTACATCCCTCTTACCATCCCAGCCGTTCGTTCCCACCAGGAAGGAAAACGCACTTGATGCATTCCCCGCCGGATACTCAAGTTGCAAGCTTCCGTCTTCAACCACCACATCCAAAGCCATACTCTGAGCATACAAACTCATCCAACCCACACTACCGTCCTGCCTCTTCCACTGCACGACTGCTGGATTGAAAGAGTTCTGGTTTTTAGCCGGGCCACCGACGACAGTTTCGTTGAAGGATTCAGCACCGATAGTCAGATCAGGGGAGAGATAAGCCGTGATATTTCGCGGCTCATAGTCGTACGGTGGAGAGAATGCGGAGGTCCTAACAGTATGTGTGCCTGGAAACTTGGACAGAGATGAGAGCGTGGCGTTTGGAACTAGCGTGTTATGGTAGGGCGCCAGAATGGCGATTAGGGGGCCAATCGCGAAGTCATCCTTATGACCCATGGCGTACGGCTAGAAGGGTGTTAGGAGATACGGTAGAAGGGAAATAGAAATGGAAACAGAAATTGAAATGGAAATGGAAATTGTGCTTCATGCATACCTTCTTGTTGATAGGTGCCATCTCCTTGCCCACGAGCGTCCACATTTGCAGCGCCAAGATACTCAGATACTTGTTCATGTCGAACCCATATGCGCGATCCCACGGCCCAGCTACGTTCTTCATGCCCGCATGATACAATTCTCCCAGTACGGACCAGGTATCGTGAAGCATTCTTGGTCCATACTCGCCCATCAGACTGTCGTTTGGCATATACTTCGCCCAAAGCGTAAGCGCAAACAGCGAAACACCAGCGTAGGTTCCAGAATTGAACTCGGAAAGTGTGTTGTCTCGGACAAACAGGTCAATGATTTCTTTTGCGTAGTTTTCGCCCGCAATCGTCATGTTGGAGTCGTTGGCACGGCGACCGACGTAGCCAGAGACGAAGGCGCGCATGATGGAGGGGTTGCTGTAAGCCGGGTAGAGATTATCGTCGTCGACGCCGCCAACACGGTAACTGTCTCCGATGGTGGTGTTGAACAAACTTTCCAGCATATAATCTTGGACATCTTGGGGGAGTAGATGAGGAAATTCCTCTAGCATAACGACAAAAGTTGTGCCAATGAAGCCGCGCCAGTTGGGATCCCACGAGTTGTAGATCTCAGCTGGGTATTGTTCTGTACCTACAGCTGGCTCCTCTGGATATTTTTGGTAGTCGCCAAACCTTGTGTTATGTGAGCAACAGTATCTAGAACAGGAATTGAATGACCTCTTTCGCTGCAAAACTCACCATTGTTGACTTTCGTTCTTGAATTGCCCTCCAATGACATTCTTCACGATCCGTACTGCCTGCTCAACGTCATCGGCTTCGTTTCGCGCCAATAAGCCAGCTGCATACCAAACGCTCGCTCTGGTCTCGTGTGTCAGAGC